TCGGGAGTGAGGGGCACGGCAGGGCTGGGGGGGCAGGGGGCTGCGGGTGGGGAGTGGGGGGGCAGGGTTGGGCTAAGAGGGGGCTGCAGACCGGGAGTGAGGGGGGGCAGGGCTGGGAGCGGGGGGGGGGACACCCAGGCTGTGATTCTCCCTGAGCTGGGGGGGGAAGGGGTGGCCTTGGTGTGGGGGGAGCTGCCTCCCCCCCGCCCCCCGGCAGGCTGGTGTCTCCGTCAGACGCGCAGAGGGAAGATCCCGGCGCGATCCGCGGCCCCCTCCGGCCCCCCGGCTGCGGCGCGGGATGGGGGAAGGGGCCACCGAGCGGGGGGGGGAGCCGGGCCCGCCGGGGGCGGAGGGATAAAAAAAATCGCCCCCCCACACACACTTCGCAGCCGGCGGAGGAGAAGCCGGTGGCGGATCGGCTGGCGTGGGGGGGGGTCCCTGCAGCCGGCGAGGGACACGCGGGGGGGGGGGCGGCTGCTGGAGGTGGAGGGGGGAGATTAGCCCCTCCCCCCGCGGGCTTTTGCCCATCCCCCTTTGGGGGCGGGGGCTGCAGCGGGGGGGGCCGGGAAGGGGGGGCCCATCCCGTGTCCCCCCCCCCCCAGCACCGGGGCCATGTTCGTGTCGGTCTGGTACGCCAAGAAGATGGGTCGGCGTCTGCTCAACAACGTCCGGCGGGCCCAGAGGCAGCGGGGCCGGGCCACGGTACCGGGGGCGGCGGGGGGCCCGAGGGGCAGGGAGCTGGGGGGATGCGGGAGGGGAGGGGGGGACATGTGTGACGGGAGGGGGGAGGGAAGGGGGATTGTGGGGGGAGGGGGCAGGGAGCTGCGGGGATGCGGGAGGGGAGGGGGGACGGGGGTGATGTGTGACGGGAGGGGGGAGGGAAAGGGGATGTGTGGGGGGAGGGGGCAGGGAGCTGGGGGGATGCGGGACGGGGAGGGGGCAGGGAAGGGGGATAGTGGGGGGAGGGGGCAGGGAGCTGCGGGGATGCGGGAGGGGATGGGGACGGGGGTGATGTGTGACGGGAGGGGGGAGGGAAAGGGGATAGTGGGGGGAGGGGGATGTGTGGGGGGAGGGAGCAAGGAGCTGGGGGGATGCGGGAGGGGAGGGGGGACGGGAGGTGATGTGTGACGGGAGGGGGGAGGGGGCAGGGAGCTGGGGGGATGCGGGACGGGGAGGGGGCAGGGAAGGGGGATAGTGGGGGGAGGGGGCAGGGAGCTGCGGGGATGCGGGAGGGGATGGGGACGGGGGTGATGTGTGACGGGAGGGGGGAGGGAAAGGGGATAGTGGGGGGAGGGGGATATGTGGGGGGAGGGAGCAAGGAGCTGGGGGGATGCGGGAGGGGAGGGGGGACGGGAGGTGATGTGTGACGGGAGGGGGGAGGGAAGGGGGATAGTGGGGGGAGGGGGGATGTGTGGGGGAGGGAGCTGGGGGGAGGAGGGGACTGGGGGGATGTTTGGGGGAGGGGGATAGTGGGGGGAGGGAGGAGGTGGGATGGGGAGGGGAGGAGGGAGGGGGAGGAGGAGCTGGGAGGGGGAGGGGGGAGAGAGGATAGTGGGGTGTGGGGGAGGGGAGTGGGGCTGATGGGGAGGGGAGGCAGGCTAGTAGGGGGAGGGAGGACTGGGGGAGGGTGATAAAAAAGGGAAGGGTCGCGGGGGAGGGCGGGGGGAGGGGGGGCCGGCTGCAGGGGGCAGGGATCTGGGGGGCTGACAGGAGGAGCTGGCGGGGGGGGGGGATGAGGGGGGGATGGGGAAGGGATGGGAGAGCTGGAGGGGGCAGGGATCTGGGGGGCTGACAGGAGGAGCTGGCGGGGGGGGGGAATGGGGAAGGGATGGGACCAGGCAGGATGGGCCGGGGGCACAGGCCGGGGGGTTGGGGGAGAAGCCTGGGGGCCGGCGTAGGCTGTGAGGGGAAAGCAGGGGGTGGGGAAGAGAGAGGTGGGGGGTAATTGGAGGGGCAGGGGAAGGGTGGGATTTTTGGGGGGCTGCGGGTCGGGAGTGAGGGGCACCGGCAGGGCTGGGGGGGGGGCAGGGGAGCCATGAATGGAGCAGGGGCGGGGCAACAGGCATGACGTCACGGGGGATGTCTGCCTGACGTCACCATCCCTGCCTATGAATGGGGGAGCGGGGGAGGGGCTGCTGAATAAGTCAAGTGTTGAACAGAGCGGCGGGGGGGGGCTGGGCAGGATGTTTTGGGGGGAGCAGAGGGGTGGGGGCATCTCAGCTGTTGGGGAGATCTGGTCCCGGACGCCTGGGTTCATGGCGTGCCTGCTGGGGCAGAGCCCCCCTTCTGAGCCCCCCACCCCACAGCGCCCACTAGTGCCGCCCTGGGGCCAGCCCCCCACCAGCCGAGAGCGCCCCCTGCTGAGCCCCCACCCCACTCCCTGGCTCACAGCGCCCCCTAGTGCTCAGCCCTGCCTGCCAGGGGAGAGCGCCCCCCACCGAGCCCCCCGCCCTGCTCCCTGCCCCCCAGCGCCGCCCTGGGGCAGTGGGCGGGGGGCTCTCATCCAAGACCAGCAACTCCCCCACCCGAGCCCTAGATACTTGGCCCACTGGGCCCCTCCAGCTGTCCCAGTTAGCTGACGCATTGAGCCCCGCTGCAGGAAGTGGGGGAGGGAGAGGCGCCGAGATGCGCCCACCTCTGGGGCGGGGCGGCTGGTGACCGGGGACCCCTCGCCCGGCGCCAAGATGCGCCCACCTCTGGGGCGAGGCGGCCGGTGACCCGGGGACCCCTCGCCCGGCGCCGAGATGCGGCCACCTCTGGGGCGGGGCGGCCGGTGACTCCTCGCCCGGCGCCGAGATGCGGCCACCTCTGGGGCGGGGCGGCCGGTGACCCGGGGACCCCTCGCCCGGCGCCGAGATGCGCCCACCTCTGGGGCGGGGCGGCCGGTGACCCGGGGACCCCTCGCCCGGCGCCGAGATGCGGCCACCTCTGGGGTGGTGCTGGCCCATCGCTCTGGATAGTTCCATGGGCTCTGCCAGAGGAAAGCCGGGCTCTGCTGGAGTCATTAGCGGCTCTGAATAATTAATATGAAACCTCCGTTAGGCACATTTTGTCCCTTCTCTCCTCTTCTCCGCTGGAGCTTTGAAACGCAGCCTCCCACGCAGGGAGCAGCCTCAGCTGCGGAGGGGAGTGGGGCCTACTGGTTAGGGGGCTGGGAGCCAGGACTCCTGGGTTCTCTCCCTGGCTCTGGGAGGGGAGTGGGGGCTGGTGGTTAGAGATTGGGGGGGGGCTGGGAGCCAGGACTCCTGGGTTCTCTCCCTGGCTCTGGGAGGGGAGTGGGGGCTGGTGAGTTAGAGCAGGAGGGGTTGGGAGCCAGGACTCCTGGGTTCTCTCCCTGGCTCTGGATGGGGAGTGGGGGCTGGTCGGTTAGAGCAGGGGGGGCTGGGAGCCAGGACTCCTGGGTTCTCTCCCTGGCTCTGGGAGGGGAGTGGGGGCTGGTGAGTTAGAGCAGGAGGGGTTGGGAGCCAGGACTCCTGGGTTCTCTCCCTGGCTCTGGATGGGGAGTGGGGGCTGGTCGGTTAGAGCAGGGGGGGCTGGGAGCCAGGACTCCTGGGTTCTCTCCCTGGCTCTGGGAGGGGAGTGGGGGCTGGTGCGTTAGAGCAGGAGGGGTTGGGAGCCAGGACTCCTGGGTTCTCTCCCTGGCTCTGGATGGGGAGTGGGGGCTGGTCGGTTAGAGCAGGGGGGGCTGGGAGCCAGGACTCCTGGGTTCTCTCCCTGGCTCTGGGAGGGGAGTGGGGGCTGCTGAGTTAGAGCAGGAGGGGTTGGGAGCCCGGACTCCTGGGTTCTCTCCCTGGCTCTGGATGGGGAGTGGGGGCTGGTCGGTTAGAGCAGGGGGGGGCTGGGAGCCAGGACCCCTGAGCCAGCCAGTCCCTGCCCTGGGGCTGGATGGGAGCCGGGGCCCCCTAGCTGGGACAGGCCCCATTCTGCCCCCGCCCCCCATTAATTGGCCTTTTTAATCAGCCGACACAACCCTCGGCCCTAGAGCTCCATGGTCTGTGGCGGTCCCCTCGTTGCCACGACAACTCCCCCCCCCCGCGGTACTTGGTCCCAGTTCCCTGGCATCGCCATGGTTACCGTTGCCGAGGCGGCGGACCGGGCGGGGGAAGCTGGGAAGGTCGCTAGGGAGCCAGCGAAGGAAGGAAGAGCGGCCATGCCCCCCTCCCCCGTCCCTGGGCTGAGATGCAGCCACCTCTGGGGTGGGGCCTTCCCCCATCCGGAGTCCAGCCCTGCCCCCGCCCCCCTGCCCTGCCGCAGCCCCCTGCTAGCCTGGCCCTGGGCCCCCCAGCCCTGCCGGTGCCCCCCACTCCCGACCCGCAGCCCCCTGTCGAGTTTGGGGGTTCACGGGGCGCTTTGGGGCTGCCGTGAAATTTTGGGGTGCTCCCGGTGTGTGGGGGTGGCGGTTTTGAGTGATGGTTTTGTGGGTTTCAGGGGAATAGTTGGGCTATTTTTTTGCCAGGGGGATATTCACGGGGGGGGTGTCCCATGAATTTTGGGGGGTGTTGGTGTAGATTTTGGGGGGGGCTCCCTCACTCTTTGGGGGGGCAAAACCTGAGGAGCTCTCGAGGCCGCTGTATCATTTGGGGTGTGACATTTCACAAGCTGTCATTCTGGAGCTTGATGGGTTGAATATTTGGGGGGGCGGGTCACTTTCGGGGCTCGGTTAGACAGCTCAGGGTGCCCCCCTGGCTGTCATGGCCCCCCCCAGCCCGGCTGGACTGCGGTTACTGCTGGGGCGCAGCATAAAGTTGGGGGGATCTTTTCTTCCACCCCAAAAGTCCCCAGGTCTCGCCCACCCGTTCGGGGGGGACCGGAGCCGCGAGCTCGCTGGGAACCCAAGGCCAAGCAGGTTGGGTGGGATACTTGGCTCCGGTCTGGGGGTGTCTCAGCCCCCGGGGGTGGGATCTGGTATCTCGGGGGGCCGGTGGCACCGCGGGGAAGCTGCTGAGATGCCCCCAGCCTCACGCTGGGGTCTCCTGCTTTTGTCTCCTCCTCTCCTGCAGGCGAATTCTCCGCCGGTCATCGTGAATACGGACACCCTGGAGGCGCCGGCGTATGTGAGTAGCCAAGTGGGGGGCTGGGGGGTTTGGGGGGCTGGGGGGGGACCTAGTTTCTGGACCGGTGCAGCTTCCTCCTAGGTGCACATTGATCACTAGGATCCGTCCCCCCCACCCCAAACTCCCCCCCAAATCTTTCCCTCCCCCAAACTCCCCCCAGCCCCCAAAACCTTCCCCCCAACTCTTCCCTGATTTGACCCCCCCAAACCTTGTCCCCAAACTCACCCTGCTGTGACTCCCCAAACCTTCCCTCCAAAACTCATCTCTGACCCCCCCAAATCTCCCCCAACCCCCACTGACCTCCCCCCAAAACTTCCCTCCGAAACTTCCCTTCCCCCCAAATGCCCTCAATTTTGCCCCCCAAACTCACCCCAATCTGACCCCCACAAACCTTCCCCCCCAACCCACCCTAAACTCTCCCCCAATCTTTCCCTCCCCCAAACTCCCCCCAGCCCACAACCTTCCCCCCAAACTCACCCCAGATCTGACTCCCCAAACCTTCCCTCCAAACTCATCTCTGGCCCCCCAAATCTCCCCCCAACCCACCCTGACCTCCCCCCAAAATCAGCTCCAAATCTTCCCCTCCCCCCAACCTTCCCCCTGCCCCAACCTTCCCCCCCCAACTCACCACTGATCTGAACTCCCAAACCTTCCCCCCAAACTCATCTCTGGCCCCCCAAATCTCCCCCCAACCCACCCTGACCTCCCCCCAAAAGCAGCTCCAAATCTTCCCCTCCCCCCAACCTTCCCCCTGCCCCAACCTTCCCCCCCCCAACTCACCACTGATCTGAACTCCCAAACCTTCCCCCCAAACTCATCTCTGGCCCCCCAAATCTCCCCCAACCACCCTGACCTCCCCCCAAAATCAGCTCCAAATCTTCCCCTCCCCCCAGCCCCCAAACCTTCCCCCCCACAACTCACTTCTGGCTGCTTCTGTTCAACAGAGAGGCCTCTCGGTAGTTCTTACCCCTTTTCCCAGGTGTGTGTGTGGGGGGGGGTGGAAGATCCCCCCCCCCGGGGAATTGGAGGGGGGATGGGGGGTTCTTGTATGATGCAGGCAAATAGATCTTGTGGCTTTTCTTGTCTTTTTTCCCCGAGTTCCTTGGATCTTTTCTGTCTCTTAATTCATCCTTTCGTTCTTTGTCCTTCGTTCCGCCGTGCGGGGGCCCAATTCTCACGCGTCCCCCCCCCTTTCTGTCTAGGTCAACGGGACGGAGGGGGAGATGGAGTACGAAGAAATCACGTTAGAACGGGTGAGACTCCGCGTTCCCGTGTCCTTCTTGGGGGTGAATTGGGGCGTAAAGCACCCCACAGACGAACGCCTTGCGCCCCCTCCCCCAGCCCTGCCGGTGCCCCTCACTCCCGACCCGCAGCCCCCTGCCAGCCCAGCCCTGCCGGTGCCCCTCACTCCCGACCCGCAGCCCCCTCAGCCCAGCCCTGCCCCCCCCCAGCCCTGCCGGTGCCGCTCACTCCCAACCCGCAGCCCCCTGCCCCCCGAGCCCTGCCAGTGCCCCTCACTCCCGCCCCGCAGCCCCCTGCCAGCCCAGCCCTGCCCCCCCAGCCCTGCCGGTGCCCCTCACTCCCGACCCGCAGCCCCCTGCCAGCCCAGCCCTGCCCCCCCCAGCCCTGCCGGTGCCCCTCACTCCCGACCCGCAGCCCCCTGCCAGCCCAGCCCTGCCCCCCCCAGCCCTGCCGGTGCCCCTCACTCCCGCCCCGCAGCCCCCTGCCAGCCCAGCCCTGCCCCCCAGCCCTGCCGGTGCCCCTCACTCCCGACCCGCAGCCCCCTGCCCCCCAGCCCTGCCGGTGCCCCTCACTCCCGCCCCGCAGCCCCCTGCCAGCCCAGCCCTGCCCCCCCCCCAGCCCTGCCGGTGCCCCTCACTCCCGCCCCGCAGCCCCCTGCCAGCCCAGCCCTGCCCCCCCAGCCCTGCCGGTGCCCCTCACTCCCGACCCGCAGCCCCCTGCCAGCCCAGCCCTGCCCCCCCAGCCCTGCCGGTGCCCCTCACTCCCGCCCCGCAGCCCCCTGCCAGCCCAGCCCTGCCCCCCCAGCCCTGCCGGTGCCCCTCACTCCCGACCCGCAGCCCCCTGCCAGCCCAGCCCTGCCCCCCGAGCCCTGCCGGTGCCCCTCACTCCCGCCCCGCAGCCCCCTGCCAGCCCAGCCCTGCCCCCCCAGCCCTGCCGGTGCCCCTCACTCCCGACCCGCAGCCCCCTGCCCCCCCAGCCCTGCCGGTGCCCCTCACTCCCGACCCGCAGCCCCCTGCCAGCCCAGCCCTGCCCCCCCCAGCCCTGCCGGTGCCCCTCACTCCCGACCCGCAGCCCCCTGCCAGCCCAGCCCTGCCCCCCCGAGCCCTGCCAGTGCCCCTCACTCCCGACCCGCAGCCCCCTGCCGGCCTGCCTGCCCCCCCCAGCCCTGCTGGTGCCCCTCACTCCTGACCCGCAGCCCCCTGCTAGCCCAGCCCTGCCCCCCTGCAGCCCTGCCGGTGCCCCTCACTCCCGACCCACAGCCCCCCCAGCTCTGCCGGTGCCCCTCACTCCCGACCCGCAGCCCCTGGAGCGCGACTGACAGGTTTTGGGGGTGTCTCCTCCAGGGTAACTCCGGGTTGGGGTTCAGCATTGCCGGGGGCACGGACAACCCCCACATTGGGGACGACCCCAGCATCTTCATCACCAAAATCATCCCTGGGGGAGCCGCGGCTCAGGACGGCCGCCTCAGGTACCCGCGGGGGGAGTGGGGGGCGGAGAAGGGGCTGGGGAGCGGGGCGGGCTCGGTGTGAGCGTGGAAGCGAGGGTGAGCCGGGTGTGCGAGGTCGCCGAGCCGGTGCAACGGGTGGGTTGTGTGGCCATGCACACGCCCGCACACAACGCCTCGCTGCGGGGGTGACAAGCCCCCGGAGGCTGATTGAATGTGCACCGGCCTCCTCGTGCACGATCCCGCACACGATCGTTTGCAGAATCGCTCCTTGCACGCGTGCGAATCGGTTTGCTGACCGTTCCTTGGCACCGGCGCCTGGTGACTTGCCCAATTACTCATTGCCTGGTCCCAGTTGCTCATTACCCTTGTGCGCTCACAGTGGCTTGGGGCACAATGGCACACGGCCATTGCACGCGTGTGCGTTGCACGCTCATCGTGCAATCGCTCGTGGCAGGCACGCAATCACGTGTTGCAAACTGTCGCCGTCGTTGCACAAACGCTCACAGTCCCTCCTTGCACACATGTTTGTCGCACTCCTGCCAAACTCATTGCACGGGCCCAATCACAGTCTGGCAGGTGCTCACCATGTCTCTGTGCACACTTGCTGATTGTAAATGCGCACAATCGCTCACGGCACAACCATTCGTTGCACACTCATGTGCTCACACTCTCCCCCTGCAGAATTGCTCATTGCACACTGTTTACCGCATCGCTCGTGGCACGTACTCACAATTGTTCATTGCACCATTGTTCCCTGTTACACACTTATTACGCCGTTGCTCATGGCAGACACTCACCATTGCACAGTCACTCACTGGAGACGTTCACAATCGCCCACGACACAATTGCTCACCCCACACTCATTGCCTGTGATCACAATCCCTCTTTGCACAATTCCTCATCACGCAATCCCTCGTGGCGCAGGCTTACAATCGCTCTTTGCACAACTGCTCCCTGCACACTCTCCGGCTCATTCCTTGCACAATTGGTCCTTGCACAACTGCTCACGGAAGACTCTCCTAGTTGTTCCTTGCACAATCGCTCTTGCAGATGCTCACAATCATTTGTTGCGCCATCTTTCATTGCCCGGGTGGTCATTGCACACTCATCGCACAACCACTCATTGCAGAGGCTTACAAACGCTTGCCATGCTGTCACTCCTTGCACACTCATTCCCCAATTGCTCATGGCACACCCACCCAAGGGCTCCTTGCCCGGTCGCTCATATCTCCTCCGTCGCCCCATCGCTCGCAGCACGTGTGTCTCGCACGCTTGCTCCCGGCACCCGCTCGCAATCGCCCCGGGGCCCCCCGGCCCCCGTGAGACCCCCTGATCTCCCCCCCGACCGTGTCCCTGCACCAGGGTGAACGACAGCATCCTGTTTGTGAACGATGTGGACGTGCGAGAGGTGACCCACAGCACGGCGGTGGAGGCGCTGAAGGAAGCCGGCTCCATCGTGCGTCTCTACGTCATGCGGCGCAAGGCCCTGGCCGAGAAGGTCATGGAAGTGAAGCTCATCAAGGGGCCCAAAGGTCAGAGACGCCCTGCAGCCGGGGAGCCCCTTGGACAGCCCCCCTGAATCCGCCCCCCATGGCTTGGGATACCCCGGACAGCCCCCCAAGCTCCTTGGAAAGATCCTCCCTCTGAGAGACCCCCCCCCATGGCTGGGGATGTCCCTATGAACCCCCCGTCTTCCCTTGAGAGACCCTGATAACTTGGGGGTCACATACACTCCCTGCTCCACCAGCCCCCCCTCCTGCTTCCATCCACTGAGGCCTCCTGAGAGAACACCCCAGACCCCCCTTAGAGCCAGGGTCTCCATTGTCCACCCCCTGGTTCCCCCCACTAAGAAACCCCTGAAGAGAACCCCTCAATAAGCCCCTGGTCCCCCCCATACACTGAGAGACCTGCCCCCCCCACCGGATAACCCCCATCCTGGAGAGAGCCCCTTGGACCCAGCACATCCCAAAGCCAGGAGTCCCCCTGGAATCCCCTCCCCACCGCCACTAGTCCCCCCATACATGCTCCCCCTTGACAGCCCCCCACCACTTTCTACTCCCTCCTTGGTGATCCCCCCCTCCAGGATTCCCCTCCTTAGGGCAGAAGTCCCCCTTTTCTTTCCCATGATCCCCCCGAACCCCATCATCACCCCATGCTCCCCAGAGGGACCCCCCTCAAAGATCAGTCCCAAAGACCCCTCCCTGGGATCTCCCCCTCATCCCCTTCTCTCTGACTCTCCCCAGTTCTGCCTGCCCCCCACCCCCCTGAAAATCTCCCCCTCTGAATCTCTCTCCCCTCCCCCGGCTCAGGTCTGGGGTTCAGCATCGCGGGGGGCGTCGGCAACCAGCACATCCCTGGGGACAACAGCATCTACGTCACAAAGATCATCGAGGGGGGGGCCGCCCACAAGGATGGGCGCCTCCAGATTGGGGACAAGATCCTGGCGGTGAGTCTTCCCCCCAGCCAGGCAGGGGTTAACTGAGCCCCAGGGTGGGCGGGGAGGGGCCTGAGTAGAGGGTGGGAGGGGCTTAGCAGGGTGGGAGGGGTTTAGCAGAGGGTGTGGCTTAGTTGAGGGGGAGGAGCCTAAGTGAGGGGGCAGCTGAGTGGGAGGGGCTTTGTGGAGTGAGTTGAGGGAGGGGCCTAATTGAGGGGCGGGGCTTGTTGAGAGGGAGGAGCCTATGTCAGGGGGAAGCTGAGTGGGAGGGGCTTAGCTGAGAGGAGGAAGCTGAGTGGGAGGGGCTTAGTGGAATGGAGAGAGTTGGGGAGGGGCTTAGTTGAGGGAAGGGGCTTAGTTGAGAGGGAGGAGCCTTCGTCGGGGGGGGGGGGGAAGCCGAGTGGGAGGGGCTTACCTGTGGGGTTGTGAGCTGGGTGGGGGGCGTCCCCGGGACAGAATTTTTCTGCAGGACTCCCTGCCACTGGATATTGCCGAGAGTAGATGGGCCCATGGGCCCGAGCTGGGAGAAGAGGCAGGTGGGATACCGGGGCAGATGGGCCCATAGGTCTGACCCCATGTCCCCCCCACTCCAGGTTAACAACGTCGGCCTGGAGGACGTGATGCACGAGGACGCGGTGGCCGCCCTCAAGAACACGTACGACGTCGTCTACCTGAAGGTGGCGAAACCCACCAACATGTACCTCAATGACTCCTACGCCCCGCCCGACATCACCACCTGTGAGAACTGCCGGGGGCTGCGGGGGGCGGGGTGGGGGGCTCAGCCGGGGGCAGGCCGGGCTGGCCCCAGGGGGCGCTGTGGGGCAGGGAGCATGGCGGGACCTCGGCATGAACGGCTGCCCCGCCCCAGAGGTGGCCGCATCTCCGCCCGTAACACCGCGCTTTTCTCTCCCCGCTACAGCGTACTCCCAGCACCTGGACAACGAAATCAGCCACCAGAGTTACCTGGGCACTGACTATCCACAAGCCATGACCCCCACCTCCCCCCGGCGCTACTCCCCCATCCCCAAGGAGATGATGGGGGAAGAAGACATACCCAGGTGAGCAAAGCCCCTGCCCCTCCCCTGGGGCCAGATGGCCACCCCCTAGCGCGCCTGGGTGCCAAGGGAGGGAGGCGACTGGCATAGTTTGGGGTGCACAAAGATCACCCCCTTTGTGGCCTCTTAATGGCATTCGTCTGCCAGGGATGCACACAGTTGTCCAGCTGAAGTATAGGTCCCTGGGTGCAGAAGACAGACAGGCGCTCAGGTGACATACAGGCGGACATGTAACACACGGCCGCGTGCACAATACAGAGGCGCACAGAAAATGGACAACCACGCACTGTAATGTACAGGCGCACAGGTAATGTAAAACCACACACGGTGACATACAGCTAAAGGACAGCCATGCACTGTGAATACAGGCGCACAGGTAACATACAGCCATACCCCATGACATACAGGTAGGTAATGGACAGTCACACACTGTGATTTACAGGTGCACAGGTAATGTACAGCCACCCACCGTAACATACAGGCACGCAGGTTACCTACAGCCACCCACCGTAACATAGAGGCGCACAGCTAATGTACAGCCACCCACCCTAACATACAGGTGCACAGGTTACCTACAGCCACCCACCGTAACATACAGGCGCACACCTAATGTACAGCCACCCACCGTAACATACAGGCGCACACCTAATGTACAGCCACCCACCGTAACATACAGGCGCACACCTAATGTACACCTACTCACCGTAACATACAGGCGCACAGCTAATGTACAGCCACCCACCGTAACATACAGGCGCACACCTAATGTACACCTACTCACCGTAACATACAGGCGCACACCTAATGTACAGCCACCCACCATAACATACAGGCGCACACCTAATGTACACCTACTCACCGTAACATACAGGCGCACAGCTAATGTACAGCCACCCACCGTAACATACAGGCGCACACCTAATGTACAGCCACCCACCGTAACATACAGGCGCACTCCTAATGTACACCTACTCACCGTAACATACAGGCGCACAGCTAATGTACAGCCACCCACCGTAACATACAGGCCCACACCTAATGTATAGCCACCCACCGTAACATACAGGCGCGCAGGTTACCTACAGCCACCCACCGTAACATACAGGTGCATAGCTAATGTACAGCCACTCACCGTAACATACAGGCGCACAGGTTACCTACAGCCACCCAGCGTAACATACAGGCCCACACCTAATGTACAGCCACCCACCGTAACATACAGGCACACACCTAATGTACAGCCACCCACCGTAACATACAGGCGCACACCTAATGTACAGCCACTCACCGTAACATACAGGTGCACAGCTAATGTACAGCTACCCACCGTAAAATACAGGCCCACACCTAATGTATAGCCACCCACCGTAACATACAGGCCCACACCTAATGTATAGCCACCCACTGTAACATACAGGCGCATACCTAATGTACAGCCACTCACCGTAACATATAGGCGCACAGATTTCCTACAGCCACCCACCTTAACATACAGGCGCACAGCTAATGTACAGCCACCTACCGTAACATAGAGGCGCACAGCTAATGTACAGCCACCCACCCTAACATACAGGTGCACAGGTTACCTACAGCCACCCACCGTAACATACAGGCGCACACCTAATGTACAGCCACCCACCGTAACATACAGGCGCACAGGTTACCTACAGCCCTACCTTAACATACAGGCGCACAGCTAATGTACAGCCACTCACCGTAACATACAGGCGCACAGATTTCCTACAGCCGCCCACCTTAACATACAGGCACACAGCTAATGTACAGCCACCCACCGTAACATACAGGTGCATAGCTAATGTACAGCCACTCACCGTAACATACAGGCGCACAGGTTACCTACAGCCACCCAGCGTAACATACAGGCCCACACCTAATGTACAGCCACCCAGCATAACATACAGGCCCACACCTAATGTACAGCCACCCACCGTAACATACAGGCGCACAGCTAATGTACAGCCACCCACCGTAACATACAGGCGCACACCTAATGTACAGCCACTCACCGTAACATACAGGCGCACACCTAATGTACAGCCACCCACCGTAACATACAGGCGCGCTCCTAATGTACACCTACTCACCGTAACATACAGGCGCACAGCTAATGTACAGCTACCCACCGTAACATACAGGCCCACACCTAATGTACAGCCACCCACCGTAACATACAGGTGCATAGCTAATGTACAGCCACTCACCGTAACATACAGGCGCACAGATTTCCTACAGCCACCCACCTTAACATACAGGCACACAGCTAATGTACAGCCACCCACCGTAACATACAGGTGAACAGCTAATGTGCAGCCACCTACCGTAACATACAGGCGCACAGCTAATGTACAGCCACCCACCCTAACATACAGGTGCACAGGTTACCTACAGCCACCCACCGTAACATACAGGCGCACACCTAATGTACAGCCACCCACCGTAACATACAGGCGCACAGGTTACCTACAGCCCTACCTTAACATACAGGCACACAGCTAATGTACAGCCACTCACCGTAACATACAGGCGCACAGATTTCCTACAGCCGCCCACCTTAACATACAGGCACACAGCTAATGTACAGCCACCCACCGTAACATACAGGTGAACAGCTAATGTACAGCCACCTACCGTAACATACAGGCGCACAGCTAATGTACAGCCACCCACCCTAACATACAGGTGCACAGGTTACCTACAGCCACCCACCGTAACATACAGGCGCACACCTAATGTACAGCCACCCACCGTAACATACAGGATAAATAAACAGGTGGATAAATTGGAGAGAGTTGTGGATAAATTGGAGAGAGTCCAGCGAAGGGCAACAAAAATGATTAGGGGTCTGGAACACATGACTTATGAGGAGAGGCTGAGGGAGCTGGGATTGTTTAGCCTGCAGAAGAGAAGAATGAGGGGGGATTTGATAGCTGCTTTCAACTACCTGAAAGGGGGTTCCAAAGAGGATGGCTCTAGACTGTTCTCAATGGTAGCAGATGACAGAACGAGGAGTAATGGTCTCAAGCTGCAGTGGGGGAGGTTTAGGTTGGATATTAGGAAAAACTTTTTCACTAGGAGGGTGGTGAAACACTGGAATGCGTTACCTAGGGAGGTGGTAGAATCTCCTTCCTTAGAGGTTTTTAAGGTCAGGCTTGACAAAGCCCTGGCTGGGATGATTTAACTGGGAATTGGTCCTGCTTCGAGCAGGGGGTTGGACTAGATGACCTTCTGGGGTCCCTTCCAACCCTTATATTCTATGATTCTATGACAGGCACACACCTAATGTACACCTACTCACCGTAACATACAGGCACACACCTAATGTACAGCCACCCACCATAACATACAGGTGCACAGGTTACCTACAGCCACCCACCGTAACATACAGGCGCACACCTAATGTACAGCCACCCAGCGTAACATACAGGCCCACACCTAATGTACAGCCACCCAGCGTAACATACAGGCCCACACCTAATGTACAGCCACCCACCGTAACATACAGGCGCACAGCTAATGTACAGCCACTCACCGTAACATACAGGCACACAGGTTACCTACAGCCACCCACCATAACATACAGGCGCACACCTAATGTACAGCCACCCAGCGTAACATACAGGCCCACACCTAATGTACAGCCACCCAGCGTAACATACAGGCCCACACCTAATGTACAGCCACCCACCGTAACATACAGGCGCACAGCTAATGTACAGCCACCCACCGTAACATACAGGCGCACACCTAATGTACAGCCACCCACCGTAACATACAGGCGCACTCCTAATGTACACCTACTCACCGTAACATACAGGCACACACCTAATGTACAGCCACCCACCATAACATACAGGTGCACAGGTTACCTACAGCCACCCACCGTAACATACAGGCGCACACCTAATGTACAGCCACCCAGCGTAACATACAGGCCCACACCTAATGTACAGCCACCCAGCGTAACATACAGGCCCACACCTAATGTACAGCCACCCACCGTAACATACAGGCGCACAGCTAATGTACAGCCACTCACCGTAACATACAGGCACACAGGTTACCTACAGCCACCCACCATAACATACAGGCGCACACCTAATGTACAGCCACCCAGCGTAACATACAGGCCCACACCTAATGTACAGCCACCCAGCGTAACATACAGGCGCACAGCTAATGTACAGCCACCCACCGTAACATACAGGCGCACACCTAATGTACAGCCACCCACCGTAACATACAGGCGCACAGCTAATGTACAGCCACCCACCGTAACATACAGGCGCACACCTAATGTACAGCCACCCACCGTAACATACAGGCGCACTCCTAATGTACACCTACTCACCGTAACATACAGGCCCACACCTAATGTACAGCCACCCACCGTAACATACAGGCGCACAGCTAATGTACAGCCACCCACCGTAACATACAGGCGCACACCTAATGTACAGCCACCCACCGTAACATACAGGCGCACTCCTAATGTACACCTACTCACCGTAACATACAGGCGCACAGATTTCCTACAGCCACCCACCTTAACATACAGGCGCACAGCTAATGTACAGCCACTCACCGTAACATACAGGCGAACAGCTAATGTACAGCCACCTACCGTAACATACAGGCGCACAGCTAATGTACAGCCACCCACCGTAACATACAGGCGCACAGGTTACCTACAGCCACCCACCTTAACATACAGGTGCACAGGTTACCTACAGCCACCCACCGTAACATACAGGCGCACAGGTTACCTACAGCCACCCACCGTAAGATACAGGCCCACACCTAATGTACAGCCACCCACCGTAACATATAGGCGCACAGCTAATGTACAGCCACCCACCATAACATACAGGCGCATAGCTAATGTACAGCCACCCACTGTAACATACAGGCGCACAGCTAATGTACAGCCACCCACTGTAACATATAGGCGCACAGGTTACCTACAGCCACCCACCGTAACATATAGGTGCACAGGTTACCTACAGCCACCCACCATAACATACAGGCGCACAGCTAATGTACAGCCACTCACCATAACATACAGGTGCACAGGTTACCTACAGCCACCCACCTTAACATACAGGCGCACAGCTAATGTACAGCCACCCACCGTAACATACCGGCCCACACCTAATGTACAGCCACCCACCGTAACATACAGGCCCACACCTAATGTACAGCCACCCACCGTAACATACAGGCGCACAGCTAATGTACAGCCACCCACCGTAACATACAGGCGCACAGCTAATGTACAGCCACCCACCGTAACATACAGGCGCACAGGTTACCTTACAGCCACCCACCGTAACATACAGGCGCACAGGTTACCTACAACCACCCACCGTAACATACAGGCGCACAGGTTACCTACAGCCACCCACTGTAACCTACAGGCGCACAGGTTATGTACAGCTGTATACAGATCACAGAGGCGCACAAATAATAGACAGGCAGCCGTGTGACATTCAGGCATCCACATGACACATTTGTGACACACACGCAGCCTCATAACCAACAGGCAACTTGGTCAGGTACCGGCGCTCATGCGCTGTGTAGGTTGTCACCAACTGTACAACCGCCTGTGGAACACACGTCGCACACGGCCACACATGCGCCCTGCATGCTACCATGTACCGTTCAGGGGCCCACATGACATACAGGCGTTCAAATGGGGGTGCGGGTCAACGTGTGCGTGAGCACATCCTGGCACAGGGGCGCGCGGCCGGTCCCTGCAACTCTTCCAGCCTCACGGGGAAGTACAGGCGCACAGGCTCATGGACCGGGTTCGGGTGTCCACATACAGGCGGACAGGAGTGGTACAGGGAAATGCGCACAGGCGCTTGTGAAAGAACCAGGGCCTCCGTGTTGTGGAAGTGACGTACAGGCGCACCCGGCCAACACACACACACAGAGTTGCAGCGACGTACAGCCGCACCCGTAAGCTACCGTCGCCCACGAGATGTACAGCCACCCCCTGTAACCGCCAGGCGTCATGGCCATCAGGCCTCACACACTCATCCCCCTCGGGGTGCTCTGCCTTTCCGGCTGTGCACTCTGGGTGGTGGGGTGTTGCGGGACTCCGTCGGTGACTGTGCCCTCACCCTGTGGGGTTCCTGACCTCGCTACGCCCCCCCCCCCACTCCCGCAGGGAACCCCGCCGGATCATCATCCACCGCGGCTCGACGGGCCTGGGATTCAACATTGTCGGGGGCGAGGACGGCGAAGGGATCTTCATCTCCTTCATCCTGGCCGGGGGGCCAGCAGACCTGAGTGGGGAGCTGCGGAAAGGGGACCAGATCCTCTCGGTAAGAACCCGCCCCCCCAGAGCCAGCCAGTCCCCCTGCCCTGGGGCCAAATGGGAGCCAGCGCCCCCCCAGAGGGGACCGGCCCCTGCCCCATTCCCCACCCCCCTGAGCCAGCCAGTCCCCTGCCCCAGGGCCGGATGGGAGCCGGCGCCCGCTGGAGGGGACAGACCCTGTGCCCCATTCCCCGCCCCCCTGACATGGCATCCCTCTCCCCTCAGGTGAACGGGGTGGATCTCAGGAACGCAACCCACGAGCAGGCTGCCATCGCACTGAAAAACGCTGGCCAGACAGTGACAATCATCGCTCAGTATAAACCTGACGGTGAGGGTCAGCTCGGGCCGGGGCCCACCTCTGGGTGGCATCATGGAGGGAGGGACAGGGGCTCGGTGGGTGGGGCTGGGGCTGGGGCTGGGGCTGGGTGGGCGGATGGGGTTGGAAGGATGGAGGGATGCCCGGGGGTTGGCCAGCCGGGAGAAGGGATGTGTGGGGTGTTGGATGGAGACTGGGTGGGCGGATGGACGGACAGAGGGATGGGGATGGAGACTGGGTGGGCGGAATGGAGGGTGGGTGGATGGACGGATGGAGGGATGGGGATGGACGGACAGAGGGACGGGGTGTTGGGCGGGCGGATGGACGGTGGGATGGGAATGGAGGGTGGGTGGATGGACGGATGGAGGGATGGGGATGGACGGACAGAGGGACGGGGTGTTGGGCGGGCGGATGGGAATGGAGGGTGGGTGAATGGACAGATGGAGGGATGGGGATGGACGGACAGAGGGACGGGGTGTTGGGCGGGCGGATGGGAATGGAGGGTGGGTGGACAGACGGACGGAGGGATGGGGTGTTGGGCGGATGGACGGACGGCGGGATGGGGATGTAGGGTGGGTGGATGGACGGATGGAGGGATGGGGATGGACAGATGGGGGGATGGGGTGTTGGGTGGACGGACGGACGGAGGGATGGGGGGATGGGGTGTTGAGCGGATGGAGGGTGGGTGAATGGACAGATGGCGGGATGGGGATGGACGGACAGAGGGACGGGGTGTTGGGCGGGCGGATGGGAATGGAGGGTGATTGGACAGACGGACGGAGGGATGGGGTGTTGGGCAGATGGACGGACGGCGGGATGGGGATGTAGGGTGGGTGGATGGACGGATGGAGGGATGGGGATGGACAGATGGGGGGATGGGGTGTTGGGTGGACGGACGGACGGAGGGATGGGGGGATGGGGTGTTGAGCGGATGGACGGACGGCGGGATGGGGATGGAGGGTGGGTGGATGGACGGATGGAGGGATGGGGATGGACAGATGGGGGGATGGGGTGTTGGGTGGACGGACGGACGGAGGGATGGGTGGATGGGGTGTTGAGCGGATGGAGGGTGGGTGAATGGACAGATGGAGGGATGGGGATGGACGGACAGAGGGACGGGGTGTTGGGCAGGCGGATGGGAATGGAGGGTGGGTGGACAGACGGACGGAGGGATGGGGGGATGGGGTGTTGGGCGGATGGACGGACGGCGGGATGGGGATGGAGGGTGGGTGGATGGACGGATGGAGGGATGGGGATGGACAGATGGGGGGATGGGGTGTTGGGTGGACGGACGGACGGAGGGATGGGGGGATGGGGTGTTGAGCAGATGGAGGGTGGGTGAATGGACAGATGGAGGGATGGGGATGGACGGACAGAGGGACGGGGTGTTGGGCGGGCGGATGGACGGTGGGATGGGAATGGAGGGTGGGTGGATGGATGGATGGAGGGATGGGGATGGACGGACAGAGGGACAGGGTGTTGGGCGGGCGGATGGACGGTGGGATGGGAATGGAGGGTGGGTGGATGGACGGATGGAGGGATGGGGATGGACAGATGGGGGGATGGGGTGTTGGGTGGACGGACGGACGGAGGGATGGGGGGATGGGGTGTTGAGCAGATGGAGGGTGGGTGAATGGACAGATGGAGGGATGGGGATGGACGGACAGAGGGACGGGGTGTTGGGCGGGCGGATGGACGGTGGGATGGGAATGGAGGGTGGGTGGATGGACGGATGGAGGGATGGGGATGGACGGACAGAGGGACGGGGTGTTGGGCGGGCGGATGGGAATGGAGGGTGGGTGGACAGACGGACGGAGGGATGGGGTGTTGGGCGGATGGACGGACGGCGGGATGGGGATGTAGGGTGGGTGGATGGACGGATGGAGGGATGGGGATGGACAGATGGGGGGATGGGGTGTTGGGTGGACGGACGGACGGAGGGATGGGGGGATGGGGTGTTGAGCAGATGGAGGGTGGGTGAATGGACAGATGGAGGGATGGGGATGGACGGACAGAGGGACGGGGTGTTGGGCGGGCGGATGGACGGTGGGATGGGAATGGAGGGTGGGTGGATGGACGGATGGAGGGATGGGGATGGACGGACAGAGGGACGGGGTGTTGGGCGGGCGGATGGGAATGGAGGGTGGGTGAATGGACAGATGGAGGGATGGGGATGGACGGACGGCAGGACGGGGTGTTGGGCGGGCGGATGGGAATGGAGGGTGGGTGGACAGACGGACGGAGGGATGGGGTGTTGGGCGGATGGACGGACGGTGGGATGGGAATGGAGGGTGGGTGGATGGACGGATGGAGGGATGGGGATGGACAGATGGGGGGATGGGGTGTTGGGTGGACGGACGGACGGAGGGATGGGGGGATGGGGTGTTGAGCGGATGGAGGGTGGGTGAATGGACAGATGGAGGGATGGGGATGGACGGACAGAGGGACGGGGTGTTGGGCGGGCGGATGGACGGTGGGATGGGAATGGAGGGTGGGTGGATGGACGGATGGAGGGATGGGGATGGACAGATGGGGGGATGGGGTGTTGGGTGGACGGACGGACGGAGGGATGGGGATGGACGGACAGAGGGACGGGGTGTTGGGCGGGCGGATGGACGGTGGGATGGGAATGGAGGGTGGGTGAATGGACGGATGGAGGGATGGGGATGGACGGACAGAGGGACGGGGTGTTGGGCGGATGGACGGACGGCGGGATGGGGATGGAGGGTGGGTGGATGGACGGATGGAGGGATGGGGATGGACGGACAGAGGGACGGGGGTGTTGGGCGGGCGGATGGACGGTGGGATGGGAATGGAGGGTGGGTGAATGGACGGATGGAGGGATGGGGATGGACGGACAGAGGGACGGGGTGTTGGGCGGATGGACGGACGGCGGGATGGGGATGGAGGGTGGGTGGATGGACGGATGGAGGGATGGGGATGGACAGATGGGGGGATGGGGTGTTGGGTGGACGGACGGACGGAGGGATGGGGGGATGGGGTGTTGAGCGGATGGAGGGTGGGTGAATGGACAGATGGAGGGATGGGGATGGACGGACAGAGGGACGGGGTGTTGGGCGGGCGGATGGGAATGGAGGGTGGGTGGACAGACGGACGGAGGGATGGGGTGTTGGGCGGATGGACGGACGGCGGGATGGGGATGTAGGGTGGGTGGATGGACGGATGGAGGGATGGGGATGGACAGATGGGGGGATGGGGTGTTGGGTGGACGGACGGACGGAGGGATGGGGGGATGGGGTGTTGAGCGGATGGAGGGTGGGTGAATGGACAGATGGAGGGATGGGGATGGACGGACAGAGGGACGGGGTGTTGGGCGGGCGGATGGACGGTGGGATGGGAATGGAGGGTGGGTGGATGGATGGATGGAGGGATGGGGATGGACGGACAGAGGGACGGGGTGTTGGGCGGGCGGATGGACGGTGGGATGGGAATGGAGGGTGGGTGGATGGACGGATGGAGGGATGGGGATGGACGGACAGAGGGACGGGGTGTTGGGCGGGCGGATGGGAATGGAGGGTGGGTGGACAGACGGACGGAGGGATGGGGTGTTGGGCGGATGGACGGACGGCGGGATGGGGATGTAGGGTGGGTGGATGGACGGATGGAGGGATGGGGATGGACAGATGGGGGGATGGGGTGTTGGGTGGACGGACGGACGGAGGGATGGGGGGATGGGGTGTTGAGCAGATGGAGGGTGGGTGAATGGACAGATGGAGGGATGGGGATGGACGGACAGAGGGACGGGGTGTTGGGCGGGCGGATGGACGGTGGGATGGGAATGGAGGGTGGGTGGATGGACGGATGGAGGGATGGGGATGGACGGACAGAGGGACGGGGTGTTGGGCGGGCGGATGGACGGTGGGATGGGAATGGAGGGTGGGTGGATGGACGGATGGAGGGATGGGGATGGACGGACAGAGGGACGGGGTGTTGGGCGGGCGGATGGACGGTGGGATGGGAATGGAGGGTGGGTGGATGGACGGATGGAGGGATGGGGATGGACGGACAGAGGGACGGGGTGTTGGGCGGGCGGATGGGAATGGAGGGTGGGTGAATGGACAGATGGAGGGATGGGGATGGACGGACGGCAGGACGGGGGTGTTGGGCGGGCGGATGGGAATGGAGGGTGGGTGGACAGACGGACGGAGGGATGGGGTGTTGGGCGGATGGACGGACGGTGGGATGGGAATGGAGGGTGGGTGGATGGACGGATGGAGGGATGGGGATGGACAGATGGGGGGATGGGGTGTTGGGTGGACGGACGGACGGAGGGATGGGGGGATGGGGTGTTGAGCAGATGGAGGGTGGGTGAATGGACAGATGGAGGGATGGGGATGGACGGACAGAGGGACGGGGTGTTGGGCGGGCGGATGGACGGTGGGATGGGAATGGAGGGTGGGTGGATGGACGGATGGAGGGATGGGGATGGACGGACAGAGGGACGGGGTGTTGGGCGGGCGGATGGGAATGGAGGGTGGGTGAATGGACAGATGGAGGGATGGGGATGGACGGACGGCAGGACGGGGTGTTGGGCGGGCGGATGGGAATGGAGGGTGGGTGGACAGACGGACGGAGGGATGGGGTGTTGGGCGGATGGACGGACGGTGGGATGGGAATGGAGGGTGGGTGGATGGACGGATGGAGGGATGGGGATGGACAGATGGGGGATGGGGTGTTGGGTGGACGGACGGACGGAGGGATGGGGGGATGGGGTGTTGAGCAGATGGAGGGTGGGTGAATGGACAGATGGAGGGATGGGGATGGACGGACAGAGGGACGGGGTGTTGGGCGGGCGGATGGACGGTGGGATGGGAATGGAGGGTGGGTGGATGGACGGATGGAGGGATGGGGATGGACAGATGGGGGGATGGGGTGTTGGGTGGACGGACGGACGGGGATGGACGGACAGAGGGACGGGGTGTTGGGCGGGCGGATGGACGGTGGGATGGGAATGGAGGGTGGGTGAATGGACAGATGGAGGGATGGGGATGGACGGACAGAGGGACGGGGTGTTGGGCGGATGGACGGACGGCGGGATGGGGATGGAGGGTGGGTGGATGGACGGATGGAGGGACGGGGATGGACGGACAGAGGGACGGGGTGTTGGGCGGGCGGATGGGAATGGAGGGTGGGTGGATGGACGGATGGAGGGATGGGGATGGACGGACAGAGGGACGGGGTGTTGGGCGGGCGGATGGGAATGGAGGGTGGGTGGACAGACGGACGGAGGGATGGGGTGTTGGGCGGATGGACGGTGGGATGGGAATGGAGGGTGGGTGGATGGACGGATGGAGGGATGGGGATGGACAGATGGGGGGATGGGGTGTTGGGTGGACGGACGGACGGAGGGATGGGGGGATGGGGTGTTGAGCAGATGGAGGGTGGGTGGATGGACGGATGGAGGGATGGGGATGGACGGACAGAGGGACGGGGTGTTGGGCGGGCGGATGGACGGTGGGATGGGAATGGAGGGTGGGTGGATGGACGGATGGAGGGATGGGGATGGACGGACAGAGGGACGGGGTGTTGGGCGGGCGGATGGGAATGGAGGGTGGGTGGATGGACGGATGGAGGGATGGGGATGGACGGACAGAGGGACGGGGTGTTGGGCGGGCGGATGGACGGTGGGATGGGAATGGAGGGTGGGTGGATGGACGGATGGAGGGATGGGGATGGACAGATGGGGGGATGGGGTGTTGGGTGGACGGACGGACGGAGGGATGGGGGGATGGGGTGTTGAGCAGATGGAGGGTGGGTGGATGGACGGATGGAGGGATGGGGATGGACGGACAGAGGGACGGGGTGTTGGGCGGGCGGATGGGAATGGAGGGTGGGTGGATGGACAGATGGAGGGATGGGGATGGACGGACAGAGGGACGGGGTGTTGGGCGGGCGGATGGACGGTGGGATGGGAATGGAGGGTGGGTGGATGGACGGATGGAGGGATGGGGATGGACGGACAGAGGGACGGGGTGTTGGGCGGGCGGATGGGAATGGAGGGTGGGTGAATGGACGGATGGAGGGATGGGGATGGACGGACAGAGGGACGGGGTGTTGGGCGGGCGGATGGACGGTGGGATGGGAATGGAGGGTGGGTGGGTGAATGGACAGATGGAGGGATGGGGATGGACGGACAGAGGGACGGGGTGTTGGGCGGGCGGATGGACGGTGGGATGGGAATGGAGGGTGGGTGGATGGACGGATGGAGGGATGGGGATGGACGGACAGAGGGACGGGGTGTTGGGCGGGCGGATGGGAATGGAGGGTGGGTGGATGGACGGATGGAGGGATGGGGATGGACGGACAGAGGGACGGGGTGTTGGGCGGGCGGATGGACGGTGGGATGGGAATGGAGGGTGGGTGGATGGACGGATGGAGGGATGGGGATGGACGGACGGCAGGACGGGGTGTTGGGCGGGCGGATGGGAATGGAGGGTGGGTGGACAGACGGACGGCAGGACGGGGTGTTGGGCGGGCGGACGGACGGCGGGACGGGGGCGCACGGACGGACCGGCGGGTTCCCCTGGCAGGAGGCCTCGCGCCGGCCGGGCGGATTTGGGGGATGCCGAGGGGTGAGGAGGGACGTCCTGGGGGGGGCCCCAGGCAGCGCCTGGCCCCGAACCCCCCGATTGCCCCCCAGAGTACAGCCGCTTCGAGGCCAAAATCCACGACCTGCGGGAGCAGCTGATGAGCAGCAGCCTGGGCTCCGGGACGGCCTCCCTGCGCAGCAACCCGAAGCGGGGCTTTTACATCCGGTGAGAGCCCCCCCGGGGCCCCCCCAGACCCCTGAGATGCCCAGCCCCCCCACGAGCCCCCCCACTGACCCCCGGGAGCCCCCCACCCCCTGAGATGCCCAGCCCCCCCACGAGTCCCCTGTCACCCCACAAGACCTCCCGTAGATCCCCAGGAGCCACCCCCAACAAGTTCCCCCCAGCCCCTCACGAGCCCCCCTGTCACCCCACAAGCCCCCCACAGAGCCCCCAGGAGCTTCCCCACCCCCTCTGAGACGCTCCACCCCCCACAAATCCTACCATCCCCCCACAGAACCTTCCACCCCTCTAAGCCCCCCATCTCCCCACAAGCCTCCCAACTCCCCAGGAGTCCCCCCAGCCCCTGACAGACACCCCAGGAGCTTCCCCACCCCACTGAGACGCTCCACCCCGCAGAAACCCTCCCATCCCCACACAGAGCTCCTTTAGCTCCCCCATCCCCCCACAAACCCTCCTGAGCCCCCCCAACCGTCCCCACACACACGACCCCCCAGCCCGGCTGCTGAGCACCCCACTAACTCCGCCCCTCATACGCATGGAGCCGGGGAGCCTCATGTCCCCCCTGTCCACAGAAGGGGAGTGTCCTCTAGTCTGGTGGGTCAGAGCGGGCCGGGGGCCTGGGAGCCCGGACGCCTGGGTTCTATCCCCAGCTCTGGGAGGGGAGCGGGGGCTGGCAGGTCAGAGCAGAGGGGGCTGGGAGCCAGGACTCCTGGGTTCTCTCCCCGGCTCCGGGAGGGCAGTGGGGGCTGCCGGGTCAGGGCAGGAGGGGCTGGGAGCCCGGACGCCTGGGTTCTCTTCCCAGCTCCGGGAGGGCAGTGGGGGCTGGCAGGTCAGAGCAGAGGGGGCTGGGAGCCCGGACGCCTGGGTTCTCTCCCCGGCTCTGGGAGGGTAGTGGGGGCTGGCGGGTCAGGGCAGGAGGGGCTGGGAGCCAGGACTCCTGGGTTCTCTCCCCGGCTCCGGGAGGGCAGGTCAGGGCAGGGGGCTGGGAGCCCGGACGCCTGGGTTCTCTGACCCCCCGCCCCGCCCTGCAGGGCGCTATTCGACTACGACAAGACGAAGGACTGCGGGTTCCTGAGCCAGGCGCTGAGTTTCCGCTTCGGGGACGTGCTGCACGTGGTCGACGCCTCGGACGACGAGTGGTGGCAGGCGCGGCGGGTCCACCCCGACGGGGAGGGCGACGAGATCGGCTTCGTGCCCAGCAAGAGACGGTACCGGCGGGGGCTGGGGGAGAGTCTGTGGGGCTGAAGTGGCTGTTGGGGGGAGGTGGGGCTTTGGGAAGGGGGCAGGGCTGCAGGGCAGGGGGCGGGGCCTCAAGGGGAGAGGGTGTGGGGAGGGGTGGAGTGGGCGGGGCCTCAGGGCAGGGGCGGGGCTTCAGGGGGAGGGTTTGGGGGTGGGGCTTTGGGAAGGGGGAGGGGCTGCAGGGGAAGAGGTTCTGGGGACGGTTTGGGGTGGGGCTTTGGAAAGGGGGCGGGGCTGCAGGGCAGGGGGCGGGGCTGCAGGGGGAGTTTCTGGGGAGGGTTTGGGGGTGGGGCTTTGGAAAGGGGGGCCGCAGGGCGGGGGGGGCCGCAGGGGGAGAGGTTGTGGGGAGGGGTTGGGGGTGGGGCTTTGGGAAGTGGGCGGGGCCACAGGGGGCGGGGCTTCAGGGGGAGTTTCTGGGGAGGGTTTGGGGGTGGGGCTTTGGAAAGGGGCGGGGCCGCAGGGCGGGGGGGCTGCAGAGGGAGAGCTTGTGGGGAGGGTTTGGGGGTGGGGCTTTGGGAAGTGGGCGGGGCCTCAGGGCAGGGGGAGGGGCCACAGGGGGAGAGGTTGTGGGGAGGGTTTGGGGGTGGGGCTTTGGGAAGTGGGCGGGGCCACAGGGGGCGGGGCCGCAGGGGGAGAGGTTGTGGGGAGGGTTTGGGGGTGGGGCTTTGGAAAGGGGCGGGGCCGCAGGGCAGGGGGCGGGGCCGTCTCTGAGTTTTGCCCTCCCTGCAGGGTGGAGCGCCGGGAGTGGACGCGGTTAAAGGCCAAGGTGAGTGGCTGCTCCCATGCCCCCCACACGCTCCCCCTGGGGGCGGGGGGGCTGGGTCTGCAAACACCGGGGGGGGGAGGCAGCCAGGGTGCCTGACCCCCAGGGGGCGCTGTGGGGCGCGGCTCCCACCGCAGGCACCAGAGCTGGAAGAGACGCGGGGGAGGGGGGATCCATGGGGGGTGGGGCTATCCTGGGGTGAGGGGCTCTGGGGTTGTGGGGCGGGCAGGGGAATGGGATGGGGGGAGGTGAGAGATGGAGGCTGTAATGGACCCCCCTATGGGTAGAGAAATGGGAGGGGACATGGGCAATTTATGTCTGTCTGTCTGTCCTATCCATCTATCCACCCCCCCTCTATCTATCTACCCCATACACCCCCCATCTACCCACCCCCCTTTATCTATCTACCCCATGCACCCCCCTTTATCTATCTATTTATCTACCCCATCCACCCCCTCTATCTTTGTATCTACCCCCCATCTATCCATCTACCCCGTCCACCCCCCCATCTATCTATGCCCCTGTCCCGGGGTCCCCGGGCGATGCTCTGGGACTGCTCCCCATGAAGCCGGGCAGGACTCGGGGGGAGTCTCCTCTCGGGGGGCAGCCTGTCTGCAGGACACACAGCTCCCCCGGCTCCACCTTCCTGGGTCTGACCCCGGAGCCTCCAGCCCCCCTGCCCCTCCCTGCGCTTCCCACAGCGAGTCCGCCCAGGCGGGGTCCTGGGGGGGCCAGAGGGTCCTGCCCCCCAACTCCGCAGTCAGACGTGACTCTCAGCCAGCCGGTAACACAGAAGGTTTATTAGACGACAGGGACATGGTCTAACACAGAGCTTGTAGGTGCAGAGACCTCAGCTGGGTCCATTTTGGGGGGCAGTGAGCCAGACAACCCCGTCTGCCCCTCACTCCATGTCCCAGCCAGCCCCCAACTGAAACTCCCCCCAGCCCCCCCCTGCTCTGGGCTTTGTCCCTTTCCCGGGCCAGGAGGGGACCTGATTCCTTTGTTCTCCAACCCTTCAGCTCTCACCTTGCAGGGGGGAAGGGCCCAGGCCATCCCTGGCCAGGAAACAGGGTGTCGGCCATTCTCTGTGTCCAGACCCCTGCACACACCTGCCCTCTAGGGCTCTGCAAGGATCATACACCCTTATCCCACCCCCTAGAGACTTAAGAACTGCCTAGGGGAAACTGAGGCACCCCCACACTGTTCAGAGGAAACATTAAGAACAGTCCCGCTTCGTCACAGCCCATCCACCCCCTCTATCTACCCCGACGCACCCCATCTCTCTCTCTCTCTCTCTCTCGCTCTCGCTCTCACTCTCTTCCTCTCTCTCTCTCTCTTTCTGCCCCGCTCCAGGATCGGGTGCCAGGATCGGGCTCTCAAGGTGGGTTTCTCTCCTGCTGTCGCCTTCTCCTTCCGTTTCCAACTGTCCCTTTACGTCCTACGCGACCCCCCAGCCCCGCCGGTGCCCCTCACTCCAGACCCACAGGCCCCTGCCCCCCCCAGCCCCGCCGGTGCCCCTCACTCCAGACCCGCAGCCCCCTGCCCCCCCAGCCCCGCCGGTGCCCCCCACTCCCGACCCGCAGCCCCCTGCCCCCCCCAGCCCCGCCGGTGCCCCCCACTCCCGACCCGCAGCCCCCTGCCCCCCCCAGCCCCGCCGGTGCCCCCCACTCCCGACCCGCAGCCCCCTGCCCCCCCCAGCCCCGCCGGTGCCCCCCACTCCCGACCCGCAGCCCCCTGCCCCCCCAGCCCCGCCGGTGCCCCTCACTCCCGACCCGCAGCCCCCTGCCCCCCCAGCCCCGCCGGTGCCCCTCACTCCCAACCCGCAGCCCCCTGCCCCCCCAGATGTGCCCCCCAGCCCTGCCGGTGACTCTTTCGGATTCTCACCCCCAGGTCGGGAAGATTCAGTCCTGAGCTACGAGACCGTGATGCAGATGGAAGGTGAGGGTCTGGCTGGCTGCCAGCAGGGGGCGCTGGGGAGGGGGGGAGGGGAATCCGTCTGTCCCCCATCTCGATTCTCTCTCTCTCCCCCCCCCCCCAGTGCACTACGCTCGCCCCATTATCATCCTGGGGCCCACCAAGGACCGAGCGAACGACGATCTGCTCTCCGAATTCCCCGACAAGTTCGGGTCCTGCGTCCCCCGTGAGTCCTGGTGGGGGCGGGGGGCAGGGGCGTCCATGCTGTGGGGGCAGGGGGTAGGGCAGGAGGGTCTGGGCTGCGGGGAGGTGGGGGAGTGCCGGGCTACAGGGGGCAGGAGGGTGGGGCAGATGGGGGCTGGGCTGCAGGGGGGAGACAGGGGCGTGCCGGGCTACAGGGGGGCGCCATGTAGCAGGGGGCTCGGCGGGGGGGCGCCGTCTGGCAAGGGGGTGGGCAGAGAGAGGTGCTGGGCTGTGGGGCGGGTAGGGGGTGCTGGGCTACAGGGGGGCGCCGTGTAGCAGGGGGCTCGGCGGGGGGCCGCCGTCTGGCAGGGGGGGTGGGCAGAGAGAGGTGCTGGGCAGTGGGGGGGTAGGGGGTGCTGGGCTACAGGGGGGCGCCGTGTAGCAGGGGGCTCGGCGGGGGGGTGCCGCATGGTCGGGGGGTGGGGCAGAGAGAGGTGCTGGGCAGCGGGGGGGTAGGGGGTGCCGGGCTACAGGGGGGCGCCGTGTAGCAGGGGGCTCGGCGGGGGGGCGCCGTCTGGCAGGGGGTGGGGCAGAGAGAGGTGCTGGGCAGGGGGTGGGGCAGAGAGAGGTGCTGGGCTGTGGGGCGGGTAGGGGGTGCTGGGCTACAGGGGGCGCCGTGTAGCAGGGGGCTCGGCGGGGGGCGCCGTCTGGCAGGGGGTGGGGCAGAGAGAGGTGCTGGGCAGCGGGGGGGTAGGGGGTGCCGGGCTACAGGGGGCGCCGTGTAGCAGGGGGCTCGGCGGGGGGCGCCGTCTGGCAGGGGGTGGGGCAGAGAGAGGTGCTGGGCAGGGGGTGGGGCAGAGAGAGGTGCTGGGCTGTGGGGCGGGTAGGGGGTGCTGGGCTACAGGGGGGCGCCGTGTAGCAGGGGGCTCGGCGGGGGGGCGCCGTCTGGCAGGGGGTGGGGCAGAGAGAGGTGCTGGGCAGCGGGGGGGGTAGGGGGTGCCGGGCTACAGGGGGGCGCCGTGTAGCAGGGGGCTCGGCGGGGGGGCGCCGTCTGGCAGGGGGTGGGGCAGAGAGAGGTGCTGGGCTGTGGGGCGGGTAGGGGGTGCTGGGATACAGGGGGGCGCCGTGTAGCAGGGGGCTCGGCGGGGGTGCCGCATGGTCGGGGCGTGGGGCAGAGAGAGGTGCTGGGCTGCGGGAGGGGGCAGGGGGGGCGCCGTGTAGCAGGGGGCTCGGCGGGGGGGCGCCGTCTGGCGGGGGGTGGGGCAGAGAGAGGTGCTGGGCAGCGGGGGGGCAGGGGGTGCTGGGCTACAGGGGGGCGCCGTGTAGCAGGGGGCTCGGCGGGGGGCGCCGCATGGTCGGGGGGTGGGGCAGAGAGAGGTGCTGGGCTGCGGGAGGGGGCTGGGGGCTCAGCAGGGGGGCGCCGGGCTACGGGGGCTCCGGAGAAGGCCCTGACCCCCCCGCCCCCCCCAGACACCACGCGGCCCAAGCGGGAGTACGAGGTGGACGGCCGGGACTATCACTTCGTGGCCTCGCGGGAGAAGATGGAGAAGGACATCCAGGGCCACAAGTTCATCGAGGCCGGACAGTACAACAGCCACCTGTACGGGACCAGCGTCCAGTCCGTGCGCGAGGTGGCCGAGCAGGTACCGGGGGGGCCGGCCGGGGGGGCGGGGGCCAGCAGTGGGGCGGGAGGGACATCGCAGGGGGGAGGCTAGTGGAGGGGATAGAGGGGCAGCGGGGAGGGGGCCGGCAGTGGGGAGGGAGGGACATTGTGGGGGGGGGCTAGTGGAGGTGAGGGAGGGGCAGCGGGGGAGGGGGCCGGCAGTGGGGAGGGAGGGACATCGTGGGGGGGGGAGTGGAGGGGAGGGAGGGGCAGCAGGGAGGGGGCCAGCAGTGGGGAGGTAGGGACATCACGGGGGGGGGGACTAGTGGAGGGGAGGGAGGGGCAGTAGGGAGGGGGCAGCCAGGGGGCGGGGGCCGGCAGGGGGGAGGGAGGGACATCGTGGGGGGGAGCTAGCGGAGGTGAGGGAGGGGCAGCTGGGGGCGGGGACTGGCAGGGGGAGGGAGGGACATGGGGGGCTAGCGGAGGGGAAGTGGGGACATCACAGGGGGGCTAGCGGAGGGGAGGGAGGGGCAGCAGGGAGCAGGCAGCTGGGGGGTGGGGGCCGGCAGCGGGGGAGAGGGACATTGCAGGGAGGGGCTAGCGGAGGTGAGGGGGGGCAGCGGGGTGTGGGCCCGCTGGGGGACGGGAGGGACAGCGGGAGGGGGCTAGCAGAAGGGAGGGAGGGGCAGCGGGAGGGGGGCTAGTGGAGGGGAGGGAGAGGCAGCGGGGAGGGGGGGTCAGCCGGGGGCAGGGGCCAGTAGTGGGGAGGGAGGGACATCACGGGGGGGGGGCTAGCGGAGGGGAGGGAGGGGCAGCCAGGGGGCGGGGTCCAGTAGTGGGGAGGGAGGGACATCACGGGGGGGCTAGCGGAGGTGAGGGAGGGCCAGCTGGGGGGCGGGGGCTGGCAGGGGGGAGGGAGGGACATCATGGGGGGGGCTAGTGGAGGGGAGGGGGCAGCGGGAAGGGGGGGTCGGTGGATGGTTGATGAACCCCCCCCGGCACTGCAGGGCAAACACTGCATCCTTGACGTCTCGGCCAACGCGGTGCGACGGCTCCAGGCCGCCCAGCTCCACCCGATCGCCATCTTCATCCGGCCCCGGTCCCTGGAGAATGTCCTGTGAGTACGGGGCCCATGGGCTGGGGGCGGGCTCGCTGGGGGCGGAGCTGAGAAGGCTGGGGGCGGGGTCTGCAATGGATGGGGGCAGGGTCTGATATGGCAGGGGCGGGGTCAGGTGGGATCAGGGAGCGAGGTCTGAGACAGCTGGGGGAGGAGTCTACGTGGGCGGTGGGGGCGGGGTCTGATATGGCGGGGGGCGGGGTCTGATATGGCGGGGGGCGGGGTCTGATATGGCGGGGGGCGGGGTCTGAGATGGCGGGGGCGGGGTCTGAGATGGCTGGGGCGGGGTCTAAACGGACTGTGGGGCGGGGGCTGAGACGGCGGTGGGTGGGGTCTAAGTGGGGGGCGAAGAGCGAAGTCTGACACGTGTGTCCCCCCGTCCCCCCCCCACAGAGAGATCAGCAAGCGGGTAACGGAGGAGCAGGCGCGGAAAGCCTTCGATCGAGCCATCAAACTGGAGCAAGAATTCACAGAGTGCTTCTCGGGTGGGTCCCCCCCAGCCCCAGGGTCCCCCCGTCAGACCCCTGGGACGGTCCCGCTGTCCCAAATTTGGGGGACACGGAGGCTGCCGGCTCCCATGCGGCTCACCGGCGCCCTTGATCCGAAGCCGGCCCGGCTCGGAAAATCCTTCCCGACGGGCGCGTCCCCAGATCCGGGGCGGGATCTGCCCCCGGCCCGGGTGGGATCTCCGGGGGGGCCCCCTCGCCCGTCTCCCCCCACTGACCCTGTGCCGTGTTTCCCCCCTGCCCCCCTGCAGCCATCGTGGAAGGCGAGAGTTTCGAGGAGATCTACCACAAAATCAAACGGATTATCGAGGAACTTTCGGGGCCCTACATCTGGATCCCGGCCCGGGAGAGGCTCTAGGCACCTGCCCCGCGCGGGGCGACTCCGGCCTGACCCAGACGATTGTGGACACGGAACTGAGCCGTTGGGGGTCACGTTTCGGGGAGGAGGGGGCGGGGGGGGGCGGGGGCGGCGCGAGAAGGGCTGTTTCTTTCTTCTCCTTCCTTGGGTTTCTTTTTGGCGCAATCCTTCGCCTGGCTCCTTCCCCGGCCCCGCTCCCGTCTCAATGCACCCCGCCCGCCCGCTTCGAGGAAAGCGCTTTGTGCATGCTTTGTGTTTTTTCGAGAGGTGTTGGCTTGTGACGTCTGCGCTTCCGGAACTTGGCTTTTGCCCCCCCCCGCCCCCCCCCGGCCACCCCCCCACCCCCCCGGCGTCAGGGGACGCGCGAAGGAGAAGAGCGGAACGGGGAAAAGCGAGAGAGCCGGGGACGGACAAAACCCTCGTCTCCGCACCAGCGGGCGTCAAAGAGTGTCCCCCCCCCCGGCCCAGATCCAAGGAGACCCGGAGCCAAGAGCCGCCCCGGGTTCGTGGCGTTGTCGGGACGATCGCCGCGGCGGGCCGGGCTTGGGGGGGGGGGGGAACGAACGGATTTAAAACCAACGCCCCCCCTCGCCCCGTCTTTCCGAGCCAATTCATTTTTGTGGCTTCGTCGGCCGGGGACAGAGGAGGAAATAACCCGCCGTTCGCATTTTGCTGGCTCGGCAATTTCGATTTTTCTTTCCCGGGGGGGTGGGAACCGAAACAAGTTTTCGACGTTCTGTGAATATCTTTTTTCGTTCTTCCCCTCGGGGTCATAGCGAGTGTTTTTGGTGCGGCTGTCCGTGATTGTATGAAACCGGGGGGGCGGGCGGGCGGTCCTTTCTTTTCTCGTTACAGGCCTTTCCGTTGGGACACGTTCTGAATTATGACGCTGTTGATTTCTTTCCTTTTGGTTTGGGGGTGGTTTGGGGTTGGGTTTTTTTTGGGGGGGGGGGTTGGTATATAAACTCGAGCCGGCCGCAGAGACCCTTGCGAGAAGAAAGACCTGCCACGTCCGGCCCGAGTAGCGGGGAATTGGGTACGCTGTGTCAGGACTCCTGGGTTCTCTCCCCAGCTCTGGGAGGGCAGTGGGGGCGGGTGGGTTAGAGCAGCGGGGCCTGGGAGCCAGGACTCCTGGGTTCTCTCCCCGGGTCTGGGAGGGGAGTGGCGGCTGGTGGGTCAGAGCAGGGGGGGCTGGGAGCCAGGACTCCTGGGTTCTCTCCCCGGCTCTGGGAGGGCAGTGGCGGCTGGTGGGTCAGAGCAGGGGGGGCTGGGAGCCAGGACTCCTGGGTTCTCTCCCACAAAGGCACTTTCTCGGCCTCTGCAGTGACCATAACCCACCCCGAGGGCGATGCTGTGTGCACTTCATGACCCCCGGGGGGGGCGCGGTGACCCTCGGGGGCTGCTTCAGGTTTAGTGACGGGTGGGGGGGGGGTCTCTCTTTCCTACAGGGGTCTGGGAATGGGGGAGGGGGGAGGGGGAGAAAAGAATATTTTGCATAGAAATATTATTACCAGAGAATTAAAACGGACAATATCGATCTCTCTACCCGCTTCTCCACACTGCGCCTTTCTGTTCCCACTCAGAGAGACAGCTGGGTGTGAGTTTCCTGGGGGGCGCTGGGAGCCAGGACTCCTGGGTTCTCTCCCCGGCTCTGGGAGGGGAGCGGAGGTTGGTGGGTCAGAGCAGGGGGGCTGGGAGCCAGGACGCCTGGGTTCGCTTCCCGGCTCGGGGAGGGGAGTGGGGGCTGGTGGGTCAGAGCAGGGGGGGCTGGGAGCCAGGACGCCTGGGTTCGCTCCCCGGCTCGGGGAGGGGAGCGGGGGCTGGTGGTTAGAGCGGGGGGGCTGGGAGCCAGGACTCCTGGGTTCCCTCCCCGGTTCTGGGAGGGGAGCGGGGGCTGGTGGTTAGAGCGGGGGGACGGGGCTGGGAGCCAGGACCGATGATTAATCTGTGGCGGTTTTATTCCCCCCGCCCCCCACAAGACGTTACTTTTAATTTAAAGAGTCACAGAAACTTTATTGAGGTCGAGGGGACTGAAGCGAGCGACGAGAAGAGACGAGGAGAATATTTGAAAAAAAAAAAAAAAGTTTTAAAAAAAGTTAAAAATAAAAATTCAAGTGACCCAGAATTTACAAACGGTCTTTAGTGTTCTTGGTGGAAACCCAGCCCCCCAATAAACCCCACCCCCTCTGCTCCCTGCCCCACGGCGCCCCCTAGTGCCGCCCTGGGGCCAGCTCCGCCTGCCGGGGCAGAGAGCCCCCCGCCGCGCCCCCTGCCCCCCTGCGCCCCCCAGTGCCCCCTGGGGCCAGCCCCGCCTGCCGGGGAGAGAGCCCCCCCGCCGCACCCCCCGCCCCCCTGCGCCCCCTGCCCCACTGTCGTGTCCCCACATTGGAAGTGGGATGTTGGGGTCTCCCTGCCCCACCTTGGGGTGACGCGCGGCCCGCCTGGGCGAGGGACCTGAGCGCAGTGACCCGGGAGCAGTGCCAGGCCAGGAATCGGTCACTGATTAAGCCCTTTATGTACCTTGGTGGGGGTGAAGGCCTGCATCCCTGGGGGGGCACCTAGACCACGGGGCGGGCATGGGGACAGACAGACAGGGGCAGGTACGCGGACAGACAGTAGGGCGGGCATGGGGACAGACAGACAGGCGGGGGCAGGTATGGGGACAGACAGACTGGGCGGGCATGGGGACAGACGGACAGACAGACAGGGCAGGTATGGGGACAGACAGACGGGGGGCAGGTATAGGGAGAGACAGATGGACAGCGGGGGGGCATGGGGATAGACAGACAGGGGCGGGCATGGGGACAGACAGGGCTGGCTATGGGGACAGACAGACGGGGCGTGCATGGGGACAGATGGACAGCGGGGGGGCATGGGGACAGACAGACGGGGCGTGCATGGGGACAGATGGACAGCAGGGGGGCATGGGGACAGACAGACAGGGACGGGCATGGGGACAGACAGGGGTGGCTATGGGGACAGACAGACGGGGCGTGCATGGGGACAGATGGACAGCGGGGGGGCATGGGGACAGACAGACAGGGGCGGGCATGGGGACAGACAGGGGTGGCTATGGGGACAGACGGACAGGGCGTGCATGGGGACAGATGGACAGCGGGGGGGCATGGGGACAGACAGACAGGGGCGGGCATGGGGACAGACAGGGCTGGCTATGGGGACAGACAGACGGGCGTGCATGGGGACAGATGGACAGCGGGGGGGGCATGGGGACAGACAGACAGGGGCGGGCATGGGGACAGACAGGCGTGGCTATGGGGACAGACAGACGGGGCGTGCATGGGGACAGATGGACAGCGGGGGGCATGGGGACAGACAGGGGCGGGCATGGGGACAGACAGGGGTGGCTATGGGGACAGACGGACAGGGCGTGCATGGGGACAGATGGACAGCGGGGGGGCATGGGGACAGACAGACAGGGGCGGGCATGGGGACAGACAGGGCTGGCTATGGGGACAGACAGACGGGGCGTGCATGGGGACAGATGGACAGCGGGGGGGCATGGGGACAGACAGACAGGGGCGGGCATGGGGACAGACAGGCGTGGCTATGGGGACAGACAGACGGGGCGTGCATGGGGACAGATGGACAGCGGGGGGGCATGGGGACAGACAGGGGCGGGCATGGGGACAGACAGGGGTGGCTATGGGGACAGACGGACAGGGCGTGCATGGGGACAGATGGACAGCGGGGGGGCATGGGGTCAGACAGACAGGGGCGGGCATGGGGACAGATGGACAGCGGGGGGGCATGGGGACAGACAGACAGGGACGGGCATGGGGACAGACAGGGGTGGCTATGGGGACAGACAGACGGGGGGCGGGTATAGGGAGAGACAGATGGACAGCGGGGGGGCATGGGGACAGACAGACGGGGCGTGCATGGGGACAGATGGACAGCGGGGGGGCATGGGGACAGACAGACGGGGCGGGCATGGGGACAGACAGGGGTGGCTATGGGGACAGACAGACGGGGCGTGCATGGGGACAGATGGACAGCGGGGGGGCATGGGGACAGACAGACGGGGCGTGCATGGGGACAGATGGACAGGGAGGGGGGCATGGGGACAGACGGACGGACAGCAAAGTTGTAAGAGGAAGCACAGGGGGCACCAGCTGCCACTTGGCCCCAGGCGGGAGCCGGGCTGGCTCAGGGGGGTGGGGGACGGGGTGCAGGGCCTGTCCCCCCCCCCCCCCCCCCGGAGGAAGAGGTTCTTCGCTAACGAAGGGGGTAGTGATTTCTGCTGAGCCCCCCCCCGAAACACACACCCTGGCCCCTAGTGCCGCCCCACTCCCTGCCCCACTGCGCCCCCCCCCAGCGCCGCCCTGGGGCCAGCCCTGCCTGCCAGGGGAGAGCGCCCCCTGCTGAGCCCCCTGCCCCGCTCCCGGCCCCACTGCGCCCCCTAGGGCTGGTCTCTCACCCAGGCACTGGCCAGCCCTCACCCTACTTAGCCGAGTCAGCTATTCTGAGGCACTCGGGGGGGGGGGGGGTGGAGGGGGGGCGCGAGGTTATTCCCAACGCCCCAAGTCACTTCCCATTTCCCCCTTTGTAGGGGGCGGGGGGGGGCTTCCTGATTTAACGAGAAAGGGGAACCAGCTCCATCTGCCTCCGATCGGAGATGTGGGCAAACCCACAGAGGTCGCCGTGGGAGGAGAGCTTGGGGGGGCTGGGGGGGGCAGCGGTTGCGGGGTGGGGGGAGTGTCTTTATATCGCGGGCGCAGGGGACAGGCAGGTAGATGCGGCTTCCCTGGATCCTCGGCGCCGGCTGGAGCCACCGCAGCGAAGACAAGGTCCTGCCTGGGCTCAGAAGCAAGGGCCCATCTAGCCCGGCATCCCGGCGCTGGGAGGGGAGTGGGGCCTGGTGGTTAGAGCAGGGGGGGCTGGGAGCCAGGACTCCTGGGTTCTCTCCCTGGCGCTGGAAGGGAAGCAGAGCCTGGTGGTTAGAGCAGGGAGGGGTGCGGGCTGGGAGCCAAGACTCCTGGGTTCTCTCCCTGGCTCTGGGAGGGGACTGGGGCCTGGTAGTTAGAGCGGGGGGTTGGGAGGCAGGACTCCTGGGTTCTCTCCCTGGCTCTGGGGGAGGAGTGAGGCCTGGTGGTTAGAGCAGGGGGGGCTGGGAGCCAGGACTCCTGGGTTCTCTCCCTGGCTCTGGGAGTGGAGTGAGGCCTGGTGGTTAGAGCAGGGGGAGCTGGGAGCCAGGACTCCTGGGTTCTCTCCCTGGCGCTGGGGGAGGAGTGAGGCCTGGTGGTTAGAGCAGGGGGGGCTGGGAGCCAGGACTCCTGGGTTCTCTCCCTGGCTCTGGGAGTGGAGTGAGGCCTGGTGGTTAGAGCAGGGGGAGCTGGGAGCCAGGACTCCTGGGTTCTCTCCCTGGCTCTGGGGGAGGAGTGAGGCCTGGTGGTTAGAGCGGGGGGGGAGCTGGGAGCCCGGACTCCTGGGTTCTCTCCCTGCCCCTTTAATATTTCTGAGGTCACCCTGGGCCTGTTTTGTCCCAACTCGATACAGGAGGAATATTTACAGATCAAAGTGCTCCTGGAGGGGAAGGAGGGAGCGAGTCAGCGGAGGGGTAGACGCATCCTAGGCCGTGGATTAAGGCAACAGGAGACCAGAGGGGTCAGCCCCCCCCCACAACGCCAGGAGAGAGGTACAGAGCCCAAGAGGCAGGAAGTGAAGGAATGAGTGAATGGAGGTGTCAAACCCCCCCCAAAGTGGGGGAGAAAGAGAACTCAAGCAATGGAGGTCAAGACTAGTGCTGGGGGGGAGGGAGGAGTAGGACCAGAGGGGGAGGGAAGGGAGGAGGGAGGGGAGAGGGAGGAAGGAGTAGGGCCGGGGGGCAGTAACGGGGGATGGAGGGGGGAGGGAGGGAAGGAGTAGGGCGGGGGGGGAGGGAAGGGGGAGGGAGGGGGAGAGGGAGGAAGGAGTAGGGCGGGGGGGGAGGGAGGGGAGAGGGAGGAAGGAGTAGGGCCGGGGGGGAGGGAAGGGAGGAGGGAGGAAGGAGTAGGGCCGGGGGGGAGGGAAGGGAGGAGGGAGGAAGGAGTAGGGCGGGGGGGAGGGAAGGGGGGCGGGAGGGGAGAGGGAGGAAGGAGTAGGGCGGGGGGGAGGGAGGGGAGAGGGAGGAAGGAGTAGGGCCGGGGGGCAGTAACGGGGGATGGAGGGGGAGGGAGGAAGGAGTAGGGCGGGGGGGAGGGAAGGGGGAGGGAGGGGAGAGGGAGGAAGGAGTAGGGCGGGGGGAGGGAGGGGAGAGGGAGGAAGGAGTAGGGCTGGGGGGGAGGGAGGGGAGAGGGAGGAAGGAGTAGGGCGGGGGGAGGGAGGGGAGAGGGAGGAAGGAGTAGGGCGGGGGGAGGGAGGGGAGAGGGAGGAAGGAGTAGGGCTGGGGGGGAGGGAAGGGAGGAGGGAGGGGAGAGGGAGGAAGGAGTAGGGCGGGGGGGAGGGAGGGGAGAGGGAGGAAGGAGTAGGGCGGGGGGGGAGGGAAGGGAGAGGGAGGAAGGAGTAGGGCGGGGGGGAGGGAAGGGGGGCGGGAGGGGAGAGGGAGGAAGGAGTAGGGCCGAGGGGGGAGGGAGAAGTCGCGCTGGGGGGCAGTAACGGGGGGATGAAGGGGGGAGGGAAAGGGGAAGGGAGGGGGAAGGAGGAGTAGTGCCCTGGCCCCCTGCTCCCCGCGTCCCCCCCATAACTAACCTGTCCCCCCGCCCCCCAGCCGCCCCCCGGCGCCATGGGCAAGGACTACGAGGATTTCCAGGCGCTCGAGGCGGACGATGGGGACTGCACCCCACGTGGGACAGGTAGGGGGCGGGGCCCGGGGGGCAGGGGCAGGGGGGCCAGGTGGGGTGTCTGCGGGGACTTGGGGTACAGAGGAATGGGAGTGGGGTATCACGTGGTGCAGCATCGGGGGGGGGGAATCCAGGCCAGGAGACAAGGGGTGGGGTAGGCTGCGGGGTGGGGGTCACGCCCCATGAGATGGGGGAGGGGATGAGTCTCAGCTCTGAGGCCCCCCCACTGGCATCTCCGGACTCCTGGGTCCTTGCCTCATCTCCCCCACTCCCGGACTCCTGGGTCCCTCTCATGTGGGGGAGAGGGTGGCAGTCGCAGGGAGCGAGGGAGGCGATCGGGGGTGGCCGAGCCCCCCCCCGTGACGCTCTCTCCCCCCCCCAGCGTTCCCGCCCCAGCAGTTTGCCTGGCAGCGGCTCTGCGCCCCCCCCCGGCCTCTCTGCGCCCTGCTGGCCCTGTGCCTTGGGCTCACCGTCGGGACCATCGCCCTGGCGGTCAGCGGTGAGTGTGCGAGGGTGGGAGCTGGGCGTGCGAGGTGGGGGGGTGAACGGAGGGGTGAGTGTGCACCGGTGTGGGGGGGGGCAGAGTGTGCACGGTTGGGCTGATTGTGCGAGGCGAGGGGTGTGCGCAGGGGGAAAGCTCGGGGTGAGCGTGGAGGGCTGGGAGCAAGTGTGCGAGCCTGGTCCTGCTCATGCCTGGCCAGGAGTGAGCGTGCAAAGCCTGGGCAGGGGTGGAAGGCCTGGGTGGGCGTGCGAGGCCTCCTGGTGGTGGAAGGCCTGGGTGGGCGTGCGAGGCCTCCTGGTGGATGTACAAGGCCTCCTGGGTGGGCGTGCGAGGCCTGGGTGGGCGTGCGAGGCCTCCTGGGTGGGCGTGCGAGGCCTGGGCGTGTGCGAGTGAGGCCTGGGCCGGCGTGCAAGGCTAGGGGTGCGTGTGCGAGGCCGGGGGTGCATAACCCAGGTGGGCTCGAGCCCGTGGAGCCCAGTTCTCCATTTGCACGTCACTGTCACGGCTCCTTGTGCATTCACGGGGCGCGGGTGCCACCCCCCCCCCGGCGTGGGGGGATGCAGTGGGAGGGGCAGGGAGGGGGGGGCTCCAGAGGGAGGGGTCTTGGGGGCGGGAGGGGGAGGGTCTGGGACAGGCTCTCACCCCCTTCCCCCCCCGCTCACCCCCCCCCAGGCTCCAGGCTGGGCGCGGAGCAGCGGGGGACGCAGGGGGTGCTGGGCAGCGTGAACCAGAGTCTGAGCACCGAGCTCGTGGGGCTGGCCCGCAGCAGTGAGTGGGGGGCGCGGCTGGGGGGGCTGGCAGGGGAGTGGGAGGGGGATCGGAGGGGAGAGTGTTGGTGGGGAGGGGGCTGATGGGGTGGGGGATCAGGGGGGAGGGGTTTGGTGAGGAGGGGGAGGGGATCAGAGTGGAGGGGGCTGATGGGGAGGGGTATCAGGGGGGAGGGGTTTGGTGAGGAGGGGGAGGGGATCAGAGTGGAGGGGGCTGATGGGGAGGGGATCAGAGGGGAGGGGTTTGGTGAGGAGGGGGAGGGGGATCAGAGGGGAGGGGGCTGATGGGGTGGGGGTTCAGAGGAGAGCGGGAGGGGGAGTAGAGGGGAGGGGGCTCAGAGGGAAGATCAGAAGGGGGAGGGGGCTGACGGGGAGGGAGAAGGGGAACACAAGGGGGAGGGGAGATGTGCCCCCCCCCAGCACCCTATCTCCCCCCCCCCCCGCAGTGCACACCTTGGAGGATAAACTGACCCATGTGGCCGCGTCCCTGGATGAAACAAAGGAAAGATCAATCCAAGGTGAGTGGGGGGGGTTTCCCAGCAGGGGGCGCTGTGGGGGGGGGTCCCCAGCAGGGACACTGTGTGTGGGGGGGAGTTTCCCCAGCAGGGGGCGCTGTGGGGGGGGAGTTTCCCCAGCAGGGGGCGCTGTGTGTGTGTGTGGGGGGGGGTTTCCCCCGCAGGGGACACTCTGTGTGTGTGGTAATTTCCCCAGCAGGGGGCGCTGTGGGGGGGAGTTTCCCCCAGCAGGGGGCGCTGTGTGTGTGTGGGGGGGGGGTTCCCCCGCAGGGGACACTCTGTGTGTGTGGTAATTTCCCCAGCAGGGGGCGCTAGTGAGCAGGGGGGTTTCCCCAGCAGGGGGCGCTGTGTGTGTGTGGGGGGGGTTTCCCCCGCAGGGGACACTCTGTGTGTGTGGTAATTTCCCCAGCAGGGGGCGCTAGTGAGCAGGGGGGTTTCCCCAGCAGGGGGCGCTAGTGAGCAGGGGGGTTTCCCCAGCAGGGGGCGCTGTGTGTGTGGGGGGTTCCCCAGCAGGGGGTGCTAACCCCCCATCTCCTCCCTCCCCCCCCCCCCCGCAGCTCAGCAGCGGCTGGAGGAGCAGGTGGGGGTGCTGCGGGACTCCCTGAACTCGCTGAACTGCGACCTGATCGAACTGAAATCCAACGGTGAGCGGCCGGCAGGGGGCGCCATGGGGAGCGGGCTGGCTGCGGGGGGGCGCGCCCGGCTACGCCAGCCCCGGCCTCTCCCACCAGGGGGCGCCGTGGGGAGCGGGGAGGGAGGGGGGCGGATTCTCTGACCCGCTGACCTCGCCCTTGCCCCAGGGAGCCGGCCCGGCTGCTGCCCCAGGGCCTGGGAGCGCTTCGGGCGGGGCTGTTACTGGTTCTCCACCGAGCAGAAGACCTGGGAGGAATCGAACCTTTACTGCCAGGCGCAGGACTCGCACCTGGTCATCATCAACACCCGGGAGGAGCAGGTAGAGGTCGCGGTGCCCCGGCCTCTCCCAGCGGGGGGCGCTGGGGGGGGGGGCTCCCGCCTCCTCCCGCCCCGGCCTCTCCCAGCGAGGGGCGCGCGGGCCCCTTAAATAATCCGGAGCTGATTATCGTTTCCCCCCCTTGGCAGCTGTACGTACAGCGACGCACGGTCCCTTTGTACACCTGGATCGGTTTGACCGACAAGAGCGGCCAGTGGCGGTGGGTCGATGGTTCCCTCTACACCATGGACTCCCGGTGAGCGGCGCGGGTTGGCCCCCGCCTCGGCCTATCCCCCAGGTCCCCCGCTTCCCGGCTCCGTCCGTCCCCGGGAGACTCCCTCAGCCCCCACTTCTCCCGGGTTAATCCTTAATCCGGCCGAATCTTGGCCTTGGGTTTCCCGCGTCCGATCGGCGCCAAATTCACGATCAAATCGACTGGCCCCAGTAATCGATCCGAATCTAATCCCATCTCATTCATTGCCTCGATTATCTAATCCAGTCTCTCCCCTAATCTCCACGATGAATCCCTTGAAAATAATCCCTTCCAACCTTACCCAAAATAGCCAATTTATTTCAGATAATCTTCCCTGTCAATCTAATCTATGATCAACTCCTTTCAATCTAATCTGATCTCTCCTGTTACGTCCTCAAGCCATGGAAACAAATCGATTCAAATGGAAGATAATAGCCCTCTCAACCAATTTATTATAATCGAATCAAATAACCCCTCATAATTTCGTTAAATCGAATAATCCATCCAATCCAATCCATGATCAACTCCTTACTGCCTTTCAAATCTAATCTGATCTCCCTGGTTATGTCCTCCAGCCATGGAAACGAATTGATTCAAATCAAAGATAATATCCCCCTCAATCAATGTGTTGTAATCAAATTGAATAACCCCTAATAATATAATTAAATCTAATAATCCACCTCATCCAATCTACGATCAACTCCTTTACTGCCTTTCGAATCTAATCTGATCTCTCCGGTTATGTCCTCGAGCCATCTCAATGAATCCATTCAAATCTAAGATAATAGCCCCCTTGAGCAATTTATTATAATCGAATCGAATCACCCCTAATAATATAATTAAATCTAATAATCTGTCCAATCCAATCTATGATAAACTCCTTTACTGCCTTTCGAATCTAATCTGATCTCTCCGGCTACCTCCGGCCATGGAAACGAATCGATTCAAATCTAAGATACTATCCCTCTCAACCAATGTATTGTAATCGAATCGAATAACCTAATAATCTATTAATCTAATAATAATTGAATCTAATAATCAAATATTATAACCTAATAATCTATTAATCGTAAATAATCAAATAATGTAATCTAATAATCTACTATTAATAATCTAATCAAATAATATAATGATATAGTTGAATCTAATAATCCATCTAATCCAATTCGTATCATGCCAGTTTTATGAAATATCCCTTCTAATCTCACATGCTATATATCTGGATCTACACCCATTTCATATTAGATCCTCTGTAATATAATCGATTCCAATCTGCACGAAAAGCTCCTCCAATTTAATCTAATAATTGCTATGCATGCTAATATAATTGAATAAACTGTGTAATCCGTTAGGGTTAGGGTTAGGGTTGCATGTACTATTAATATAATTAATTGCTACTCTCGTTTCTATCTAATGTAACTCTTCCTCTTCATCTAATAAACAATCTGCCTCTAATGTAATTTAATAATCCATCAATGTAATCTGTTCCAATCTAACCCAAGATACTAGAACCTAACAATCCTTCTGCGATCATCTGTTCCAATATTCATCTACTCTAAGCAATTCCTATCGCCTCCAACGTAATCTAATCTCTTTCTAATTTATCTCCTCCACCATAATCTAATCTCTTTCTAATCTGATTCACTCCAATTTAATCTAGTATCCCATCTAATCTAATTCCTAGTCACCTAATTGTTTAATTCCTTCATAATCTATTCGTTTCACCGTCAGTCCTCGACTTCCCTGAAATTGATGTTATTTGCCACTAATCTAATCCACAATCCACTCTACACCCGTAATCAATGGCATGCTAATCCGCACCAATCACATCACGTCACGTCATGTCATCGGCTGTCATGTCATGATGACATCATGTGGGATCATCTCATGTCCCGTCCCGGCATCTCGTCGGCTGTCACGTCGTGAGACGGAACGTCATCTCAGGGCGCGTCACTTCACGTCATGTCATGGCATCTCCTCGGATGTCTTGTCACGTCATGGCATCTCATCTAATGTCATGGCCGATCATGTGACGTCACGTGACGTCGCGTCATGTTCCAGAGTGCTCGCCTCTATACAAATTCTGAGTCCCAGCCTCTGGTATAATCTTGAATCCAGTCTACACCCACCTTTAACCCAATCTGATTTAATATCATCGAATTTTGTTTTCTCCAGTCCAAAATAACTCAAATTCCACGTGCTTTGGTGAATTTGGTCTAGCCCAGGATTAGGGGTTGTTAGATAATATTCCCATCTGTTTAATCTACTATTCCTTTTAATGAAATATATTCTACGATAATCTGTACTGGTTTTTATCTAACCCACACTTATCCCTCTTCAACAAATCATAACTGAGTCTCAGGTTCCCAAATACAAACCTACTCCCATAGAGACCCGACCCTAACCTTGCATCCCAGGCCTGATCTGTATCCAATCCTGATCTCAGTCCAGTCCCAATCTAGATCGACTCCAGATCCAATCTCGGTCTAGATTTAATCCAATCGAATCCAGATGCAATCCACATCCAATCCGGATCGAGATCCACTTGTGATCTAGATTGAAACTTGATCCAGTTCTGTTTCCGATCCTGATCCAATTCAGATTGCAATCAAATCCTTATCTCAACCCATTCCTGCTCCAGATCAAATCCTGATATCAATCCAAATCCAGGTCAAGTCTTGATTCAGTCCAAATCCAGGTCCAGATGCCAATCCAATACTGATCCTGTTCCAAATCCAATTTCTCTCCTGACCCAGTCCAGATCCACATCCAGATCCAATCCAGCTCTAGTCCCAATTCAAATCCACATCCTAACCCAACCCATCCCTGTGCTAATCTGAATGCCAATCTGATTTGATTTTCATACCCTCCAAAATCAATCTAATCAGATCCCTAATCCCAACCGATCTCCTCTCCCGCAGGACACTGGGGTCCCTGGCTCCCATCCTCCCCTCCTGCAGCTCCGCAGACTGGGGTTCCATTGCCCCTCCCCCATTCTGCTTTCGTTTCAGAGACTGGAGTCCGGATCAGCCGGATAACTATACTGAACATGGCCTGGAGGGCGGGGAGGACTGTGTCATGTACCACTATGACGGACGGTGGAACGATGACCATTGCTCCCGCCTCTACCACTGGGCATGTGAGCGGCCGCTGCCTGGCTAATGCCCGGGGGGGGGGGAAGGGGCGGAGCCTGGCCCATGAAGCCCCGCCCCCCGGGAGCATGGCTGGCTATGACTGGCCCCTGGGTCATCTCAGTTCCCCCGAGTCCAGCCTCATCGGGTCCAGTCCATTCCAGAAATCCAATCCACACCCAACGTGGCGTCATCTAATCTATCATAATCCAATCCACACCCAACATGGCCTCATCTAATCTATCATAATCCAATCCACACCCAACGTGGCCTCATCGAATCCAACCTAATCTAATCCACACCCAATGTAGCCTCATCTAAACAAGCCTAGTCCAGTAATCTAATCCACACCCAATGTAGATTAGTCTAATCCACTCTACACCAGTAACCAATGCCATGTTAATCCACACCAGCCACAGCACATCATGTCGTTTCATCTGATGTCATGTCATGATGATGTCACGTGGAGTCATCTCAAGTCACGTCACGTCATCTCATCAGATGTCATGTCTTGTCATGTGACGTCACGTCATGTCACGGGACATCATGTCACGTCACTCCACGTCAGGTCATCTCAACCGACGTCATGTCACGTCACGTCATGTCATCTCATCAGATGTCATGTCTTGTCATGGACGTCACGTCATGTCACGGGACATCATGTCACGTCACTCCACATCTCAACCGACGTCATGTCACGTCACGTCACGTCACGTGACATCATCCAGTCCACCCCAAGTCTCAGCCCCAGTCGCGAGGGGCCGACGTGGGGTAGAGAGATTTCAGAACGAGCTCCTTCTGTCTAGCCCCCCTGCCTCCAAAAATCTTCATCTGACCTAATCCCATCTGGCCTAATCTGCTCTAATCTCCCTTCCTTTAACCCCCGCTCCCTCTCTGGGCTCTCCCCAGGGTCCCTGCCCGGCCCGTTCCTCTCTCACTCTGGCCCCCCCTCCGGCGATCGTGCTGTCGTTGCAGGTCCTGGAGGGAAGGCCAGCCCGACGAATACCACGGCCACGGACTCGGGGGTGGGGAGGACTGCATCCACCTGCACGACGACGGGCTCTGGAACGATGAACACTGCTCCCGGCTCTACCGCTGGGTGTGCGAGGAGGAGCTCAAGGCTTAAGGCCAACCAAGGGCGGAGCCATGCCTGGGAAGCCATGGGGGGGGAGGGAGAGGGCGGGGCTTGGGTTAGCGCCGCCCAATCAGGCGTCTGGAGCCATTCAATAAACAAATTGTTCAACGAAGCAAGAGCATGAGATGCGGCCACCTCTGGGGCGGGGCAGCTGGTGACAAGGGGACCCCTCGCCCGGCGCTGAGATCATAGAATCATAGAATAGAATATCGGGGTTGGAAGGGACCTCAGGAGGTGTCTAGTCCAACCCCCTGCTCAAAGCAGGACCAACCCCAACTAAATCATCCCAGCCAGGGCTTCGTCAAGCCTGACCTTAAAAACTTCTAAGGAAGGAGATTCCACCACCTTCCAGTGTTTCACCACCCTCCTAGTGAAAAAGTTTTTCCTAATATCCAACCTAAACCTCCCCCACTGCAACTTGAGACCATTGCTCCTCGTTCTGTCATCTGCTACCACTAGATCCATCCTCTCTGGAACCACCTCTCAGGTAGTTGAAAGCAGCTATCAAATCCCCCCTCATTCTTCTCTTCCGCAGACTAAACAATCCCAGTTCCCTCAGCCTCTCCTCATAAGTCATGTGTTCCAGACCCCTAATCATTTTTGTTGCCCTTCGCTGGACGTTTTCCAATTTTTCCACATCCTTCTTGTAGTGTGGGGCCCAAAACTGGACACAGTACTCCAGATGAGGCCTCACCAATGCGGAATAGAGGGGAACGATCACGTCCCTCGATCTGCTCGCTATGCCCCTACTTATACATCCCAAAATGCCATTGGCCTTCTTGGCAACAAGGGCACACTGCTGACTCATATCCAGCTTCTCGTCCACTGTCACCCCTAGGTCCTTTTCCGCAGAACTGCTGCCGAGCCATTCGGTCCCTAGTCTGTAGCTGTGCATTGGGTTCTTCCGTCCTAAGTGCAGGACTCTGCACTTATCCTTATTGAACCTCATCAGATTTCTTTTGGCCCAATCCTCTAATTTGTCTAGGCCCCTCTGTATCCGACCCCTACCCTCCAGCGTATCTACCACTCCTTCCAGTTTAGTGTCATCCGCAAACTTGCTGAGAGTGCAATCCACACCATCCTCCAGATCATTAATGAAGATATTGAACAAAACCAGCCCCAGGACCGACCCTTGGGGCACTCTGCTTGATACCGGCTGCCAGCGAGACATGGAGCCATTGATCACTACCCGTTGAGCCCGACAATCTAGCCAGCTTTCTATCCACCTCTTGGGCGGGGCGGCTGTTTCTCCCATGTGGCTGTTACACCTCCAAGTAACTGCGGGGTTCCTGAGGATGCCATCATCCCATAAGACCCCCACCGTGATGTGGGGCACCAGCCCCACAAAACTGCCTGACTCAGCACCCATGGGGATCTTGGCTGGAATCTGGGTTGCTGATTAAATCTCAGAGCAGAAGGTGCTGGGAGCCAGGACTCCTGGGTTCTCTCCCTGGCTCTGGGAGGGGAGTGAGACCTGGTGGCTTAGAGCAGACGGGGCTGGGAGTCAGGACTCCTGGGTTCTCAAGGCTGGTTTTGCTGCTGTGTTTCTCTGCGTGTCAGTTTGTTGCAGATCCGGTTCGCTGGCTAGTCCTGGGTGGCGTCCCTGGCTAATTAACACTGGAGCTAATTATGATTCTGACAGCGGCATTCGGTGGAGCAGATACACCCCACAGTGGGTGTGGAGGGTGGTGAGTCAAGGTCTCCTGGTTGTGATGTGGCTGCAGAAGGTTTGGGGTTTTTTGGTGCAATTAAAACCACACCACAGCCTGAATAGAGAGTCTTTGTGTCTGGGAGAGAGAGAACCCCAGAATCTGGGAGCGAGAGAATCCAGGTGTCCAGGAGGGAGAGAACCCAGGTGTCCGGGAGGGAGAGAACCCCAGATTCTGGGGGAGAGAGAACCCAGGTGTCCGGGATGGAGAGAACCCCAGATTCTGGGGGAGAGAGAACCCAGGTGTCCGGGATGGAGAGAACCCCAGATTCTGGGGGAGAGAGAACCCAGGTGTCCGGGATGGAGAGAACCCCAGATTCTGGGGGAGAGAGAACCCAGGTGTCCGGGATGGAGAGAACCCCAGATTCTGGGGGAGAGAGAACCCAGGTGTCCGGGATGGAGAGAACCCCAGATTCTGGGGGAGAGAGAACCCAGGTGTCCAGGAGGGAGAGAACCCCAGATTCTGGGGGAGAGAGAACCCAGGTGTCCAGGAGGGAGAGAACCCCAGATTCTGGGGGAGAGAGAACCCAGGTGTCTGGGATGGAGAGAACCCCAGATTCTGCTGGAGTTGGAACCCAGGCATCGGGGATGGAGACACCCCCAGATTCTGGGGGAGAGAGAACCCAGGTGTCTGGGATGTAGACACACCCAGATTCTGGGGGAGAGAGAACCCAGGCATCCGGGAGGGAGAGAACCACAGACTCTGGGGGAGTTGGAACCCAGGCATCCGGGCATGAGCGACAAACAGCCGTTGCCCCAACACGCTTCTCGCACGTCCGTGGCGGTGGGTGGACTCACACCGCGGCACCGACTGGCATGTACACACGCCCTGAGTCACACGCCCAGACGCCGTGACACACACGGCCAGTCACGGATCCACGGACACACCTGTCCCGGACTGGCCGGGGTGGGGGGGTTGCATGACCGAGCCACCCCGGCGAGGGAAGAACCAAAGGCGGGCGACGGGTGCAAGGAGGAAGAAAATGGGAAGTGAAGGCGAACGAATGAAAGAACGTGAGAACGACAGAACAGACGAGTGTGAGGGCAACAATGAAACGATGGAAGAAAAAGGGGAATGAAACAAACAATGAGAAAAAGGGAGAGAATGAAAGAAAAGACGGGGGAGAAGGAAACAATAAAAATATGTGTAAAGATGAAGGAAGGAGGGAACGAAGGAACAAACGAAAAGAGGAGCGTGGATGGGAGATCGAGAGGACTGGGAATGAAAAACGCAGGATCACGAAAGGAAAGAGGAGAGGAGAACGAAAGAACGGGAAAAAGAAAGGAAAGACGTGTGAACAAAAGAATGAGAGAATGGAGGAACAAATGAAGATAGGAGTGTGAATGAAACGAATGAGAAGAGAAGGGGGAAGGAGGAAGCAGAAAAGGAGGGAAGGAGAGAGCGGATGGGGACAGAGGGAAGGAAGAAGTGATGGAGGAAGTGGAGGAGGGAAGGAAGAAGCAGAGGGGGAAGGAGGGAAGGAAGAAGAAGAAGGAGGGAGGAGAGGGGTCCCCGAGTGGGAAGGGGGGAAGGAAGAAGCAGAAAAGGAAGAAGCGGAAGGGGAAGGGGAAAGGAGGGAGGAGAGGGGTCCCCGAGTGGGAAGGAGGGAAGGAAGAAGAAGAAGGAGGGAGGAGAGGGGTCCCCGAGTGGGAAGGAGGGAAGGAAGAAGGAGGGAAGGAAGAAGCAGGGAAGGGGAAAGGAGGGAGGAGAGGGGTCCCTGAGTGGAAAGGAGGAAAGGAAGAAGCAGAGAAGGAAGAAGCGGAGGGGGAAGAGGGAAGGGGAAAGGAGGGAGGAGAGGGGTCCCCGAGTGGGAAGGGGGTAAGGAAGAAGCGGAGGGGGAAGGAGGGAAGGAAGAAGGGGAAGGAGGGAGGAGAGGGGTCCCCAAGTGGGAAGGGGGGAAGGAAGAAGCGGAGGGGGAAGGAGGGAAGGAAGAAGGGGAGGGAGGGAGGGAGAGGGGTCCCCAAGTGGGAAGGGGGGAAGGAAGAAGCAGAGGGGGAAGAGGAAAGGAGGGAGGGAGAGGGGGTCCCCGAGTGGGAAGGGGGGAAGGAAGAAGCGGAGGGGGAAGGAGGGAAGGAAGATGGGGAAGGAGGGAGGAGAGGGGTCCCCAAGTGGGAAGGGGGGAAGGAAGAAGCAGAGGGGGAAGAGGAAAGGAGGGAGGAGAGGGGTCCCCGAGTGGGAAGGGGGGAAGGAAGAAGCAGGGAAGGGGAAAGGAGGGAGGAGAGGGGTCCCCGAGCTGGACGGCTGCAGGGAGCCGGGGTTCCCCGCAGAGGGGGCCGGGGCCGGGGCCGGGGCCGGGGGCGGGGACCGAACTCGCGAACCCGGAGCGGCTCAGGGACCTGGCGAGCCGGCGGGGGAGGGACTGGCTCCGCCCCCCACCAGCTGCTCCCTCCCTATAAAGGGGCCTGGCGCGGCTCAGCCCGCCGGTAGCTTCACTTCCTGGTAGAGGCGGGGAGTCGCTGGGGTCGGCGGCACCGGCTGGGGAAGGCGGTGAGAGCGCCCTCCCCCCCCCCCCATTCACCCGGTGCCCTTACGGGGAGAGAACCCAGGTGTCCGGGGTGGGGAGTTGGTTAGCGAGAGAGGGGGGGGATCCGGGCAACAGAGAACCCAGGTATCTGTCCCAGGAGAGAACCCAGGCGTCCGGGGGAGAGAGAAAGGACCCCCCCTCCCCAGCAGCTGGGACAGAGGGAGGGAGTGGAGAACCCAGGCGTCCGGGAGCAAGAGCAGGAGAGAACCCACAGGAGCAGGGAGAGAGGACCCCGGCGTCCGGGGGAGAATCCAGGTGTCTGGGCACCTTAGAACCCAGGTGCCGGAAAAGGAGAGGGAACCCCGGCGTCCGGGAGAGAGGACCCCCCCCACACACACACACGTTGTCTGGGGGTGGGATCGGAGTCCCCAGCCCTCACGCTGTCTCGCGAACCCTTCCAGGTGCTGGCATGGGGGAGGAAGAGGCGGAGAAGGGGCCGCTGCCGGCTGCCCGGGGGGACCCCCCGGGGCTGCCCGTGGGCCCCGTCTCCCTGAACGTGGGCGGCACCCTGTACAGCACCACGCTGGAGACCTTGACCCGCTTCCCCGACTCCATGCTGGGGGCCATGTTCCGGGGGCCCCGGCCGGCCCGCACCGACGGCCGGGGCCACTACTTCATCGACCGCGACGGCAAAGCCTTCCGGCACGTCCTCAACTTCTTGCGGCTGGGCCGGCTGGACCTGCCCGAGGGCTACGCGGAGCTGGCCCTGCTGCGGGCGGAGGCGGACTTCTACCAGATCCGGCCCCTGCTGGCCGAGCTGAGCCGGCTGGCGGCCGAGCGGCGGCGGCGGCGGGCCGGGGCCGTGCTCCACGCCGCCGTCGACGGCCGGGAGCGGCTGCTGCACTTCACCGTCCGGCGCGGGCCGCAGAACTACGGCCTGAGCACCTGCCGGCTCCGCGTCTTCACCGCCAACCTCTTCTGCACCGACGGGCCCTTCCTGGCGCTGCTGGGCCGCCGGCTGGGCGCCGCCGGGGACGCCCCCAAGAGGAGGGGGCCCGGGCCGCGCCGATCCGCGGAGGAGGGGGAAACCCGGAGCCCGCACCACCTGCGCCTGGAGTGGGCCCCGCGGCCCCCGGACCTGCCCGAGGCGGAGTACGCCAAGCAGAAGGTGCGCCCCCTCCGGACGGCGCCGCCGGAGGGGCGGGAGATTGGCACGGCGGCGGAGTTCCTGGAGGAGGTGCTGAAGGCGGCCCTGGACCAAGGCTTCCGGGTGGATTCGGTCTTCCCCGACCCGGAGGACATCCTCAACTCGCACTCGCTGCGCTTCGTCCGCCACTGACCACGGAGGAGGGGGCAGAAGAACCGGCTGGGGAACGAGATTGGGGGGGGGGGCTGCTCTCACCTGACTACAGTGGTGGGCACTGGTAAGTGACCGGGATTGGAGATGTCAGCGGATGGTGGTTGGTGGCAGCAAGGGGATGGTGGTTGGTGGCAGCAAGGGGATGGAGGTAAATGGGAATAGTGGTTGGGGGGGCATTGGTCCCGCTGGTCTGTAATGCAGTATGCTGGTAACTGGGGGGGCGGGATTGGTGCATGGATGGTGTGGGGGCGCGATGGGATGGGGAAGGTTGCGGAGGATGGATGGATCCTGAAACGATGATGACTGGTGGGAGAAAGGGGATGGGGGGGCTCTAGATGAAACCATCTGCCATGGTGGTAGATGGCAGGGGGAGGCTGGCTGGGGATGGGCACTGTCTCTGGACGAGGTGGCGGGTGGGGTGCAGGTGGTGGAGGGTGGATTGGTGGCAGGAAGGGAGTGGGAGTGGATGGGATGGGGAGGAGGTGGATGGCTCTGGAGATAGGTGGTGGGGGCAGGAAGAACGGGAGTAGGTGAAAGCTGGGGGTGGACTTCTTGGTGGGTGCTGGTGTATGAAATAGGATCCTGAATGGTGGCAGGAAGAGGATCTCGGGGTTGGTGAGATGGGGAACAGGGAGGGCGACTGCAGGGGTAGAGGCAGATAGGCTAAGAGCGGGTGGAGGGGTCCATTAGTGGAGGTTGTTGGGGGGTGGAGGGGGGCAAGAAAATCACTTCTGGTGGTAGGAAGGAGATGAGGGTAGATGGGATTGGGGCGGCAGGGAGGGTGGGCCCTGAGATAGGGTGGACAGGGAGGTGGGAGCAGTGACTGAATCCCAGGCAGGGAGTGACTGGGTGGGGTGGGGGGAAGAAATAGTTTCTCCCCCATATCTTGGTGGGAGCAGTGGGATACTTGCAAGGCTATAGTGTGTTTCGGGGGAGGGGCATTGTGGAAAGAATCCCTGCAACTCCCTGAATGGCCACTGGGGGCATTGGATAACTCATAACCACGCCCCAAACCCAGGATTTGGGGGAGGGAGGGCTGGGCAAGGTGTGATTTTTTTGGGGGTGCATGGCTTTTCTTCATTTACCTCAGCACTGGGGTCCCCCTGGATATTTCTGGGGAGGTCTCTGGATTTATTATAAGGGGGTGAGTATTGGGGGGGGGGCTTCTGGTTATATAGAATCGATCATTGTATACTTTGGGGTGTTGGCAAAGGTCCCCTTTATTTGGGTAGGGTCTCCTGACTCTCATGGGCAAGCTGTGTAAGTTGGGGAGAGGGACTGGCTGTTTCTCCAGGGAATAAATGGGGCATGGGGGGTGGTCCCCGATGCCTAGGGAGTGGGGCTGAAACTCTGCCTCTTGCTTCAGACGGCCCTCGACACAAAGCTGGCTTTGTACCCTGTCATGCCTGCCTGGCCTGATATCATAATGCCCTGCTTTGTTATGGGGCTGGGGTGGGGAGTGGAGGCTAGTGGTTAGAGTGGGGTGGGGGGCTGGGAGCCAGGACTCCTGGGTTCTCTCCCCCGCTCTGGGATGGGCGGGGGGGGGGGGGCGGGGCAGGACAGGACAGCTGTTTTACTTCTCACCAATTCCTCTCTCTCTTTCCCCCCACCCCCCCGTCCCCTCTTCCGGCTCCTTTCCAGAACCGATTCTCTGCCTCGCGATGGATCCTTCCTTCCTGCCAATGCCCTGGGTTTTGGGGAGCAGAGCCCAGCCGGGTCCTGACCCACTTCCCCCCCACAGCTGGGAAATGAAGACCCTGGGATCGGAACCAGCCACCCGACCGGGGGGTGGGGTCGCAAGGGACTTCCAGCTCCCCCGCCTGGAGCTCGAGCTGGTGCTTAATGGGGTGTGTGGGGAGGGAAGGATGGTGACTTTTTGGGGTGCCTGATTAATGCCTGTATCTGCACTTTAAGTCTGTTGCTATTGTACATTTCCCCCCCCCCCATGGCCCTACCTTCCCCCTACTGCACATAAAAGGGGAGGGGGGGGATCCAGGACTCCTGGGTTCTCTGCGAGTGGGGCGGGGGTTCATGGGTTACAGCAGGGCAGGGCTGGGATCCAGGACTCCTGGGTTCTCTCTCTGGCTCTGTGAGGGAGGCGGGGGTTAGAGCATGGGGCAGGAAACCAGGCTCACACCTTTAGCTTTCCAGTGATCTCTGTTGGGTGGGGGAGGCTGCCACCCCCCCCCCGCCCCTAAATCCCCCATCTCCGGCAAGGACAAGTCACCTCTGTCGGGTGTGGGACTTCAGTAGGGCTGTCTCTTTAAGAGGGTGGGACTTTCCCAGGCAGGGGGTGGGGCTTCGGGGGCACCACCTACTGGCTGCCTGGGGAATTGCAAGTGGGCAGCTGGGCTGGGACCCTCTGTGAGACGGGGGGGGGGTCTTGGACAAGCCCTCTGCCCCCCTGTATTTCCACGGCCCTGGCTCCCTCGTGCATTTGCAGACCCCGCTGAGGGGGTCGGTGCTCCCAGGGCCTCCGCACGTTTGCACAAGCGCCTTTGCACACGCGGCGGGGGGGGCGGTGGAGCGTCAGCTGCCGTGGGGGCCTGGCCCCTTTGCACACCTGTCTGTAACCGATGTTGGTGCGAAGCTGTGTGGAACAAATGAATGTCCTGAAGGTGTGGGTGTGGACTCTGGCTTTTTTTCGGGGGCGGGGGGGTCCGCCTTGCCCCCAGGGCTAGAAGGTTTTCTAGCAGCCACGTGCACATGGGGGAGTTGCCCCCCTTCTACACACTGATACCCTGTCACACTGAGCAACACACCTGCGGGGGGGGGAGACAATCTGTGGAAGGGGGTGGGGCTTGTAAGATATCACCCTGGGGGGCTATTTTATTCTTTTCTCCCTCCTTTCTCCCCCCCCCCCCCATTTCAAGGAGGGCAGGAGCGTAATTCCTGGCTGGGGTGGGAGGCGGAGAAGCCCCGCCCCCTTCGAGGCCTTGCCCCGAAAGACTCTTGGCGGGTGCCCCTTTAAGAGCGGAATGTTGAGTCATTGGGTGGGGCTGTTGCCAAGGGCAACGTGTGGACCCTGGTGGGCCCCGAGAGTGTGGAGGGCAACCCACAGGCTCGCGTCCTTCCCCCCCCATCCCTGTCCCGCCGGCTGCCCCTTTAAGAACAGCACTCGTGGCAGGCGGGGCGGAGCGTTTAGAACGTCCGGCGACGGGGCGTTCCAAAGGCCACGCCCCCCGCCCCAGCGTCGCCCCTTTAAGAGCCGCGCGCGGGGGCGGGGCGTTCGGAACGCTGGGGACAAACAACTGGATACAGAGCGTTCCAAAGGCCACGCCCTTTTCCCCCCCGCGCCCCCGCCTGCTCCTGGACCTAGAGAAACCTGACCCCCCATCTCCCCCTGGGCCTGGCGCCCCACTCCCCCCGCCCCATGGCACCCGGCTGGGGAACCGGTGCCCCCCAGCGGGCCCTGGCAGCCCCCGGGGCGCCCCCCGTGGCTCTGTTCCCCCGGCCCCCCACGCTGGCTGCCCCCCTGCTGCTGGCCCTGGCCCTCCTGGCCCCCCCGGCCCGGGGCTGCGTTCAGTGCCGCCCGGGGCACAAGGACGTCCCGGCCCGTTTCGCCCGGCTCTGTGCCCGCTACCGCCAGGTTCACGGCCGCCCGGGCTGCCCCAGCCAGCCCTGGGGCCCGGAGTCCTTCAAGGGGTTCGCCCTGGGTAGGGTGCCGTCCTCTAGCCCCGGCTCTGGGCGGGAGGGGAGCCAGGACGCCTGGGTTCTTCTAATAACCTCCACAGGGTGAAGGGGAGCGTGGCCTGCCCTGCCTGACGCAAATCGGGTTGTTAACTCTGGTCCCTACTGACCACCGATGTTTCCTTGCCGCCCTGGACGCAAGATTTAACCCGCAGTACCAGACTGCCCCGTCCCCACTCCCCATCCACCGGCATCCCGGCGTGCCCCATAGATTAACTCCAGCAGACTCCCCCCCCCCCCACCCCGTACCCCCTCCCGCAACCCTTCCTTTTCCTCCTGCAGACGAGCAAGCCCTGGACGCGGTGACTGAGAAAACACACCGAGTCTTACGTGTCATTGGTAATGCCCCCTGCCCCCCCCGTCCCCCCCCGCTCCCCCCCCGCGGGGGGCCTGGGGGGGCAGGATGGCATCCAACGGGCGCCGTCGCTGTCCCCACAGAGATCAGCCGGACTCTCTCGGACCTGCCCAAGTTCTGGGACTGGCTGCGGGAAGTGAAGCTCCTGGAAGCCAGCAAGGAGGGTACTGGGGGGCTGTGGGGAGGGGCTGGGCCGCTATTGGGGTGTCATCGCTGTCCCCCCCCCCTCCACTCCGGGGTGTCGGCCCGGGCCCCGTTCCCTTATTGGGGTGCCCGCCCGTGTCCACCACAGCGGGTTTTGGGGTGCGTCCGTCGCTGAGAGTCGCCCCTGCCCCATGAGCTGGGGTGGGATGTGCGGTACAGGGGGGCAGGGCCCCCCCACACAGTCCATGATGACCTCACTCTACCTCTCTCTCTCTTTCTCTGCCCCCCCTCCCACAGTTCTGTGCCCTCCAGCTTGCCGTAAGTACCGGCCCTCGGGAGGCGGGTGCTGGGAGGGGTGACCCCAAAACTAGTATGGGGAAATGGAGTCCCCCCAAATTATTCTGGGGGCCCCACTGTATCAGGCACTGGGGGGCAGGGAGCGGGGGGCTCAGCGGGGGGGGCTCTCCCCTGGGCGGCGGGGCTGGCCCCAGGGCGGCGCTGGGGGGCGCTGTACAACGGGGGGGTCAGCAGAGCAGGCCCCACCCCGGAGGTGGCTGATCCCGGAGACAAGGGGGGCGGGCGGAGGAGACCCCCCCCCCGGTCACCTGCGACCTCTGGCCTCTCCGTGTCCTTCCAGCCCTCAGCAAATGCCCCCCCTCTGCAGCACCCTGGGGTGGGGGGCTGAGGGGTACCCCAACACCCCCCCAGCTGACCCTGGCCCCCTCTTCCTCTCCAGGGGGCTCGGCCTTGGCCATCAACTGCTCCAGCTGCAAGAAGGGGAAGGTGCCCTGCTGGGCCCCGAAGAAATGCTACTCCGGTGAGGGGCTCCCCCCTCCCGCCCCACGGCCTGAGCCCCCCTCCAGTGGGGGGGCCTGGCCTCCCCCTCTCTCCTCTGCCCCCTCCAGCGCTGGCTTGCTCCCCCCACCTACACGACGCCCCCTTACCATCTGCTGGGGGAGAAGGGGTGCCTGGGGTCCCTCCCAGTCACGACCCGCCCCCTCCCCCCCAGACTGCCCCTCTCTGCCCCGCCCCCCCCCATTCAGCCCCTCCATTTCCCCCCCCCCAGGGCGCAGGGATCTCCAGGCCTCGGTGCTGTTGCTGAGCGTCCTGTCCGCCTCCAGCCTGCTTGTGGGGTTCATCACCTGCGCCCTACAGTGAGCTGGGGGCGGGGCCTGGGCTGGGGAGGGGGCGGGGTTATGGAAGGGGGCGGGGCCTGTGGATAGGGGAGGGGGAAAGGGCAGGGCCTGGGCTGGGGAAGGGGAGGGGGCGGGGCCTGGGCTGGATTTTTTGTGGGGGAAGGCGGATGGGGCATAGTGGGGTCTGAGGGGGGAGAACATGGGGAGGGAGGGGTTGGAATGGGAATAGTGGGGGAGGGAGAAGGGGGATGGAAAGCCAGGGAGTGGGGGGACGCGGCACTGAGGGGCCCCTGCCGCTGGGGGGCGGAGGTCCGGGCGAGGTGTGTGGGGGAGGTGACCCACGGGGCTGATGTCTGGATTTTCTCTCCACAGATTCCGGTTCTACCCGGTGCCCGAGTGACCCCCCCCAACCCCCCACCCCCAATAAATGGGCTTCCCCTCCGGGCCTTGTCCTGGCAGCAGCCGTCTCTGGGGGTGCACCCGAGGGTGTGGGGGCATGGTCTCGGGCATGAAAGGGTGTGGGAGCTGGGTGGCCCATGTGCAAGGGCATGGGGCAGGGTGGCAGGCGTGCGAGGCCCAAGGCACAGGGCAGGGTGGCAGGCGTGCGAGGGCATGGCAGCAGGGTGGCAGGCGTGCAAGGCCCAGGGCAGGGTAGCAGGCGTGCAAGGCCCAGGGCATGGGGCAGGCGGCTGGGCGTGCAAGGCCCAGAGCATGGGGGCAGTGTGGCGGGTGGGCGAGGGGCCAGGGGGGCGTAGGGGGGGCAGGGGGACGGCTGTGCAAAGGTGGGGGGGCAGGGCAGCGGGCCGGCCAGCTTGTGCACTTGTGTGTCCCACCTGGCCCTTGTGCCATGCGTGCCTCGCACGGGGCTTGGCGTGTCAGAACGGCACCGCGTGTCGGGAGCGTGTCACACGTCCCCACCGGCCCATGTTATCCCTCCCCCACCCCGTGACTTTCTGTAACCCCCCACACACACACACACACAGACCCCATGACACAAGGGTGAGGGGGCCCAGTGGGGCACATGCCCCCTCCCCGTGTTCTAAGGTGTCCCATGCGTGATGTGCCCCACGTGACACCCAGGGGGCGGTGCCTACCTGGCCAGGTGTCAGGTGTCCCTGGGACTCAGCGGGACCCGCCCAGGTGTGTGTGGGGAGGGAGGGAGCGGCCGGGAGCTGGGGCGCCATTGGTGGCAGCAGTGGGATGGGGAGGAGCTGGCGGAGGGGGAGGGGGGAGGAATCTACTGGGGACTGAGCCCGAAGAGAGACGCAGAGGAGAGAGCGAGGGAGAGGGACCCCCCTCCCCTCCCCCATCCCAGGTGAGCCCCAGCTGGGGGGGCACAAAGACGCCCCCCCACACACACTTTTCCTTCCGCCTCCCTCCTGCGGGTCTTGTTCCTTCCCTCCCCCTCCCCCCTTCTGACTTCCTCCCTTTTCAATTCCCTTTCCCAGCCCCCGCGCCCGTCCCTCCTTCCCCCGGGCCGCTCGTCCCTCCACTCCTCCCTGGGCTCGTTTCCCCTTCCCTCCTTTCTCCTGCTCCGTCCTGCCTTTGTATTCCTTCTCCATTCCCTCCTTTCCCCCTTCCCGCTTTGCATTTCCCCCTTTTCTTTCTTTCTTTCTTTCTTTTTTCATCCACACTCCTTTCTTTTACACTCATTTCTTTTTCACTCATTGCTTTCTTTCCTTCTTTTGTTCACACCCATTGCTTTCTTTATTTCACTCATTGCTTTCTTCCACACTCATTTCTTTCTTTCCTTCCTTCTTTCTTTCTTCTCTCACTCATTAATCCTTTTTCTTTCTTTCTTTCATCCACACTTCCTTCTTTCCTTCTTTCCTTCTTTCATCCACACTTCCTTCTTTCCTTCTTTCATCCACACTTCCTTCTTTCCTTCTTTCCTTCTTTCATCCACACTTCCTTCTTTCACACTCATTTCTTTTTCACTCATTGCTTTCTTTCCTTCCTTCTTTCTTTTGTTCACACCCATTGCTTTCTTTATTTCACTCATTGCTTTCTTCCACACTCATTTCTTTCTTTCCTTCCTTCTTTCTTTCTTCTCTCACTCATAAATCCTTTTTCTTTCTTTCTTTCTTCCACACTTCCTTCTTTCTTCCTTTCTTTCTTTCATCCACACTTCCTTCTTTCCTTCTTTCTTTCTTCCTTTCTTTCATCCACACTTCCTTCTTTCCTTCTTTCTTCCTTTCTTTCTTTCATCCACACTTCCTTTCTTTCTTTCATCCACACTTCCTTCTTTCTTCCTTTCTTCCTTTCTTTCTTTCATCCACACTTCCTTCTTTCCTTCTTTCTTCCTTTCTTTCTTTCATCCACACTTCCTTTCTTTCTTTCATCCACACTTCCTTCTTTCTTCCTTTCTTCCTTTCTTTCTTTCATCCACACTTCCTTCTTTCCTTCTTTCTTTCATCCACACTTCCTTCTTTCACACTCATTTCTTTTTCACTCATTGCTTTCTTTCCTTCCTTCTTTCTTTCTTCTCTCACTCATTAATCCTTTTTCTTTCTTTCTTTCTTTCTTTCTTTCTTACTACCTCACTCCCTCTACACCTCTGTCTCCTCATTTCCCCATTCCTTCTCTCTTAAGCCCGTTCCTTTACTCCTCCCTTCCTTCATTCGCCCCGTTCTCTGTTCCCTTCCTTCCTTGGGTCTGTCACTTTTTCTTTCGCCTTCCTCTTTTCCCTCCCCACCCTCCCCTCTAGCCCTCCTGGCAGTGACCCCCAGCCCAGCAAGCCCCATGATTTACCCCTGGGGTCCCAGAAACCAGTATGACACCCCCAAAGGGGACGGGCCCCTGCCCCATTCCCCGGGGGGGGGCCGGGGGGCCCCCCCCCCCCCATTCCCCACCCCCCTCAGCCAGCCAGTCCTGCCCTGGGGCTGGGGAGGAGCCGGCGCCCCCTATAGGGCCTGACGGGGGCAGAGCCCCAATGGGACGGGTCCCTATGTCTGGCATCCGCTTGTGTCAATATTTGTCCTAGAGTCTGAACTCCGCCCTGGGTTGTCATCAGTCTGGCGAAGGAGAGGGAAGGAATCGGCCCATGAAGCCAGGAAAGGGTTAATAGCCCCCCAAATGGGGGGTAGGGAATGAGGGGATCCCCCCGAACCTTCCCCCCAACTCATCCCCTGGCCCTCTCCACATCTTCCCCCCCACCTCACCTGCTCCCCAAACCTTTCCCCAAACTCACCCCAATTCTCCTGAACCTTTGCCCCCCAACTCACCCCCCCCCAAAATCTTCACCCTGGAAATTCAGACCCAACTCGCAGCCCCACCCCGTTGGCTTTAGGGAGGCGTCCTGGGGCCCGGTCGCGGGCCGCTTTGTGTCGAAGCGTTTCAACCCTTGGGGTGACTGTCAGTGGCGTTGTGACACCCCACCGCCCCGCCCAGGGAGTGGGGTGCTGGGGGGCAGGGAGCGGATGGGTTCAGAGCGGGTTTCCACATGTCCTGAGCGGCTTCTCTCCCCACAGCCAGGGAGAGAACCCAGGCGTCCTGGCTCCCAACCCCCCTGCTCTAACCCACCAGGCCCCACTCCCCTCCCAGAGCCAGGGAGAGAACCCAGGAGTCCTGGCACCCAGAACACCCTGCTCTAATCCGCTACACCCCCCAGGCTGAGGGGTGTGTGTGTGTGTGGTCTGGATGCGGGCGCTGTATGTTTCCCCCTGGGGCTAGGGCAGAGCAGTCAGGCGGGTTGGCGCAGTGGCAGGGAGTCCCGCAGGCCCCAGGGGGTGAGTGGGAGGGGGCAAGACAAGACCAAACAATGAGGCTGCCCTGAGAGAGGGAGGAAAACAGCTCCCAGGTGCTGACATAGCATAACCCGCAGAGAGACACACGGTCGCCCGAGGGGCGTGGCTGGGAGCTTCTCTGTGCCTCAGTTTCTCTATCATAGAAAGGGGGTTCCTTTCTCTGTGTCGATTGTAACAGGGCAGGGACTGTCCCATACTGTGTGTCTCTTGATTGACCGGCGCGACGGGGCCCCGATCTCCATTCTCCGTCTCAGTGGGGACGCCCCGGGCGTCTCCGTCTCACCCGGCCGTGCCCCCAGCAGGTGCCCGATGGCCCTGGACGACGGCCCCGACTGGCTCCTGGCGCTGCTCACCGAAATCCAGCTGGAGCAATTTTACCACAAGATCCGCGACGAGTTACACGTCACCCGCCTGGCCCACTTCGACTACGTCAAACCCTCCGACCTCGACCACATTGGCATGGGGCGCCCTGGTAGGTGTGGGGGGGGCCCAGGGCTGGGCTGGCAGGGGGCTGCGGGTCGGGAGTGAGGGGCACCGGCAGGGCTGGAGGGGGGCAGGGCTGGGCTAGGAGGGGCTGCGGGTCGGGAGTGAGGGGCACCGGCCGGGCTCCCCCTTTCTAACCGCCAGCCCCCCAATTCAGGTCAGCGGCGGCTGGAAGACGCCATCAAGCGCAGGAAGCAGCAGGGGCTGCGCCCCAAGTCCTGGGTTTACAAGGTTTGGCTTCACCCCTCCCCCATCCTCACAGGAACCCTGGTGTCCGGGGGGCGGAAAAACAGAGCCCCCCCCCCTCGAGCCAGCCTGGTGTGCGTCGGCAGGCGGGGTGCGGGCTCTGGGAGCCAGGACTCCTGGGTTCTCTCCCTGGCTCTGCGGGGGGAGTGGGGGCTGGTGGGTTAGAGCAGGGCAGATGGGAGCCAGGACTTCTGGGTTCTCTCCCCGGCTCTGGGAGGGGAGTGGGGGCTGGTGGGTTAGAGCAGGGGGGGGCTGGGAGCCAGGACTCCTGGGTTCTCTCCGCGGCTCTGGGAGGGGAGTGGGGGCTGGTTGGTTAGAGCAGGGGGGGCTGGGAGCCAGGACTCCTGGGTTCTGTCCCTGGCTCTGGGAGGGGAGTGGGGGCTGGTGGGTTAGAGCAGGGCAGATGGGAGCCAGGACTCCTGGGTTCTCTCCCTGGCTCTGCGGGGGGAGTGGGGGCTGGTGGGTTAGAGCAGGGCAGATGGGAGCCAGGACTCCTGGGTTCTCTCCCGGCTCTGGGAGGGGAGTGGGGGCTGGTGGGTTAGAGCAGGGTGGGGCTGGGAGCCAGGACTCCTGGGTTCTCTCCGCGGCTCTGGGAGAGGAGTGGGGGCTGGTGGGTTAGAGCAGGGGGGGCTGGGAGCCAGGACTCCTGGGTTCGCTGGCCATTAAGTGGTGTGCATGTCTTTCTCTCGCTCAGATGATCGGTGGCCCGAGGACCCAGGAGCCGGGGGAGGGGCCCTCCCGCCCCCCCGCTCCCCGCCTGGACTCGGACACCTCCCTGAAATGTCTGATCAGCGAGTGGGACCTGCGTCTGGGGGAGCGGCTGGGGGACGGCTGCTTCGGGGTGGTGCACCGGGGGGAGTGGACCCCGCCCGGCGGGGGCACTGTGAGTTGCCGGAGGGGGGTGTCTGGGGCCTTGTGCGGGGTGGAGGGACACGGGGGGGGTGTCCGGTGTCCCCCAGGAACAGCCAGGGGACTCCCACCCCATTTGGGCCGCAGGGCGGGGGGAAAGATCCGGAGACGAGAGCCGAAAATCGCGAGATCGGCGCCAGCCATCACGGGATGGCCGGCCCGTTTGACCCCCGGGATCCCAATACCGCCCCCTGCCCCGCCGATGAGCCCCCTTTCCCGTGCAGCTGTGGGGCGGGATGGTCCCTGGGGCGAGGCCTGGCTGGGGCCCCGCTCTGTGAGCCAGGGCCCCAGAGCTTCTCCCAGCCCCTGAACTGACCCCCGGTGAGCTCCCGGGGCCCAAGGACGAGGTGGTGGGGGTCGGGGGGTGCCAGTTCGATTCCCCCCCCCCAGTGGCAGAGATGGCAGGCAAGGCAGAGAGGGGAATTGGAAAGGGGGGGACGGATGGAAGGGAGGACGCAGGGGTGGGGGGAGTCTTGGGGGATGAAGGGGTGGGGGAGGGAAGACAGTGGGGTGGGGGAGGCCGTGGGGAGGGAGGGGGGTGTGCGGGGAGGGGGTGTGGGGCTGGTCCCACCTGTTTCCCCCTCTCCCTTCTCTTCTGGCTGCTGCTTCCCTTTCTCCTCCCCCCTCCATTCCTCCCTTTGTCCACCCCTCCAGCCCCCCCCGATCCCCCCAGGAACTGACCCCCACCCTGCCCCCCCAGCTCTCCGTGGCTGTGAAATCCCTCCGCTCCGACGTCAGCACCGACCCCCTGGCGCTGGTCGACTTCCTCCGCGAGGTGAACGCCATGAGCGGCCTGGAGCACCCCCATCTCCTGCGGCTCCACGGGGTGGTCCTCAGCCAGCCCCTCAAGATGGTGAGCGGGGCCCAGACGCCGGGGTTCCCTCGCCAGTGCTGGGGGGAGAATGGGGGCTGGTGGTTAGAGCCAGGGGGGCTGGGAGCCAGGACTCCTGGGTTCTCTCTCCAGCTCTGGGAGGGGAGCGGGGGCTAGTGGTTAGAGCAGTGGGGCTGGGAGCCAGGACTCCTGGGTTCTCCCCCTGGCTCTGGGAGGGGAGTGGGGGCTAGTGGTTAGAGCAGTGGGGCTGGGAGCCAGGACTCCTGGGTTCTCCCCCCGGCTCTGGGAGGGAAGCGGGGGCTAGTGGTTAGAGCAGTGGGGCTGGGAGCCAGGACTCCTGGGTTCTCTCCCCGGCTCTGGGAGGGGAGTGGGGGCTAGTGGTTAGAGCAGGGTGGGGCTGGGAGCCAGGACTCCTGGGTTCTCTCCCCGGCTCTGGGAGGGGAGAGGGGGCTGGTGGTTAGAGCAGGGGGGGCTGGGAGCCAGGACTCCTGGGTTCTCTCTCCAGCTCTGGGAGGGGAGCGGGGGCTAGTGGTTAGAGCAGGGTGGGGCTGGGAGCCCGGATGCCTGGGTTCTCCCCCGGCTCATCACCGCTCCGCTCTGGGCAGGTCATGGAGCTGGCCCCGCTGGGCTCCCTGTACGACCACCTGCGCCCGCCCTACCCCCTGCACCGGCTCTGGCTCTATGCCCTGCAGGTGGCCCAGGGCCTGGCTTACCTGGAGTCCAAACTCTTCATCCACCGGGACGTGGCCGCCCGCAACGTCCTGCTGGCCTCCGAGGAGCAGGCCAAGATCGGCGACTTCGGCCTCATGCGGGCGCTCTCCCGCCGGGGCGACCGGTACATCATGTCCGCCCACCGCAGAGTCCCCTTCGCCTGGTGAGAGGCCTCCCCTGCTCCCCAGGGCGGCGCTAGGGGGCGCGGGGGGGCAGGGGGCGGGGGGCTCGGCAGGGGGCGCTCTCCCCTGGCAGGCGGGGCTGGCCCCAGGGCGGCGTAGAGGGGCAGGGGGCGGGGCGGGGGGCTCGGCAGGGGGCGCTCTCCCCCGGCAGGCGGGGCTGGTTCTAGGGGGCGTGGGGGGGCAGGGGGTGGGGGGGGGGGGGCTCGGCAGGGGGCGCTCTCCCCCGGCAGGCGGGGCTGGCCCCAGGGCAGCGTAGAGGGGCAGGGGGCGGGGCGGGGGGCTCGGCAGGGGGCGCTCTCCCCCCGGCAGGCGGGGCTGGTTCTAGGGGGCGTGGGGGGCAGGGGGTGGGGCGGGGGGCTCGGCAGGGGGCGCTCTCCCCCGGCAGGCGGGGCTGGCCCCAGGGCAGCGTAGAGGGGCAGGGGGCGGGGCGGGGGGCTCGGCAGGGGGAGCTCTCCCCCGGCAGGCGGGGCTGGTTCTAGGGGGCGCGGGGGGGCAGGGGGTGGGGCGGGGGGCTCGGCAGGGGGCGCTCCCCCCGGCAGGCGGGGGCTGGCTCCAGGGCTCCTCTAGGGGGCAGGGAGCGGGGCGGGGGGCTCAGCAGGGGGCGCTCTCCCCCGGCAGGTGGGGCTGGCCCCAGGGCAGCTCTAGGGGGCGCGGGGGGGCAGGGGGCGGGGGGCTCAGCAGGGGGCGCTCTCCCCTGGGAGGCGGGGCTGGCCCCAGGGCGGCGTAGGGGGGGCCGGGGGCGGGGCGGGGGGCTCGGCAGGGGGCGCTCTCCCCTGGCAGGCGGGGCTGGCCCCAGGGCGGCTCTAGGGGGCGCTGTGGGGTGGGGGGCAGGAGGCGGGGCGGGGGGTGCTGGGGGGCAGGTTTCTCTCTCTCGCTCGCTTTCCCTGAGGTGTCTTCTCCTGCCCCCCAGGTGCGCCCCCGAGAGCTTGCGCTCTGGCACCTTCTCCCACGCGTCCGACGTGTGGATGTTCGGGGTCACCCTCTGGGAGATGTTTTCCTACTGCGAGGAGCCCTGGATGGGGCTCTCGGGGCGACAGGTGAGCCTGGGGGGGCCGGGCTTGGAGGAGAACCCAGGAGTCCTGGCCCCCAGCCCCCCCTGCTCTGACCCACCGGCCCTCACTCCCCTCCCAGAACCGGGGCGAGAACCCAGGAGTCCTGGCTCCCCGTCCCCCTGCTCTAACCCACCAGCCCCCACTCCGCTCCCAGAGCCAGGGAGAGAACCCAGGAGTCCTGGCTCCCAGCCCCCCCTACTCTGACCCACCGGCCCCCACTCCCCTCTCACAGCCGGGGAGAGAACCCAGGAGTCCTGGCTCCCAGCCCCCCCTGCTCTGACCCACCGGCCCCCACTCCCCTCCCAGAGCCGGGGAGAGAACCCAGGAGTCCTGGCCCCCCCCTGTTCCAACCCATCCACCTTTGCTCGGGGAAGGACTCGGGCTCCATCCAGTGGTGGGGGTGGGTAATGCAGCCCGGGCCGGGGGGGGGAAGGGGGCGCTGAGGTGCTGGAAATTTACACTGTCCTTGCCCCCCGCCGCCCCCCAGATCATGCTGAAGGTGGAGCGCGAGGGGGGGCGGCTGGAGCGCCCCGAGGATTGCCCCCGGGGGCTGTACGGCCTGCAGCTGAAGTGCTGGGCCCACAACCCCAACGAGAGACCCCACTTCAGGGACATCATCGCCCTCCTGCATGAGGTGAGAGACCCCCGGGGGGGGGCCCGCCCCACAGCCAGCCCCCCTGCCCTGCCCCCCACGCTGCCCCCTGCTGCAGTCCCCTGCCCCACAACGAGTCCTCCCTGCCCTGCCCCCCACGGCGCCCCCTGCTGGGGTCCCCCCTCACAGCCAGCCCCCCTGCCTTGCCCCCCATGGTGACCCCTGCTGAGGTCTCCTGCCCCACAGCCCGCCAGTGCTCCTGCCCCCCACAGTGCCCCCTGCTGGGATCCCCTGCCCCACAGCCAGCCCCCTACTCTGCTCCCCACGGTGCCCCCTGCTGCGGTCCCCTCCCCCACAGCCAGCCCTCCTGCTGGGATCCCCCACCCCACAGCCATCCCCCCCTGCCCTGCCCCCCATGGCGCCCCCTGCTGGGATCCCCCAATTCACAGCCAGCCCCCCTGCCTTGCCCCCCATGGTGACCCCTTCTGCGGTCCCCTGCCCCACAGCCAGCCCCCCCCTGCCCCTCACGGCGCCCCCTGCTGGGATCCCCCACCCCACAGCCAGCCCCCCTGCCCCCCCCACGGCACCCCCTGCTGGGATCCCCCACCCCACAGCCAGGCCCCTGCCTTGCCCCCCATGGTGACCCCTTCTGCGGTCCCCTGCCCCACAGCCAGCCCCCTCCCTGCCCCTCACGGAGCCCCCTGCTGGGATCCCCCACCCCACAGCCAACCCCCCTCCCTGCCCCTCATGGTGCCCCCTTCTGGGATCCCCCACCCCACAGCCAGCCCCCTGCCCTGCCCCCCACGGCACCCCCTGCTGGGATCCCCCACCCCACAGCCAGCCCCCTGCCCTGCCCCCCACGGCGCCCCCTGCTGGGATCCCCCACCCCACAGCCAGCCCCCTGCCCTGCCCCCCCACGGCGCCCCCTGCTGGTGTCGTCCTCCCTCCCCGCCCAGCCCGATGAGTGGGATTAACCCTTTCCCTTCTGTTCTCAGCTCCGTCCCCGGGAGGTGAGAGCCGCTCACGACTTGAATGAACCGGGGTGGCTGAGACTAGAAACCAACGATCTCATAACGGTGATAGAGGGCAGGTGAGCCCGGACGCCTGGGTTCTTTCCCCGGCTCTGGGAGGGGAGTGGGGGGTGGTGGGTTAGAGCAGGAGGGGCTGCGAGCCAGGACACCGGGGTTCTCTCCCCGGCTCTGGGAGGGGAGTGGGGACAGGGGGTCGAGAGCGGGGGGGCGGGGCTGGGAGCCAGGACTCCTGGGTTCTCTTCCCGGCTCCGGGAGGGGAATGGGGGCAGGGGGGCGAGAGCGGGGGCGGGGCTGGGAGCCAGGACTCCTGGGTTCTCTTCCCGGGAGGGGAATGGGGGCTGGGGGGTGAGAGCGGGGCGGGGGCTGGGAGCCAGGACTCCTGGGTTCACACCAGTTCCTGCCCCCCACCCCATGCAGCCCCGAGTCCTCGACCTGGAGGGGCCAGAACAGGCGGACGCTGCAGGTCGGGATCTTCCCGGCCTCGGTGGTGAGCCCGGAGGAATCGCCCCCCTCTGGGGTGCCCCGGATCAGCCTCCCCGTCCGCAACAGCTTCCAGCACGTGGGGCACGGAGACCTGGAGCCCAGCCGCAGCTGGGGGGCCCCTGACCGCATCGAGGAGTGAGTGTGGGGCAGGGGGAGTGGCTGAGGGTAGAGGGCGTGTCACTTGGAGGGAGGGGGCATGGCTGGGGGAGGGGTGTGTGTGCTTTGGGGGCGTGGCTGAGGGAAGGGGGCGTGGCTGTGTGGTAGGGGGCGTGGCTGAAGGCAGGGGCGTGGCCGAGAGAAGGGGAGGGTCTCTGGAGGAGGGGAGGGGGCGTGGCTGCAGAGGAGGGGGCGTGTCTCTCAGGGAGGGCTGGGGGTGTCGGATGGGAAGGGGCGTGGCTATGGAAGGAAGGGCGTGTCTCTGAGGGAGGGGGCGTGGCTGTTGTGGAGGGGTGTGGCCACGCAGGTGGGGAAGGGAGGGGCGTGGCTGTGTGTGATGGGGAAGGGATGCAGCTGGCTCTAAAGGGGGGGCTGTATCAAGGGGATGGGCCTCTCCCTTGCACCCCACCCCCGCTCTTCCATCTCCCCCCAGGGGTTTCCGTGACACCCTCTAAGTGTGGGGTGGGTTGTCAACTGGGGCAGGGACCCCCAAGTTCTCCCCCCCCCTCCAGGCGGGACCTGGGAATTAGCCTCCGAGGGCCCATATCATTCACCCTCCCTCCCCCCGCCCGCGTGTCCCCCTCCCAGGCTGAAGGGGAAGCCCCGAGACCCTAAAGATCCCGGCGGGATCAAGCCGGGGGCCCAGCAGCTGATCCGGCTGACGCGTGAGTATCTGGCCCCCCCGGCGGGGGCGCTGGGGGGGGGCAGGGTGGGCACGGCCCTGCCCCTGCCACATGGGCTGGAAAGGAATGGGGAGAGAACCCAGGAGTCCTGGTTCCCAGCCCCTCCCCCGATCCAACCCACCAGCCCCCACTCCCCTCCCGGAGCCGGGGAGAGAACCCAGGAGTCCTGGTTCCCAGCCCCTCCCTCAATCTAACCCACCAGACCCCACTCCCCTCCCAGAGCCAGGGACAGAACCCAGGAGTCCTGGCCGCCAGCCCCTCCCCCGATCTAACCCACCAGCCCCCACTCCCCTTCCAAAGCTGGGGAGAGAACCCAGGAGTCCAGCTCTGACTCAGTTTCCCTTTTTTCCTTCCTAGGTCTCTCTAAGAGTCTGGACTCAGTGTCAGATTTAAGCGTCCTTCAGATGAAACCCAGGCGTCCGGGTAAAGATCTCGCCTTCCTGCCTCATCACCTCGGCAACCCACCGTCCCGCCCACCGTGGGAAATGGGGCTCCGGCCCCTAGAGACGCCCCCGAAGTCACGGCCTGCCCCTCGGCCCAACCAACCCCGCAGGACAGATGCTCCCCTCCAGCAACCTAGGGACAGGAGGGAGGCAGGGGGGGCCAAGGCCCCTGGGGGGGCCCACAGGGCCGCAGTGGGGGTCATGGGGCCCCCATGTGGCGGGCAGAAGGGCAACAGTGACATGGAGCGGAAAATCAAAGAGGTGAGTGACTGAGGAAACAACCCAGGCGTCCTTGCTCCCAGCCCCCCCCGCTCTAACCACCAGACCCCGCTCCCCTCCCGGAGCCAGGGAGAGAACCCAGGAGTCCTGGCTCCCAGCCCCCCCTGCTCTAAGCACCGGACCCCACTCCCCTCCCAGAGCCAGGGAGAGAACCCAGGAGTCCTGGCTCCCAGCCCCCCCTGCTCTAAGCACCGGACCCCACTCCCCTCCCAGAGCCAGGGAGAGAACCCAGGAGTCCTGGCTCCCAGCCCCCCCTGCTCTAAGCACCGGACCCCACTCCCCTCCCAGAGCCAGGGAGAGAACCCAGGAGTCCTGGCTCCCAGCCCCCCCTGCTCTAACCACCGGCCCCCACTCCCCTCCCAGAGCCGGGGAGAGAACCCAGGAGTCCTGACACAGCGTCCCTCTCCCAGGCAGTGTGGGGGGCTGGGGGGCGGAGGCTGGGGGCCGGTGCCCCACCCCAGCAGGGTCTCGGCCTCTCGTCTGCAGGTGGAGGAGAAGGTCCACGGGGTGACGGTGGACGAGTGTCGCGAGGCGCTGAGGCTGCACGGCTGGGACACCCAGAGAGCCGTCGAGGAGCTGAAGGTGGGAGACCACCCCCCCCCCACCGCCCTGAGGGGAGCCGGCGCCCCCTAGAGGAGACAGGCCCCTGCTCCATTCCCCGCCCCCCTGAGCCAGCCAGGCCCCGCCCGGGAGCCGGCGCCCCCTAGTGGGGACAGGCCCCTGACACGCCCGTTTCCCCGGCAGGTTGACCAGCTGTTCCACATCAGCCCGCACTCCCGGGACGAATGCCGGCGCATCCTGGAGAAGCATCGCTGGAACCTGGCCATGGCCTCACGCTACATCCTGAGCCGTGGCCTCCGGGCCTGAAGGGGGCGTCCCCCACCCCAGCGGGGCCCAGGGACAGCCTCGGCTTCCCGCCTCCGCCTGGCCTGGGCCTTCCGGCCTCCCAGAGCCGTGGAGAGAACCCAGGAGTCCTGGCTCCCAGCCCCCCCGCTCTAACCCACCAGCCCCCACTTCCCTCCCAGAGCTGGGGAGAGAACCCAGGAGTCCTGGCTCCCAGCCCCCCTTCGTCTAACCCACCAGCCCCCGCTCCCCTCCCAGAGCTGGGGAGAGAACCCAGGAGTCCTGGCTCCCAGCCCCCCTTCGTCTAACCCACCAGCCCCCACTCCCCTCCCAGAGCTGGGGAGAGAACCCAGGAGTCCTGGCTCCCAGCCCCCCTTCGTCTAACCCACCAGCCCCCACTCCCCTCCCAGAGCCAGGGAGAAAACCCAGGAGTCCTGGCTCCCAGCCCCCCCGCTCTAACCCACCAGCCCCCACTTCCCTCCCAGAGCTGGGGAGAGAACCCAGGAGTCCTGGCTTCCAGCCCCAGCCCCACCCCCACCCCCTTCTCTGACCCACCAGCCCTCACTCCCCTCCCAGAGCCAGGGAGAGAACCCAGGAGTCCTGGCTCCCAGCCCCCCTTAGTCTAACCCACCAGCCCCCACTCCCCTCCCAGAGCTGGGGAGAGAACCCAGGCATCCTGCGGCTGGTTGTGAGTTGCTTGTGTGGCTGTAGCCTGCCGGGGTTGCGTGCGCGTTTCGGGAGGGGCGCGAGGGTATGGGTGTTGTGTGCATGGAAGTCGGTGACGCTGCGTGTCGTCTGTTTTTGCATGTTCCCCCCCCTGTGAGGGTGTGGAGCTTGCCCCGTTGTGTGAGTGTTTTGGGGGAGACACACGATTGTGAGTCTGGGATGCGCGTGCGCACACAGCCGCGGCCAGGCTTGTGCGTCCCTCGCGCGTGACGGTGTGTCCGCCCCCTTCCCGGGGTTCGTGATTTTTCACGAGACTTGTGCGTGATGAATGGGGGTGTGCAAAGCTGGCCGCGTGCCAGGTGGTGTGCGCCTTGCACATGAAGGGGTGGGCCTGCAAGCCAGGCCCTGTGTGTTCCTACTGTACAGTTGTTAGGGGTGTTGTGTATATATTGTGCACTGCAATAAAGGTGACCTCGAGTCCAGCGTCCCAGGTAGCGTGATTGGGCCCCCATGGGAATTCCGCCATTCCACCTCTTCACCCCACCTGGAATGGGCCATGTGACCTTCACCCTCCCTGAAGTGGGGCAGGGCAAGATGGGTGGGAGGTGGGGGTACCGGGGTGGTGAGCGCAGGAGTTGTGAGGGAGATGGATTTCGGGGGACAATGAGGGGTGGGGGGAAGGATATGGGGGGCAGAGAGGAAGAGGAGAGAGAGCACGAGGAAGGGGCTCACGGATGAGGAGCCAGGACAGAGGAGCCGTGGACACCCAGGGTCTTAGCTTTTTATTGGTTTTGGTTGCCCGTGGAGGAACGCCCAGCAAAACCCTCCGTCGAGAGACAAGGTCCAGTCCGCTCCTCTCCTGCCCGTGGGGGAGATTCCCCTTCCTCTCCCCTCCCCTCCAGTCTCCTCCCCCCTCCACTCCCCTCACGAACGAAAGACACAGTGGAGTTGTCCAAGGTTGTCGTCTCTCGCGTTGGCCAATAGGGCTCCATCTTGGGTTGGCTTGACTCCCTCTCTTGGCCAACGGCCCTCCATCTTGGGTTGGCTTCCATCCATCGTGGCCAATGGCCCTCCACCTTGGGTTGGCTTCCATCCATCGTGGCCAACCGCCCTCCATCTTGGGTTGGCTTCCATCCATCGTGGCCAACGTGCCTCCGCGGTTGGTATGGCTATCTTAGCCAAGGCTCCTCCATCTTGGGTTGGCTTCCATCCATCGTGGCCAACGGCCCTCCATCTTGGGTTGGCTTCCATCCATCGTGGCCAACTTCCCTCCATCTTGGGTTGGCTTCCATCCATCGTGGCCAACGTGCCTCCGCGGTTGGCATGACTATCTTAGCCAAGGCTCCTCCATCTTGGGTTGGCTTCCATCCATCGTGGCCAACAGCCCTCTAGCTTGGGTTGGCTTCCATCCATCGCGGCCAACGGCCCACCATCTTGGGTTGGCTGGCCTCCCTCTTGGCCCACATGACGCCACCGTGGGTTGGCATCACTTCACGCTGGCCATAGCTCCTCCATTGGTCAAGCCAACCCTATCCTTCCTCCACTGTGGCTTGACGCCCCTCCCTCAGCATCAGGAATTCAGGGGAACCAGGGGGAACCCCATTAAAAAGCACCATGATGCTCCCCCCACAAAGCCCCCTTTAAGGTTCAGCGCAAGACACTTTGTTATAAGCGATAAATACACAAAATACAGAATGAGAAATATCTATAGTTAAGAGATTTGGCTTCGGGATGTTGCCACCACTGGCTTGGTGTTGAAGGGACCCCCCCTCAGCCGACAGGTGGGGGCAGGGGATATGAAGGCCCCAGGAACTTGGCAGCCAATGGAGGCCAGAGTTTCCTGTCTGGGTGAAGGTCCTAAAGACGCCTTGGTGGGAGAAGGCCTGGGGCTTGATGTTCTTCACATACAACCAAAAGAGCCCCCATCGTGCTGTCTACCGAGTCCCATGGCACAGGACACACCCACACCCGCAGGCCTCCTTGCCGCCTCTGCAAACAGTCTCACTGCCCTGACACCCACGCCAGCCCATAAACACGCTGTCCTATTCATAAAGACCCCTCATTGGTGTTAGAGATGGGATGGGAGCCCCTGTTGGTGTCAGCAGTGGGATGGGGGGTCCTCGTAAGTGGCAGCGAGTGGGAGGTGCGGGGGTCCAGCTGCTTCTAACTGCTCAGCACCGTGCTCCTCTGGCTGGTCTTGCCCACCTTCTCGAAGAACATGTAATCCTGGGGAAGGAAAAAGAGAAGAAGAGGGCTTTGAACAGACACAGTCTAGTGCTTTCCAAATCGGCCGATCTCCAATCTCGGGGTGGGATCACCATGGAAAGAAAACGGGTCCTGGCCCCTGCACCCTGGGGGCTCCGGTTATGAGAAGAGGAGGTGGGGTGGTGGTGGAATGGCGGAAGAGGGCAGGTGGGGAGAGGTGGGTGGAGGGGGAGGTAGGGCGGGCTGGTGGCATGAAAAAGAGGTTGGCTGGTGGCAGCAATGGGACGAGGGAGGGCATGTGGGTTGGGGTGGAAATGGGGGAGAGGTTGAATGAGGTGCTTGGTGGGAGAGGTGGGATGGCTATTCATTGGTGGGAGCGGTGGGATGGCTATTCACTGGTGGCAGTGGTGGGATGAGGATGGCAAAGAGGCACTACGTGACAGTTGATGCGAGTGGGGGGAAGGGGAAGTTAGGGTGGCCAGTGGCAGTAGCGGGGGGAGGGCGCTCACTGGTGGGACCGATAGACTGGGGAGAGGGTGATCTCCCGTGGGCTGTAATCCGTTGGCCTATTTTGGTTGTTGGGTTTCGTGTGTGGGTACAGGATGGGGCTGGTGGCCTGTGAGATACAGGAGGTCAGACAAGATGGTCCCTTCTGGCCTTAAACTCTGTGACGGTAGGGGGCGGGGGTGGAAAGGGAAGAAACTGGCTGTATTGGTCGGTGGACGGGGAGAGAGGGTGGGCAGGTTGGTTGGTGTCACACATCGGATGAGGGCAGAGGTCAACTGGTAGCAAAACAGAAGAAGGTGATTTGTCGACGGGGGTGGTGGGATGGCGAGGTTGGGTTGATTGGTGGCAGCAGGGGGATGGCGAGGTTGGGTTGATTGGTGGCAGAGGTGGGATGGCGAGGTTGGGTTGATTGGTGGCAGCGGGGGGATGGCGAGGTTGGGTTGATTGGTGGCAGTGGTGGGATGGAGGGGAGCGGGGGGCACTCACGATGAGGAAGCAGGCCCCCAGCAGCACGGCCTTCATCTTGACGTCCAGGTCCACGGGGAACTGGATGCCGAAGACATCGGTGTCAGTGAAGACCTCCTTGAGCAGCCCCCCCCACTGCTTACTGATCCGGCCCACGCCCCGCGACTCGTCGCTCGTCTTCACCTGTGGGGAGGGGAGCAGCACCGAATGTGAGTCAGACGCTGCCCCACGGGGCCCAGGAGAGACCATTACCCTCCCCCCCGCAAGGGACTATGCCCTTTGGGGCGTGCCCAATGCAGGAAGTCCCGCCCCCGAGGCAGTTCCTGAACAGGAAGTGCCTCAGCTGCCAATCCTCCCTGCCCTGTACACCCGTAGTCCACGCCCCATACAGGAAGTGCCCCCATAGCTCCTCCCCCTGGGACATGCCAACACAGGAAGTGCCCCAGAAAGCCCTCCCACCTGACGAAGCCCCAGTGCTCCTAGTCCCCCACCTAGGCCGAACCCATCTACCTCCACAGCCCCCCATCTCGGACATCCTCCCCCACACCCCATTCCTGTATCCTCCCCAAGCACCCCCTCCTCCAACTACCCTCCCACACCACGATGCAAATTCCCCCCATCCAGCCCCCCAACACCCCTCCACCGAGACGCCTACCCCAGATGCCCCGTGTCCTGCCCCCCAGATGCGTCCCCTCCACCGAGACACCAACCCCAGACGCCCCCCCATCCAGCCCCCCAGATGCGTCCCCTCCACCAAGACACCAACCCCAGACCCAGATGCCCCCCGTCCTGCCCCCCAGATATGCCTCCTCCACCAAGACCCACCCAGCCCACCACCCCATCCTCCCCCCAGATATCCTCCTCCACCAAGCGCCCCAGACCCGACACACCACTCCTGCCCCCCAGATATCCTCCACTCCACCAAGACACCAACCCCAGACCCAGAAGCCCCGTCCTGTCCCCCACATGCCCCCCCCTCCACTGAGATGCCAACCCCAGTCCCAGATGCCCCATCCTGCTCCCAGATATACCCCCTCCAGGCCCAGATGCCCCCCGTCCTGCCCCCATCCACCGACACCAACTGCAGACCCAGATGCCCTGTCCTGCCCCCCACAGGCCCCCTCCAGGCCCAGATGCCCCTCACCCTGCCCCCTCCCACCGAGATGCCAACCCCCGGCCCAAACACCCCCATCCAGCCCCCCAGATACGCCCCCGTCCACCGAGACGCCAACCCCAGTCTCAGACGCCCCCCTATCCTGCCCCCCAGATAAGCCCCCTCCAGGCCTAGACGTCCCCCATCCTGCCCCCCAGATATCCCCCACTCCACCAAGACACCAGCCCCAGACCCAGATGTCCCCCATCCTGCGCCCCCAGATACGCCCCCTCCAGGCCCAGCTGCCCCCCTCCAAAGCGAGGCCAGGCCCCGCCCCGCCCCGCCCGGCCCCCCGCTACCTCGAAGTTGACGTCCCCCCCGCAGCGAAAGACACAGCAGGGCCCCAGCACCCGCAGCACCGTCTGCTTCTGGGCGTCCTGGACGGAGAACTTGGGGGTGAAGGGGTGCCAGGTCTGCACCACATGCCCGATCGTGGTGCCCGGGGGGCACTGCACCTCCAGCTGGGGTGGGGGGAGGGCGGGGAGAGACACACACCAGGCAGGGGTTAGAATGGGGGTGGCAGGGAGAAACCCCCCGCCCCGTGTCCCCACCGAAACCAGCCCCCCGGGAGTGGGGCTGGGAGTCCTGGAGATTGGGGGGGAGGCAGTGGGGGGCCCAGATTTGTGGGGGGTCATGGGGCGCTTGCCTCCCGGGGGGGGGGGAGCCGGGTGGCGGGTGTGGGTGCCCTGAGCGGGCGGGGGGGTACACTGGGGAGCCTAGGCTGGGAAAAGAGGGGTCAGGGCAGAGGGGGAGCCCCGGGAGGGGAGGGGAAGGGGGTACCTGGGGCTGTGGGGGGGGGGGTAGGAGCCGTGCCTGGGGCCAGGACGTTGTGGGGAGAGATAGGGGAATAGCACAGGACTGGGGGGGGGGGGATTGGGGCAGCAGGACGCCAGGGTGGTGGGTCATGGGGGGGCAGTAAGGTCAGAGAGGGACACGGGGGGTGCAGCGGAGGGCAGGGGGAGAGACACAGGGGGGCACAGCAAGGTAAGGGGGGGACACGGGCAGGACACGGGGGTGGTACAGGGGTGGGGGAGGGACACAGGCGGGGTGCGGGGGGGACCAACAGGGAGGGACACAGAGGGTGCAGTGGGGTTGGGGAGGGACATGGGCCGGACACAGGGGTGGGGTGGGGCAGGGACGTGGGGGTACCCAGGTTGGGGAGGGACATGGGCCGGACACAGGGGGGTGCCGGGGTTGGGGAGGGACATGGGTGGGACATGGGAGTGGGGGAGGGACACAGGCAGGACATAGGGTGGTGCCAGGGTGGGGGAGGGACACGGGGTGGTGCTGGGGTGGGATACGGGGGGGGTTGTCAGTGTGTGGGAGGGTCTCGGGGGGGTCCAAGGGGGGGGGAGGGACACAGGTAGGACTCAGGGGGGTTGTCAGGGTGTGGGAGGGACACGGGGGGTGGGGCCGGGGTGGGGGAGGGTGCCAGGATGGGGGAGGGACACAAGGGGGTTGTCAGGGTGCGGGGAGGGACTCGGGGGGGTTGTCGGGGTGCGGGAGGGACACGGGCAGGACACAGGGTGGTGCCGGGATGGGGGAGGGACACGGGACAGACACGGGGGTTGTCAGTGTGCAGGAGGGACGGGGGGGGATCTGGGAGTGGGGGGAGGGACACAGGCAGGACACGGGGGGGGTTGTCGGGGTGCGGAAGGGACACGGGGGTGCTGGGGTGGGGGAGTGACACGGGCAGGACACAGGGGTGTTGTCGGGGTGGGGGAGGGACACGGGGGGGGTACCGGGGTGGGGGAGGGACATGGGCCGGACACAGGGTGGTGCCGGGATGGGGAGAGGGACACGGGACAGACACAGGGGGGTGTCACGGTGGGGGAGGGACACCGGTGGGACATGGGAGTGGGGGAGGGACACAGGCAGGACACAGGGTGGTACCGGGGTGCGGGAGGACATGGGTGGGACACGGGGGGGTGCCGAGGTGGGGGGAGGGACACGGGGGGACACAGGGGGGTTGTCGGGGTGCGGGGGGTACCGGGGTGGGGGAGGCACACGGGGGGGGGGACACGGGGGGGTTGTCGGGGTGCGGGGGGTGCCAAGGTGGGGGAGGCACATGGGGGGGACATGGGGGGGTTGTCGGGGTGCGGGGGGTACCGGGGTGGGGGAGGCACACTGGAGGGACACAGGGGGGTTGTCGGAGTGCAGGAGGGACACGGGGGGGACGTGGGAGTGGGCGAGGCACACGGGGGGAACACAGGGGGGTTGTCGGGGTGCGGGGGGTACCGGGGTGGGCGAGGCACACGGGGGGGTTGTCGGGGTGCAGGAGGGACACGGGGGGGTACCGGAGTGGGGGAGGGACGCGGGGGTGGGGTCCGTCCCTCACCTCCTGCAGGCAGCAGGGGCACCAGCAGGAGGCGCACTTGAGGGGGCGCAGGAAGCGGAGGGCGGGGCGCCCCCCCGGCTCAGCCAGGCTCAGCCGGAGGCGCCGCAGGGACCCGCAGCAGTTGCGGGTGCAGCAGTCGCTCTGCTCCTCGGCCTCGAAGAGCCGCCGGCCCAGCCCATCCCGCAGCTCGTACTTGTTGGCGGTCTCGAAGCCGATGACGGCTGGGAGGGGAGGAGGGGAGACAGTTACGGCCGTGACACCGCCCTCGCCGACCGTCATGGCCGCCCTCACACCCGTCATGGCCGCCCTCGTCGCCATCACCAACCGTCATGGCCACCCTCATCACCATCACACCCGTCATGGCTGCCCTCGTTGCCAACCGTCATGGTCGCCCTCATTGCCATCACAACCGTCATGGCTGATGTCATCACCAACCGTCATGGCCGCCCTCGTCGCCCTCACACCCGTCACGGCCGCCCCTCGTCGCCATCGCCAACTGTCACGGCCGCCCTCGTCGCCATCACACCCGTCATGGCCGCTGTCATCACCAACCGTCACGGCCGCCCCTCGTCGCCATCACAACCATCACGGCCGCCCCTCGTCGCCATCACCAACCGTCATGGCCGCTGTCATCGCCAACCGTCATGGCCACCCCTCGTCGCCCTCACACCCGTCATGGCTGCCCTTGTCGCCATCACAACCATCATGGCTGCCCCTCGTCGCCATCACAACCGTCATGGCCGCTGTCATCGCCAACCGTCATGGCCACCCCTCGTCGCCCTCACACCCGTCTTGGCCGCCCTCGTCACCAACCATCATGGCCACCCTCATCACCATCACAACCATCATGGCTGCCCTCGTTGCCAACCGTCATGGTCGCCCTCATTGCCATCACAACCGTCATGGCCGCTGTCATCACCAACCGTCACGGCCGCCCCTCGTCGCCATCACCAACCGTCACGGCCGCCCCTCGTCGCCATCACACCCATCACGGCCGCTGTCATCGCCAACCGTCACGGCCGCCCCTCGTCGCCATCACAACCGTCACGGCCGCCCCTCGTCGCCATCACACCCGTCATGGCCGCTGTCATCACCAACCGTCATGGCCGCCCCTCGTCGCCATCACAACCGTCATGGCTGCCCCTCGTCGCCATCACCAACCTTCACGGCCGCCCCTCATCGCCATCACCAACTGTCATGGCCGCTGTCATCGCCAACCGTCATGGCCACCCCTCGTCGCCCTCACACCCGTCTTGGCCGCCCTCGTCACCAACCATCATGGCCACCCTCATCACCATCACAACCATCATGGCTGCCCTTATTGCCAACCGTCATGGTCGCCCTCATTGCCATCACAACCGTCATGGCTGATGTCATCACCAACCGTCACGGCCGCCCTCGTCGCCATCACACCCGTCACGGCCGCTGTCATCGGCAACCGTCATGGCCGGGGTGTCATGAGAGGACGGGGTGTGTGTTGTGTATGGCTGAGTCAATGGCGTTTGTGTGTGTAGTTGGCGTGTTGTGTACATCTGAGAGGATTGTGTGTGTGTGTGTGTGTGTGTGTGTTTGGGGTATCGTGTATGGCTGAGAGGCTGGGGTGTGTGTTGTGTATGGCTGAGTCAATGGCGTGTGTGTGTAGTTGGCATGTTGTGTACATCTGAGAGGATTGTGTGATTGTGTGTGTGTGTTTGGGCTGTTGTGTACGGCTGAGAGGCTGGGGTGTGTGTTGTGTATGGCTGAGTCAATGGCTTTGTGTGTGTAGTTGGCGTGTTGTGTACATCTGAGAGGATTGTGTGTGTGTGTATTGGGGTGTTGTGTACGGCTGAGAGACCGGGGTGTGTGTGTGTATTGGGGTATGTGTACGTGAGAGGTGGGGTGTGTGTTGTGTGTGGTGAGTAATGGGTGTGTGTTAGTTGATGTTGTGTAATCTGAGAGGATTGTGTGATTGTGTGTGTGTGTGTGAGATTGGTGTTGTGTAGGCTGAGAGGGGTGTGTGTTGTGTGTGGTGAGTCAATGGGTGTGTGTGTAGTTGGGTGTTGTGTACATCTGAGAGGATTGTGTGATTGTGTGTGTGTGTGTGATTGGGATGTTGTGTATGGCTGAGAGGGGGGTGTGTGTTGTGTGTGGTGAGTCAATGGTGTGTGTGTGGAGTTGCATGTTGTGTACATCTGAGAGGATTGTGTGATTGTGTGTGTGTGTGTGATTGGGATGTTGTGAGGCTGAGAGGGGGGTGTGTGTTGTGTGTGGCTGAGTCAATGGTGTGTGTGTGTAGTTGGCGTGTTGTGTACATCTGAGAGGATTGTGTGTGTGTGTGGAGATTGGGTGTTGTGTAGCTGAGAGGGGGGTGTGTGTTGTGTGTGGTGAGTCAATGGGTGTGTGTGTAGTTGGGTGTTGTGTAATCTGAGAGGATTGTGTGATTGTGTGTGTGTGTGATTGGGATGTTGTGTAGGCTGAGAGGGGGGGTGTGTTGTGTGGTGAGTAATGGTGTGTGTGGGAGTTGGTGTTGTGTACATCTGAGAGGATTGTGTGATTGTGTGTGTGTGTGTGTTTGGGGTGTTGTGTACGGCTGAGAGGCCGGGGTGTGTGTTGTGTGTGGCTGAGTCAATGGCGTGTGTGTGTAGTTGGCGTGTTGTGTACGGCTGAGAGGACAGTGTGTGCGGTTGGTGTGCTGTGTACGGCTGGCACGGGGTGTGTGTTGTGTGTGGCTGAGAGGATGCGGGGGCGGGGGGGGGTTGTGTAGCGGGGGAGGACGGTGTGGGCGCGGCACACACCCCATGTGGTGTTTCCTTCGCTCACCTTCCACCAGCTCCACTTTCTGCTGGATCAGAACCTGGTCGATCTGAAAAGAGCCAAAGGGGCTGGGGTAGGAGAGACTCAGACCCCCCCAGCCCCCTCCCAGAGCCAGGGAGAGAACCCAGGAGTCCGGGCTCCCAGCCCCCCCTGCTCTAACCCACCAGCCCCCAGTCCCCTCCCAAAGCCGGGGAGGGAACCCAGGAGTCCGGGCTCCCAGCCCCCCCCTGCTCTAACCCACCAGCCCCCACTCCCCTCCCAAAGCCGGCGAGAGAACCCAGGAGTCCGGGCTCCCAGCCCCCCCTGCTCTAACCCACCAGCCCCCAGTCCCCTCCCAAAGCCGGGGAGGGAACCCAGGAGTCCGGGCTCCCAGCCCCCCCCCACTCTAACCCACCAGCCCCCACTCCCCTCCCAAAGCCGGCGAGAGAACCCAGGAGTCCGGGCTCCCAGCCCCCCTGCTCTAACCCACCAGCCCCCAGTCCCCTCCCAAAGCCGGGGAGGGAACCCAGGGTCCGCTTCCAGCCCCCCTGCTCTAACCCACCAGCCCCCAGTCCCCTCCCAAAGCCGGGGAGGGAACCCAGGAGTCCGGGCTCCCAGCCCTCCCCCGCTCTAACCCACCAGCCCCCCACTCCCCCTCCCAAAGCCGGCGAGAGAACCCAGGAGTCCGGGCTCCCAGCCCCCTGCTCTAACCCACCAGCCCCCAGTCCCCTCCCAAGCCGGGAGGGAACCAGGAGTCCGGGCTCCCAGCCCCCCCCCCTCTAACCCACCAGCCCCCACTCCCCTCCCAAAGCCGGCAAGAGAACCAGGAGTCCGGGCTCCCAGCACCCCCTCTCTAACCCACCAGCCCCCAGTCCCCTCCCAAAGCCGGGGGGAACCAGGAGTCCGGGCTCCCAGGCCCCCTCTCTAACCCACCAGCCCCCACTCCCCTCCCAAAGCCGGGGAGGGAACCCAGGAGTCCAGGCTCCCAGCCCCCCCCTGCTCTAACCCACCAGCCCCCACTCCCCTCCCAAAGCCGGGGAGAGAACCCAGGAGTCCGGGCTCCCAGCCCCCCCTGCTCTAACCCACCAGCCCCCACTCCCCTCCCAGAGCCGGCGAGAGAACCCAGGAGTCCGGGCTCCCAGCCCCACCCTGCTCTAACCCACCCACCCCCACTCCCCTCCTCGAGCCAGAGAGAGAACCCAGGAGTCCTGGCTCCCAGCCCCCACCCTCACCCCCACCCACCAGCCCCCCTCCAGTCAGGTTCACTGCCACTAAGATGCGGCCACCTCTGGGGTGGGGCGGCCGGTGACACGGGGACCCCTCGCCCGGCGCCGAGATGCGGCCAGCTCTGGGGCGGGTCACGGTTCCCGTTTACACCCCCACTCACCTGCATTAGATACTCCAGCCCCGGGGGGATGCCGGTGGACACGGGCAGGTAGGGCGTGATGGCCGAGTGGGGGTGTTGAGCGGCGGGGTCCCCGTATGCCTGGGGCGGGGCCTGGGGCGGGACCAGCGGCCCTGTGCCCGGATTGGAGGAGGGGTACACGTTGAATCCCAGGGTGGGGGCAGGGGCGGGGGCGGGGCTGGGGTACGGGGCGGAGGGGTAGGTAGCCTGGGGGTAACCTGTGAATGAAAGAGGGGGGACAGGGTTAAAAATCAACCCCCCCCATCAAATTCCTCCCCCTCCCCCAGTATTACTGGTTACACAGGGACCCCTCCCCCGGCTCCTTGGAACTACAAATCCCAGAACTCCTTGGGCCAGGCAGCCCCCCCCCCTTAAAGGGCCAGCGCACCCCTCACCCCGCAGCGGTTCACAGTCAGGCTGGCAGGACATAACGGGGGGGGGGGGGTCCCCGCCGGGATCGGGTCTGTGAGTTAATTAACGGCGTCCAGACTCATAGACTATCAGGGCTGGAAGGGACCTCAGGCGGTCATCTCGTCCAAACCCCCCCGGCTCAGAGCAGGACCAATCCCCAATTCCTGCCCCAGATCCCGAAACGGCCCCCTCAGGGATTGAACTCGCAACCCTGGCTTTAGCAGGCCAAGGCCCAAACGGCCGCGCGCTCCCATTAGCAGGAGCGTGGTCAGCCGGACGGCGAGCGCGGCTGCCGGGGCATTTCCGGGTCGCGCAGGCTCGGGGACCCTCCTACCCCGCCCCCCGGGGTGCGGGATTTTGAGGGGGTGCGTAGAGGGGCAGGTACCCCGCTCCTGGGGGAAACGGACTGGCTGATTGGGGGAAGGACCCACAGCTGGGGCCCCGCCCCCATCAGCCCACACCTGGCCCTGATATAAGGGTCCGTCTCAGCCCAGGCCGGGGAGCTCAGGGTCCCGGGCGTGGAGCCGGGCTGGGGAAGGGCAAAGGGGGGCTCCGGCTCGGCCACTCCCCGGGCTGAGCCCTTGTTTAAGGCCTAAGGGGGGTACTGGGGGCGCAGAGGGGCAGCCCGGGGATAGGCAGAGGCAGCTGGTCCCACCCCCTTGCCAGTGATGAGTGGCCATCACAGTCTGCATCTGCCCCACGGAAAGGGGGCTGGAGGACCACTGGCCGTAGCCACTGAGGCAAGGTGGGCATAGCGGGTTGGGGGTTCCCCTGGGAGGGGAGACCAACAGTGTGGGGGGGTGCTGTGGGGCAGTACCCCAAGCTATGTCCCACTGGGGTCCGGGAGGGACACGGGGCCCTGAGGCAGGAGAGACACCGGCCAGCAGGGGGCGCTCCGAGTGCTGAGCCAATTCCCGGACGGACCAGTGGGAGGCGCCGTGCCGGTGAGCCCTCGATCGGCTCCAGTACCGGTGGTCCGTGGCGAGTTCCCCCTCCGGGGCGCGCCTGGGCACCTCATTACGGGGGCGCACAGGTAAGGCGCACAGGTCAGGTGAGCGGCTGGCCTTGGGGGGGACGGGGGGGGAGGTGGGAGGGGGCAGTGGGGTGAGAAGAGGGGGTGGGGGGAGTTTGGGACATGCAGGGCTGCGGTGGTTGGAGAAAGAGGCAGCTTTCCCCAGCTCCAGGCTGCCAGGGAGAGACCCCCCCTCCTTCCCAGCCCCAGCTCGGGGGCTGCCGCTGGGGGGGAGACGGAGGGCACAGCCATCGCACGGGAGAGGTAAGACGCCGGGTATTAAAATATGAGTCGTGGGCTCTTATGTGTAGAACAAAAACAAAGTTAATTGTCAGTAAGGGTTGTTTTTATCTAGCGCTTTTATGCAAAGCACTTTCAGAAAGAAAGAAAGAAAGAAAGAAAGAAAGAAAGAAAGAAAGAAAGAAAGAAAGAAAGAAAGAAAGAAAGAAAGAAAGAAAGAGGCAGAGTGGGAAAGACAGAGAAAGAAAAGAAGAGTGAGAAAGAAAGAGTGAGAAGAGAAGGAAGGAAGGAAGAGTGAGAAGAAAAGAAAAGAAGAGTGAGAAAGAAAAAGAAAGAGGCAGAGTGGGAAAGACAAAGAAAGAAAAGAAGAGTGAGAAAGGAAGGAAGGAAGAGTGAGAAAGAAAGAAAGAAAGAAAGAAAGAAAGGAAGGAAGAGTGAGAAAGAAAAGAAGTGAGAAGAAAGGAAGAGTGAGAAAGAAAAGAAGAAAGGAAGAGTGAGAAAGAAAGAAAGAGGCAGAGTGGGAAAGACAAAGAAAGAAAAGAAGAGTGAGGAAGAAAGGAAGGAAGGAAGAGTGAGAAAGGAAGGAAGAATGAGGAAGGAAGGAAGGAAGAGTGAGAAAGAAAAGGAGTGAGAAGAGAAGAAAAGAAAAGAGTGAGAAAGAAAGAAAGAAGAAAAGAAAAGAGTGAGAAAGAAAGAAAGAAGAAAAGAAAAGAGTGAGAAAGAAAGAAAGAAGAAAAGAAAGAGGCAGAGTGGGAAAGACAAAGAAAGAAAAGAAGAGTGAGAAAGAAAGGAAGGAAGGAAGAGTGAGAAAGAAAAGGAGTGAGAAGAAAAGAAAGAAAAAGAACAGAAAGAAAGAAAAGAAGAGTGAGAAAGAAAGAAAGAAAGAAAGAAAGAGGCAGAGTGGGAAAGACAAAGAAAGAAAAGAAGAGTGAGAAAGAAAGAAAGGAAGGAAGGAAGAGTGAGAAAGAAAAGGAGTGAGAAGAAAAGAAAGAGTGAGAAAGAAAGAAAAGAAGAGTGAGAAAGAAAGAAAGAGGCAGAGTGGGAAAGACAAAGAAAGAAAAGAAGAGTGAGAAAGAAAGAAAGGAAGGAAGGAAGAGTGAGAAAGAAAAGGAGTGAGAAGAAAAGAAAGAGTGAGAAAGAAAGAAAAGAAGAGTGAGAAAGAAAAGGAGTGAGAAGAAAAGAAAGAGTGAGAAAGAAAGAAAAGAAGAGTGAGAAAGAAAAGAAGGAAGGAAAAGGAGTGAGAAAGAAAGAAAAGAAGAGTGAGAAAGAAAAGAAGGAAGGAAAAGGAGTGAGAAAGAAAGAAAAGAAGAGTGAGAAAGAAAAGAAGGAAGGAAAAGGAGTGAGAAAGAAAGAAAAGAAGAGTGAGAAAGAAAGAAAAAGGAAGAGTGAGAAAGAAAGGAAGAGTGAGAAAGAAAGAAGGAAGGAAAAGGAGGAGAAAGAAAAGGAGTGAGAAGAAAGGAAAGAAAAAGAAAGAAAGAAAGAAAGAAAGAAAAGAAAGAAAGAAAGAAAGAAAGAGGCAGAGTGGGAAAGACAAAGAAAGAAAAGAAGAGTGAGAAAGAAAGAAAGAAAGAAAGAGGCAGAGTGGGAAAGACAAAGAAAGAAAAGAAGAGTGAGAAAGGAAGGAAGGAAGAGTGAGAAAGAAAAGGAGTGAGAAGAAAAGAAGAGTGAGAAAGAAAGAAAAAGGAAGAGTAAGAAAGAAAGAAAGGAAGGAAGAAAAGAAGAGTGAGACAGAAAGGCCGAGCAGGAAAGACAGAAAGAGGCCGCGTGGGCCAGGCCGAAGGCAGAGTGGCCCCCAGGGGCCGGCGAAAGCCGCCCGAGGCCGGGCCCTGGCTCTGGGGCGAGGGCGAAGAAGGGAGCGAAGCAGGACTGGAGGTGGAGGAGGGAGCGAGGCGGAGAGGAAGGAAGGGAGGGAGCCGGGAAAGCAGGAACGTGACACTGGAGGGAGCGAGGAAGGGCAGGGGCGGCTCTGTAACGAGCGCGTCGGGGCTCAGCCCATCTGACAGAGGCTGGGGCTGGGGAGTGACTCAGGGGCCTCCTGGTGCCTCCACCCTGGTCCGGTTCGGCTGCATTCCCCGTGTCAGCATCCCCGCCCCGCCCCCCGCGTGACTCATCCCGGCACTGAGGGTGCAGGGGGAGTGGGGGGCACCGGCAGGGCTGGGGGGAGCCCAGGGCTGGGCTAGGGGCTGCGGGTCGGGAGTGGGGGATCGGCAGGGCTGGGGGAGCCCAGGGCTGGGCTAGCAGGGGGCTGCGGGTCGGGAGTGAGGGGCACCGGCAGGGCTGGGGGGGGCAGGGCTGGGCTAGCAGGGGGCTGCGGGTCGGGAGTGAGGGGCACCGGCTGGGCTGGGGGGGGCTGCGGGTCGGGAGTGAGGGGCACCGGCAGGGCTGGGCTGAGGGGGGCTGCGGGTCGGGAGTGGGGGGGATCGGCAGGGCTGGGGGGAGCCCAGGGCTGGGCTAGCAGGGGGCTGCGGGTCGGGAGTGAGGGGCACCGGCAGGGCTGGGGGGAGCCCAGGGCTGGGCAAGCAGGGGGCTGCGGGTCGGGAGTGAGGGGCACCGGCAGGGCTGGGGGGGAGCCACGGGCTGGGCTAGCAGGGGGCTGCGGGTCGGGAGTGAGGGGCACCGGCAGGGCTGGGGGGAGCCACGGGCTGGGCTAGCAGGGGGCTGCGGGTCGGGAGTGAGGGGCACCGGCAGGGCTGGGGGAGCCCAGGGCTGGGCTAGCAGGGGGCTGCGGGTCGGGAGTGAGGGGCACCGGCAGGGCTGGGGGGAGCCCAGGGCTGGGCTAGCAGGGGGCTGCGGGTCGGGAGTGGGGGGCACCGGCAGGGCTGGGGGGAGCCCAGGGCTGGGCTAGCAGGGGGCTGCGGGTCGGGAGTGAGGGGCACCGGCAGGGCTGGGGGGAGCCACGGGCTGGGCTAGCAGGGGGCTGCGGGTCAGGAGTGAGGGGCACCGGCAGTGCTGGGGGGAGCCACGGGCTGGGCTAGCAGGGGGCTGCGGGTCGGGAGTGAGGGGCACCGGCAGGGCTGGGGGGAGCCACGGGCTGGGCTAGCAGGGGGCTGCGGGTCGGGAGTGAGGGGCACCGGCAGGGCTGGGGGAGCCCAGGGCTGGGCTAGAGGGGGCTGCGGGTCGGGAGTGAGGGGCACCGGCTGGGCTGGGGGGGGCTGCGGGTCGGGAGTGAGGGGCACCGGCAGGGCTGGGCTGAGGGGGGCTGCGGGTCGGGAGTGAGGGGCACCGGCAGGGCTGGGGGGAGCCCAGGGCTGGGCTAGCAGGGGGCTGCGGGTCGGGAGTGAGGGGCACCGGCAGGGCTGGGGGGAGCCCAGGGCTGGGCTAGCAGGGGGCTGCGGGTCGGGAGTGAGGGGCACCGGCAGGGCTGGGGGGGCAGAGCTGGGCTGGCAGCTGGCCCCATGCCCAGGCTGGCTCTGGGTTTAGCCGTGGGTGGGGCTGTGCCCTGGCTTCCTGTCCTGGGGCGGGATCTCGAAATGGGGTTTGTCTTTTCTTCCTCTGCATTCTCCACATTCTGATGTGCTGAACCAGCCAGAGCTGGGGGGGGAGGAGAGGGGGGAAGGGGGGTGTACGGGGATAGATAGATAAAGGGGGGGATGGGGATAGATACAGGGGAGGGGGTGGATGGGGACGGATCGATGTGTGGGGGGATGGCGGGAGACAGGGCTGGGTGGCAGGCTGAGAATGGATAGATTGGGGTGGGGGGCTGGAGGTGTAGTCTCTGGAGGGACGGCTGGATTAAGGCGGGGTGTATGAGGTTGGGGGGAGGGATAGATAGGGGGTGTTTATGGGGAGGGACAGAGGGGGGAGGGGTGGGTGGGGCTGGAGGGATGGAGGTGCAGATGGGTGGGTGGATGGATGGATAGAGGGGTGTCTATGGGGATGGAGGGATGGAAAGATGGAGGGAAGGACGGAGGGAGGGGTGGATGGATGGATAGAGGGGTGTCTATGGGGAGGGACAGATGGAGGGGTGGATGGATGGATGGACAGAGGGGTGTCTATGGGGAGGGACAGATGGGGGGTGGATGGATGGAGAGATGGAGGGGTGTCTAGGGGAAGGCGAGGTGGAGGGATGGATGGATAGAGGGGTGTCTAGAGGGCAGGGAGGGGTGGAGGGATGGATAGAGGGGTGCCTATGGGGACAGAGAGATGGAGGCACAGAGGGGACGGAGGGAGGGAGGGGTGTCTATGGGGCCGTGAGGGGTGGAGGGATGGATCGAGGGGATGGACGGACGGACGGGTGGATGGATTGAGGAGTGTCTATGGGGAGGGATGGGTGGAGGGGTGGATGGATGGATAGAGGGGTGTCTAGGGGGAAGGGAGGGGTGGATAGAGGGGTGTCTAGGGGGACGGAGGGATGGAGGTACGGGGGGGACAGAGGGAGGGGTGGAGGGATGGATGGATAGAGGGGTGTCAGGGGATGGAGGGATGGATAGAAGGGTGTCTAGGGGGACGGAGGGATGGAGGTACAGAGGGGATGGACAGGGGGGCACATATCTGCCCCCGGCGGGGGGCAATTTGTCTCCCGCTGCCCCCTACCTGCTGCTGCCATGCTGGGGGGGTCTCAGCTGCGGCCCCCCCACGTCTCTCTCCGGCTCCTTCCCCCGCTCAGTGCCCCGGCTCCTCACGGCTCCTGTGACGGAGAAGAGGGGGTCACGGGGTGGGTCAGGCGGGGGGGGATGGGCTTGGGTTGGGGTGCAGGAGGAACCAGGGTCACGCAGGGTGGGGATGGCCGGGGGGGGAGGTTGTGTGGGCCCGGGGACCCCGAGGCCTCGTCACGCAGGCAGGGGGTCGGGGCTGATTTAAACCTGAGCTTGAGTCTCTTGCCCCTCCCCCGAAACCCCCCCAGCCCCACTTGCTACACGCAGACCCTCCTCTCCCCCCCCCACAACCCCCAAAGACCCCATTACACCAACCCCCACAAATTAACCCCCAGACCATGCCTCCTCCCACCCCGCCAGATATTCCCAGCCCCCCACAAAGCCCCCCCCAAGATGCCCACAGCTTCCCACAGGTTCCCCGCATGCCCAGATACTCTCAGCTCCCCCCACAGATCCCCCAGATCTCCCCAAGATCCCTCCCCCGCCCCCACACACAGGGGTCTGACAGCCCCACCGACACTCACACCCCGAGACACAACTCGGCACACAACACACACTCAGCGCCACCCGATGCCGGGGAGAGAACCCAGGAGTCCGGGCTCCCAGCCCCCTCCAGCTCTAACCACCAGCCCCCCCCACTCGCCTCCCAGAGCCGGGGAGAGAACCCAGGAGTCCGGGCTCCCAGCCCCCGCCCCGGCTCCAACCCACCAGCCCCACTCCCCTCCCAGAGTCGGGGAGGGAACCCAGGAGTCCTGGCTCCCAGCCCCCCCTACTCTAACCCACCTGCCCCCACTCCCCTCCCAGAGCCGGGGAGAGAACCCAGGAGTCCTGGCTCCCAGCCCCCCCGCTCCAACCCACCAGCCCCACTCCCCTCCCAGAGTCGGGGAGGGAACCCAGGAGTCCTGGCTCCCAGCCCCCGCCCGGCTCCAACCCACCAGCCCCCACTCGCCTCCCAGAGCCGGGGAGGGAACCCAGGAGTCCTGGCTCCCAGCCCCCGCCCGGCTCCAACCCACCAGCCCCCACTCCCCTCCCAGAGCCGGGGAGGGAACCCAGGAGTCCTGGCTCCCAGCCCCCGCCGCGACTCCAACCCACCAGCCCCCACTCCCCTCCCAGAGCCGGGGAGGGAACCCAGGAGTCCGGGGTCTTACATAAAGGACTTTCATTAGCGGCGCTGGAGCGCTGACGGGTGAGGCGCCCTGTGGAGCCGGACGGGCGGTGATGCTGGGAACACCCCCCCCCGCGCCGCCCCGGCTCCTCCCCCCACTGGATGGGGGGCAGGACAGCAGCCCCCCGCCCCCCGTCGATGGCCAGGCGCTCTCCCCAGCGCTGAGGTTCCCGGCCCTTCCCCGGGGGGTCGCCCTGACTCAGAGACACCCCCCTCCGTTCGAGGGTCCCCCCCCAAATCCCAACACCCCCCCCCGGCTCTAACCCCCCAGCCCCCACTCCCCTCCCAGAGCGGGGGAGAGAACCCAGGAGTCCTGGCTCCCACCCCCCCTTTTTTTTTCTCTGCATCCCATCTGGGGGGGGGCAGCAACGCCCCACTGCGTGAGGGGGGGGGTGTCAGAGGGGCAGACCCAGCCCTAGACAGCGGGGGAGGGGAAATCTGGGCCAGGGACGAGTCAAGACTATGGAGCTGCTCCCGGTGGGAAGAGGGGGGTGCCCTGCCCCAGCCGCCCCCCCAACCCCCAAAGCCTAAGGGCACCAGATTCTCCCCCCTCGGAGTCGGCCACAGCCCCGCCCCAGGTCTGGCTTTGTCTGAGTCCAGCCTCCCCCCCCCGGCAAAACCCCTCTCCCCCCCCCCGGCTGCCCCCTCCTCTCCTGTCTCCTCCCCCTTCCCGGAGCACCCCCCTCCCCCCGCCCAGGTCCCGTACCTCGGGGCGCGCCGCGGGGAGAGCGGGGCCGAGCCGAGCCGAGCCGAGCTGGGCGGAGGGAGGAGGGAGGAGAGACCGGAATAGCCGGCCCCTCCCCCCGCCGGGCAGCCTCCCCCCTCCCCGATCCATGGGCCCGCCCCCGCTACCCCCCACCCATTCCCTGCCCCCCTCCCCGGTATCCCCCCCCCGCTTGCCCACCTTCCCCGTGTCTCCTGCCCCCCTTTCACACCCCCAGTATCCCCCGACCCCACTCCCTGCCCCCCTCACCGTGTGTGTGTGTGTGGGGGGGGCTCTATGTGTGTGTGGGGGGGTGTGGGGGTGTGTCATGGGGGGGCAGCACCATGGGTGTGTGTCATGGGGGGGCAGCTGTGTGTGGGGGGGGTGTCACTGGGGGGCAGCTGTGTGTGTGTGTGTGTGATTGGGGGGGCTCTATGTGTGTGTGGGGGTGTGTCATGGGGGGCAGCACCGTGGGTGAGTCAGTGGGGGGGCAGCTGTGTGGGGGGGGTGTCACTGGGGGGCAGCTGTGTGTGGGGGGGGGCTCTATGTGTGTGTGGGGGGCGTGGGGGTGTGTCACGGGGGGCAGCACCGTGGGTGTGTCATTGGGGGGGCAGCTGTGGGGGGGGCCATCACGGGGGGGCAGTTGTGTGTGTGTCATGGGGGGCCAGGCAGGGCTGTGACCGGGCGTCTCTGGGGTGTGGGGTAACTGTGGGCGGCAGCTGGCGCCCGCGGGCCTGTCCCGTGCGTAGGCGTGACGGGCTCGGCTGGGTGTCGTGTTTTGTACCCGCACGCAGAGCTGCCTGCCCCTGCCCCCCCCCACTCCCCATCGGGCCTCCCTGCCCCAGTTATCCGAGGGTCGAAGTCACCCCGTCCTCAGCATGGCGATGGGGGGGGGATGCAACCCGAGCACCTGTGAATCCATCGGTTATTTATAGACCAGGGCCTGGCGCAGCTGGGCACGGCCCAGGCCCGTCAATCCCAGGCCCGGGCGAGGGGTCCCCGTGTCACCCACCGCCCCGCCCCAGAGGTGGCCGCATCTCAGGGCCGGGAGAGGGGTCCCCGTGTCACCCACCGCCCCGCCCCAGAGGTGGGTGCATCTCGGCGCCGGGCAAGGGGTCCCTGCGTCACCAGCCGTCCTCCCCATAACTACCGGGGGCGAAATCGAAGGTGGGAGACTGGACTGGGAAGGGAGCCAGGACTCCGGGGTTCTCTCCCCGGCTCCGGGAGGAGAGTGGGGGCTGGTGGTTAGAGCAGGGAGTCTGGAAGCCAGGACTCCTGGCTTCTCTCCCCGGCTCTGGGAGGGGAGTGGGGGCTGGTGGGTTAGAGCAAGGGGGGCTGGGAGCCAGGACACCTGGGTTCTCTCCCCGGCTCTGGGAGGGGAGTGGGGGCTGGTGGGTTAGAGCAGGCGAGGCTGGGTGCCAGGACTCCTGGGTTCTCTCCCCAGCTCCGCCACTGGGCTGTTGTGTGATCTTAAGTCACGTCTCCATCTTGTGCCTCAGTTTCCCCTCCCAGCCTCTCTCAGGTTTTCGCATTGGGCCCCCCCCCCACACTTGCCCTGCCGTAATTCACCTAAGAGAGGAGAAAGAGAATCCGGACGCCCAGGCCTCAGCATAGAAATTAGCGTTTATTGATTCGTTAATTAAGAAAAAACTGACTCAAAAAATCGTCAAATCAACCGATTTTCCACATGAAGCGACAATCCCGCTTTTCCGCTCCACCCAGCCAATCAGAACCCAGGCAGCCTGTGATAGGACAAGGCTTAGCCTAGTGCCCGCCCACCCCTCAGCATCAGCCAATGAATGAAGAGCTCCCCTCCCACTGGCTAGAAAGTTGGTCCCTGGGTGAGAACTCCCTTGGCCAATGACAACAGCCGCCCTAGAGACAGCCTTCTGATTGGCCACCAGCTCGGCCAATGGAGGAGGAGGGCCTCCTGCTTTGCCATTGGTTGCAGATCCAGGCCCGCGAGTGACAGGCACACATTAAGCCCAGCTCTCCAATTGGTCAGTGGTTGGGACAGTCAACGCCCCCCCCCCCACCTCCAGTTCACCTATTGGCTACATCGCCTCGCCAGTGGGGGCGGGGCCAGTGCTGGAGGAAGCCAGGCCCACACGCAGGAGGCGGGGCTTGAGTGACAATTCAGCTGGGTGGGCGGGGCCAGGAGCCCCAGTGGTGCGGGGGGGGGGGTAGGGGTCAGCCAGGGGGTCCCCCAAGGGTGGGGGGGGTCAGAGAGCCATCGCCAGCCAGCCGAGGATGAGGAGGGAGCCCCCGTAGGGGGCCGCTTTGTTGAGAGTCGGGTCTCCACTCCACGCATGGTAATACAGAGGTCCACAGAAGAGCCCCATCCCGGAGGTGAGCAGCGCGCCGGCCTGGGGGGGCAGAGGAAAGCGGGGGGGGGCAGCATGAGAACAGTTGGGGATGTTTGAGCCCCGCTTGCTCGCTCAAGGCACAGATCATCGTCCCCGCCCCCACCCGGTCTAAGCCCAAGAAGATAAAGGCTCTACTTTAGCTGCCAGACGGGGGAGCTGCTGCCTTGGCTCCAGGGGCCAGGTCTTGGGGTTCCCAGCCTGCTCTTGGCACCCCAGGCGGGAGGGAAGATCCTGAGGGGTAAATGGGGTGGAGGAAGATGGGGGTAGACTGAGGGGAGGAGGGTCCAGAGGGGGATTGGGGTGTGGGACTGGGAGGAGGGAGACCCTGGCGACGGGGACAGCAGGGTGGAGGGCGGAATCTTACCAAGGGGGGGTGTATCTGGGGGGGCGTATCTGGGGGGGCATGGGTAGCAGTGGGGGGGTACAGGGCCCACCCCAACCAATCCAGCGGGCCGCCGGGAGGGCAAACAAGGGTCCTCCTGGGAGCTGAGGTCCCCGGGGTGCCACCCCACCCCTGCAGACGGGGGCACCCCCAGGCTACGCACCAGCAGAGGGCGGTGGCAGTGGGGCACGGCCAGCAGCGCCAGGCTGTGGAGGAAGTGGTACTTGTTGGCCGTCTCGTAGAGCTGCCAGCAGAGAGCGAAAAGTGAGGGACACAGAACCGGGAAGGGACCCAGGAGTCCGGGCTCCCGGCCCCCACTGCTCTGACCCACCAGCCCCCGCTCCCCTCCCCGAGCCGGGCAGAGAACCCAGGAGTCCTGGCTCCCAGCCCCGCCCTGCTCTGACCCACCAGCCCCCACCCCCCTCCCGGAGCCGGGGAGAGAACCCAGGAGTCCGGGCTCTCGGCCCCCACTGCTCTGACCCACCAGCCCCTGCTCCCCTCCCCAAGCCGGGCAGAGAACCCAGGAGTCCGGGCTCCCGGCCCCCACTGCTCTGACCCACCAGCCCCCGCTCCCCTCCCTGAGCCAGGGAGAGAACCCAGGAGTCCTGGCTCCCAGCCCCCCCTACCCCCCCCCCCTGCCAGAAGAACCCAGGAGTCCTGGCTCCCAGCCCCGCCCTGCTCTGGCCCACCAGCCCCCGCTCCCCACACTGGTACACCCGCAGGTCTCCATGACCCCCCCACCTCCTTCTGGTAGTCGTCCCGGTCACTGCGCCGAAAGCCTGGGGCACAGAGAGAGCAGGGTTAGCCCGGCTGGGGGGGAGGGCAGAGACCCCCGACCCCTCCTACCCTTCCCTCCCTCCAGTCCCCTAACCCCCTCCTGCCCCCGGCCCCTTTCCCCGACCCCCGCGCCTCCAATCCTAGCTCCCTCCGGCCCCCCCTCCCTCCTGCCCCAGCCCCTCCCCCTCTAGCCCCTTCCCCGGATCCAGCCCCTTTCCCCGACCTCCTGCCTCCGGACCCCCCCTCCAATCCTAGCTCCCTCCGGCCCTCCCCAGATCCCAGCCCCCTCCTGCCCCTGGCCCCCCACCCCCCCGATCCCAGCCCCCTCCTGCCCCCGGCTCTCCCCTCCCGATCCCAGCCCCCTCCTGCCCCCGGACCTCCCCTCCAATCCTAGCTCCCTCCGGCCCCCCCCAGATCCCAGCCTCCTCCTACCCCCGGCCCCTCCCCTCCCGATCCCAGCCCCCTCCTGCCCCGGCCCCCCCCCCGATCCCAACCCCCTCCTGCCCCCGGCCCCTCCCCCTCCCGATCCCAGCCCCCTCCTGCCCCCAGACCTCCCCTCCAATCCTAGCTCCCTCCGGCCCTCCCCAGATCCCAGCCCCCCTCCTGCCCCCGGCCCCTCCCCTCCAATCCTAGCTCCCTCCGGCCCCCCCCAGATCCCAGCCTCCTCCTACCCCCGGCCCCTCCCCTCCCGATCCCAGCCCCCTCCTGCCCCCGGCCCCCCCCCGATCCCAACCCCCTCCTGCCCCCGGACCTCCCCTCCAATCCTAGCTCCCTCCGGCCCTCCCCAGATCCCAGCCCCCTCCTGCCCCCGGCCCCCCCCCCCCGATCCCGGCCCCCTCCTGCCCCCGCCCCCCCCGATCCCAACCCCCTCCTGCCCCCGCCCCCCCCGATCCCGGCCCCCTCCTGCCCCGGCCCCCCCGCACCGTGCGCCCCGTAGGCAGCGGCCCCCACCGCCCCGGCCCCGCTCAGCGCCCCCACGCGGCCCCAGCGCCCCGCCATGGCCCCGCCGCGTCACTGCCCCGCCTCCGCCAATCGCCGCGCCCGGCCGCCCGGCCACGCCCACCTCCCCCGTGGCCGGGCCAATCAGGGCGCGCGCCGCCGGGCCGCAGCGAGGCGGAAGAGTGGAACGTGGGGATTCCCTCCCCGTTCGGCGCCGATTGGACAAGAGGCCTGTCGTTCTCATTCCTCGGCCAATGCTGGCGCAGAGCCGCGTCCCGCCCCGTGACCACAGGGACGGGGGCGATTGGAGTGCGCCCCATGTCGGGGGGATACGGTAAGACGCAGCCAAACCCAATGTTCCCGCTTGGGGCGAGGCGCCAGGCTACAGTATATACGGTACCGACCCCGCAGCGCCCCGGCCGCCACCAGGGGGCGGCAGAGACCAGCGAGAACCTGCAGCCCCTCCCCCACGCGGTGCCCCTCACTCCCGACCTGCAGCCCCCTGCCCCCCCAACCCCACACGGTGCCCCTCACTCCCGAACTGCAGCCCCCTGCCAGCCCAGCCCTGCCCCCCCCAGCCCTGCCGGTGCCTCTCACTCCCGACCTGCAGCCCCTGCCCACCCCCTAGCCCTGCCAGTGCCCCTCACTCCCGACCTGCAGCCCCTGCCTCCCCCCAACCCCAAGCGGTGCCCCTCACTCCCGACCTGCAGCCCCCCTGCTAGCCCAGCCCTGCCAATGCCCCTCGCTCCCGACCCACAGCCCCCTGCCCCCCCCCCCCCCAGCCCTGCCAGTGCCCCTCACTCCCGACCTGCAGCCCCTGCCCCCCAGCCCCGCGGTGCCCCTCCTCCCGCCTCCCCCTCCCCCCCCCCCCCCCCCCCCCCCCTGCCACCTCGCCCCCCCCCCCCCCCCCCGCCCCCCAGCCCTGCCGGTGCCCCTCACTCCTGACCTGCAGCCCCTGCCCCCCCCAGCCCTGCCGGTGCCCCTCACTCCCGACCTGCAGCCCCTGCCCCCCCCCAGCCCTGCCGGTGCCCCTCACTCCCGACCTGCAGCCCCTGCCCCCCCCCAGCCCTGCCAGTGCCCCTCACTCCCGACCTGCAGCCCCTGCCCCCCCCCAGCCGCGCCAGTGCCCCTCACTACCGACCTGCAGCCCCTGCCCCCCCAAGCCCTGCCAGTGCCCCTCACTCCTGACCTGCAGCCCCTGCCCCCCCAGCCCCAAGCGGTGCCCCTCACTCCCGACCTGCAGCCCCCCTGCTAGCCCAGCCCTGCTAATGCCCCTCACTCCCGACCCGCAGCCCCCTGCCCCCCCAGCCCTGCCGGTGCCCCCCCACTCCCGACCCGCAGCCCCCTGCCATCCCAGCCCTGCCCCCCCAGCCCTGCCAGTGCCCCTCACTCCCGACCCGCAGCCCCTGCTAGGCCGGCCCCGTGTCTGGGGGGGAAGGTTGGTTTGTTCCTGCAGGTGACCGGTCCCGTCCCCTCCGGGGCTGGTATCTGGGTCGCTTACGTACGAAAGGTGTAAAATTCCCCATCACAGGACTCGGGCCTGTGAATCTTCTGACGTCCTGGTAAACCTGCCACCTCCGGCCCTTTAAATTTAGCAGCGGGTCGGGGGGGGCAGCGGGCAGGTGAGACGAGGCCCCAGGGCGGGGGAGGACCCCTCCTTCCCTCTCCCCAGCAGGGGGCGCTGAGGAACGGACACCCAGTGGGGCCCTGTGACCTCTCTGTGTCCATGGGGCCCTCCTGTGCTCCCAGTCCCACCCCCCCAACCCCCCAAGCACAACATCTGACGTTGAGATGCAGCCACCTCTGGAGCGGGGCGGCCGGTGACCCAGGGACCCCTCGCCCGGGGCTGAGATGCGGCCACCTCTGGGGCAGAACGGTCGGTGACACGGGGACCCCTCGCCCGGCGCCAAGATGCAGCCACCTCTGGGGCGGGGCGGCTGGTTATATGAGGCATTGTGGTCCTCACTGACTGAGGGGGGAGAGCATCCCCTACTGAGCCCCTCCCCTGCCATCCTTGTGGCCCCCCATCCCAGCCAAGCAGAACCCCCCTCTGAGTGCTGAGCACAACGCCCCAGTCTGGCGTCTGATGGGGGCCGCGTCCCCACCAGTCTGGGCTACCAGCCTCTGATGGACCTGTCTGCCGGGAACGTCTCTCATTCGTGCTTGACCCCGGGTATACTTTTGGCCGTCCCAGCGTCCTGTGGCGAGGAGTTCCCCAGGTCGCCTGAGCGTCGGGGAGAGGAAGCGCTGCCTTGGGTTTGGTTTACACCTGCTGCTGATTCACTTCACGGCTGACCCCGGGTTCGAGTGTGATTATACCTGCTGCAATTTCAGGGCAAAGTGGAACAGCTGTGCGGGTGCCCCTCACTCCCCTGCTAGCCCAGCCCTGCCCCCTGCAGCTCTGACCCACCAGCCCCCTCTCCCCTCCCGGAGCCGGGGAGAGAACCCAGGAGTCCTGCCTCCCAGCCCCCCCTGCTCTAACCCAGCGGCCCCCACTCCCCTCCCCGAGCCGGGGAGAGAACCCAGGAGTCCTGCCTCCCAGCCCCCCCTGCTCTAACCCAGCGGCCCCCACTCCCCTCCCCGAATCGGGGAGAGAACCCAGGAGTCCTGCCTCCCAGCCCCCCCTGCTCTAACCCAGCGGCCCCCACTCCCCTCCCCGAGCCGGGGAGAGAACCCAGGAGTCCTGCCTCCCAGCCCCCCTGCTCTAACCCAGCGGCCCCCACTCCCCTCCCCGAATCGGGGAGAGAACCCAGGAGTCCTGCCTCCCAGCCCCCCCTGCTCTAACTCACCAGCCCCCACTCCCCTCCTGGAGCTGGGGAGAGAACCCAGGAGTCCTGCCTCCCAGCCCCCCTGCTCTCACCAGCAGCCCCCACTCCCCACCCGGAGCGGGGAGAGAACCCAGGAGTCCTGGCTCCCAGCCCCCATCCCACCCTCTCCTTCCTTTCTCTCATCCCCTCTCTCTCCGCCGCCCCCCCCATCTCCCCCTCTGGGCTGTGTGTGATTTTTGGGGGGGGGGCTGCGGCCCCGCATACGGCGAGTTTCCTTTAAGACCCCGTGACGCGCGCTATGATGCATCTGGGCTGAGCACGGAGAGGGGGGGCAGCCCCCCACCCCGAACCCCCCCCCGTCCTAGCCCAGAGCGACTCCAGCTGATCCCCCCCCATCTCCCTTCCTTTCCTGCCACCATTGAACGACACGTCCCTGCTTCAGCGCCCCCCCCCGCACACCCCACCCTGCTGGGGAGGAGGGGCCCCTCCCAGGGAGAGAGAAAGGGGGGGGGCTTTGATTGCCTTCGCCTCCCTCTGGGTTATTTTCACTGCAATCCTTCCCCCCCCTCCCCCCCACAGAGCCTGCATCTCCCCCCCCCCATACACACACACCCAGCTCCTCGCTGGGGGGGTCTCTACTCTGCTGACATACGCAGCCCCCCCCTACGAGCTCCGCTCCCTGCCTCCTCCCCCCCCCAGCCAGGCCGCCTCCTTCTCCCTCCCTCCCCCCCCCCACACGCCCGCCCCCACCCACCCCATGGCCGCTGCCTGATGCTCTGGGAGATGCGGAGCCTCGCTCGGCGCTAGACCCGGCCAGGGGGGGCCCGCCGGGGAGGGAGGGGGGCCCCCGGCCTGCAGCAGCTGGCAGAGGTAAGAGGGGGTGCGGGGGGGGGAGGGAAATGCGGCCCCCCGCCCTGTCCTCTGGGTCTTCTCCATCCTTCGCCGTTCCCCCGTCATCCGTCCCCCCCTTCCCTGCCCCCCAACATCTGTCTTTGTCACCCCTTTGTCCCCCCTTCCCCCGATCATCCACCCCCCCATCTCCCCTTCCCTCCCCTGGGTCTTCTCCATCCCCCCATCTTCCTCCGTCCCGGTCTTCCCCATCCCCTGTCTCCCCCCCCACCTCCATCCATCCGTCCCCCCTTCCCTCTCCTGGCTCGTCTCCATTTCTCCCTGTCTCCA